TAATGACAATCTAGTGCCTTGTGGATTAGCCCTCAGAGACAGATGTTGAGCTTCCTTTGAAACCGGTAAAGAGTGGTTCTTGAAGGCCATTTCTCTGCATTCCAGTTGGAAGGGGAAACTTCCAGAAAGGCATTGTTCTGTCCCTGAGGGGAATAAGACTGAGTGGTCTACTCTATGGGGCATATCTGCCCGGGGAGCTCTAATTCTGCAAGGGGGCTAGGGAACTTTAATACAATTGTTATAAGAAAAAACTGCATCTACAGTTTCCAGAGTTGTTTGGGTAAACCACAGCAGATAAACTAGTATAAAACAAATGTAAGTTTGTTGTGTGCATATATATTTGTGTGTGGGTATTTAAAAACAGGCCACAACTTTATCGATTAGAGCAAAGTCATCAGGGGTTGGCACAGCACTGAGGGTAAGGATCAGTGCCCATTCAAACAGTCCACCTGCTGCTTAATACCCATCCCAACACAACTGCCAAGGAGGCAGTCAACGGCAAAAAAACCCAACCCTTGTGACACAGACCACTGAGGTGTGTATATATTATTTGAATACAAAGCATGCAAGCAGATGAGCTCAGCCAAAGAAATGAGGATTGTTGAACTTGGCCAAATATCTTACGCAGAATTCTCATGAACTAGTACTCCGCTGCTTAGTTAGACTATTTTGGTCTTAATCTGTGTTTCTGTTAATAGGCTTTCAAAATAATTATACTAGAAATAGTAAACTACTGGATTAAACAAGAACATGGTAACCTCCAAGTTTTTGGTGCTTTGCAATGAAGATTTTTAGATTTTACCTTGTATTTTTTATGTTGTGAACCACCCTGAGATCTACGGATGAAGGATGGTATACAAATTAATTGATTGATTAAATAAATAAATAAATATAGATAGCCCCCCTGCTCTGAGGTCCTTAGAATTTAAATTCTGTCACTTGGGGATGGAGCCCTCACTGAGTTGTGTGCATGCAAAATATATGCAAGTTTTAAAATCTTCTTGGTTTCAGCCAACAAGTTATAAAGAATGATCTAAAGGGGAGGGATTCAGTGTTTCTTTGCTGAAGTTAAACATGTGAGTTCTGGGCCTGGACAGAAATACATCTGGAGACTTCAGGTAGAGTAGGGTTGCCACTTGTCCTGTATAATACAGGGTTGTCCCTTATTTCAGTGCAAAATGCTACATCCTGTATTGATACTGTTTTGTCTTGTGTTTCAGGTAGGTTCTCTCTCTCTCTCTCTCTCTCTCTCTCTCTCTCCCAAGTCAGGGATGCTCTCCAGATTCATGTGTTTGAAAAGGTGTGTGAAAGGTCATGCATTTAAGCTCTGGGTGGCCAAGCACAGACAGATTTACAAATTCATGTCTCTGCATGTGACAAATTCCAGAGGGTCCAACCCGTTAGGCTGTAATAGATTGTAATGGATTGCTTTTGAAGCACAAAACTGATATTTCCCCCCCCCAACTGCCCTGTCCCGTATTTTGCCAGAACAAAGGTGGCACCCCTAGATATATATAGTTGTCTTTATTTAGATATCTATATTTGAGATCTCTGGAAGTTCCAGTGCATCTTAGGATGCATGAGTTTCTAATTTAGCAGGCCATGTGCTTGAGAGGAGACAGAGGGCTGGACATGGAAGAGGTGCTGCTGCTTTGGCTATTTAGGCTCATCGGTTGGGATGCTTTCTTGGATTAGGTAAAAGCAATGTGTGTTTGGTAACAGCTGATGGTCCAGTGTGGGGATTACTAGTGAAGTTGTTTACATAATGGATTATCCATCTTTAAGCATCTTACTCAGGTCCAGGAGACAAAGAGCCAATTAGTGCCTTTCCAAACACCTTATTTAAAGGCAGCCAGCATAGTGCTATCCATAGTCAGGCCTCTTCAGAGCAACGAGGACAAATTGCTTGGAATAAGTTCAAGAAGACTCAGCAATCCATCAGGTAGGTCTTTCAATAGCTGTAGAAGATGCAATTTTGTGTCATTTTATTCCTGATTCGTTGAGGTGTCTTCTTATTCCATCTACTGAGATGCATTCGTTATTTACATAGATAATTAGTTTTTTGCTGCCTTTGGCCAGTTTTTAATACAATCTCTGATGGCGAAGCCCAGCTTCCGTGTAAAGTGGTGTGATCCACTACACAGATGGTGTAAGATGCTTTTGATGGGCTTCCATAAGGTTTGGACTACGGTGCAGATCAGATACCTGAATTTCATGGCAAGGTGTTGGCTAAAAGATGTCCACCCTTTGGTTTAACAAGTTCGACCTGATACATGTGTTGTCTGGAGGGATATGAGGGGGTCACTGCAAAGTGGCTGTTTCCAGATTGCTAACAGTAACACCTGAAGAACGGCAATTACTGTACATAGGCCAGTAATGGGATTTCTGTTACTTCAACTTTATCCTGACACGTTAGAGTCCAGGAAAGCTTCAGCATTTGAGTCTGCTGACTAGGTACACTAACCCTCAAGGGACGTGGGTAGTGCTATGGTCTAAAACACTGAGCTTCTTGGGCTTCCCAATCAGAAGGTCGGCGGTTTGAATCCCCGCGACGGGGTGAGCTCCCGTTGCTCTGTCCCAGCTCCTGCCAACCTAGCAGTTCAAAAGCACGCCAGTGCAAGTAGATAAATAGGCATCACTGTGGCAGGAAGGTAAACGGCGTTTCCGTGCGCTCTGGCACTCGTCACGGTGTCCTGTTGCACCAGAAGTGGTTTAGTCCTGCTGGCCACATGACCCGGAAAGCTGTCTGTGGACAAACGCCGGCTCCCTCAGCCTGAAAACAAGATGAGTGCCATAACCCCATAGTTGCCTTTGACTGGACTTAACCATCCACGGGTCCTTTACCTCTCTCCCTTTGCTAACCCTCAGCAATGCCACATCAATCCTTTGGAAAGTTTCATATATATATATATATATAATTATATATATATAATTTTATTAGTTTTTTTTAACATATCATTTTCAACAGTAATTAAACATACTTTTACATCTTATTCAAATTTTTGACTTCCATCAATCCTGTCTGAAAATTTTCCAATCTAATCTCTCAGTATGCATTTCTTATCTTCCCTATTACATTTCAAACTCATAACCAATATCTCTATCTTTTTCTACTTTGTAACACTTTGTATATCTCTCCTTACAAAACTTCTTGTAGTCCTACTAGCGTAATTTGTTGATTACAGTTGCTCTTCAAATAATTCACATACTTCTTCCAATCTTCTGTAAATCTCTGGTCCCTCAGGTTTCGAATCCTTCCTGTCATTTTGTCCAATTCTGTTCCAAATCCTTTTTGTCATTTTCTTCCAAATCCTTTGGAAGGTTTCTAGGGGATAGAATTGGATGTTACACCCATCCTAGTGCTTCATTGCTTATGGTTTGGATTCTGGAAATCTGATTCCTCTCAACTTTAGGTTAGCTTGACCTCCCTCTCCTGCTTAATACTCACAGCTTGATCAACCATGTGGCAGCTGCCTTGCCTGTTAACGCTCAAGGCAAGGAGAGGGACACATGTAGCAGACTACTGCAGGCAGATCACCTTGTAGGATTAGGGAAACTTCCTGGACGGAACAGATGGAAAATGCACAGCCAGGCCTTGTCAGGGACCAGCTGTATGAGGGGGAGTGGTGGGAGCCGGCAGCTCTGACTGGCTGGATGAAGAAGACTTCTGGGGGGCTGCCTCCCAAGACAACCCCCTCCCAGGAGGACACCTTAGAACCTGGATCCCGGTGGTGGGACGTTGAAGAGCAGTAAGCCGAAGGGATGAGCTGGGAGCTGATAGAAGCAGGAGATTTGAGTGATCAAGGGCGTTCAGGAGGGCCCTCCAGGAAAGATCAGAAGCTGAGAGTCACAGTGTTTGTACAGACAGTCCCAGTCCTGCTGGCTCTCCTCCCCCTCTGACTCCCCACTCAAGGAGGGTCCTGCACATTGCTGAGCAATGCACCAGACAAGTCCAGATGTGGAGCCCACCCCTTGGCACAGCCTTCATTTGCTTAGGAGGGATCCGGAATGAGAGGCTAGAGGGGGAAGAGCATGCCTAGGACTCAGTTTCGTTAAGACGAAGCAGGGACATTAATAATAATAATAATTTTATTATTTATACCCTGCCCATCTGGCTGGATTCCCCCATCTGGCTGGATTTCCTATGGAGGAGCATTCTATCATATAAGTCCCCACCTGCAGACTGAAACGGGACAGGCTAGATACAGCTTGACCACCTTAGAACTAGATCTCAGTAACAACTTGCACACAGTAATCGCTGGACTGGGGTTCTGGATACTGACCAGCAGAGAGGACGTACATCAAGGCAGTAAACCTATGGTCCATTTAACCCAATGGAGCTTTCTTTGGAGTAAACATGGATGAAATTGGGCTTCAAGGGTTTCAGAAATGTCAAGTTTCAAGGAAAGTAACTGGAAAGCACACTTAAATCAACAAGGCAAAGGGAGCACAAGAGACATTTGCAGCAGAATATTTGCAAACTATAAATGATGTGTAAGGCGATAAAGTAAACAGACATTACTTGTGAGACAGTTATCCGGTTGCTTGATACATTCAAGCAAACATCTCTGCTGAATAAATGCAGATGAGTCAGTCTCTGTAATTTAGCTTCTCTCATTGTAGATGGCAGCGATTTGTGTTGTTATCCCCTTGTATTTTTTTTGCCCCTAAGTATTTTTGGACTTCTGAGATCCCTGAAGTTCCCCTGAGCTTGCTTATACTTCTCTGTTGGGAAAGGATGGTGCTGTTTTGGCACTTTGGGAAATGAAGTCGCTATTGGCATAAGACCTTACTGCAGATAGAACTCACAGTGTGCCAAGAACCCTTAGTTAAATGCATTTCCTAGGATTTGGGTGTCTCCAGTGCCACCCTTGAACCCACAGCCAATAGTGGCAGACCTTGGGATCTCAAATTTCAGTGACCCCTGTGTGACACCAAAATTCAGTGCCTCCCTGAGCAAATTTCTAATCGGTGCTGAACAAACTGTGTTGCTCCACAGAATGAAATACGCTCAGTACACATTCCTGGTGACGATCATCTCCATTATCGATTATTCCTCGGCGCAGCCTTCGTGTGCAGTGGAATCTTTCTCTGTGAAGGAAGACTTTGACCCCAAGAGGGTAACTATGAATACTTTCTAAGATAAAGTGAGCTCGTGTAATGCAGTTCATTTGCAAAGGTGTTGTTGCAAGCCACCCCAATCTCCAAGCGGTGAATGATTCCCACGGTTCATGTTTCTTTTTGGAAATGAGGCACTGTGGAGACTGTGGTGCCTTTATGATATATGGTTTATTTACACATATATACAGCTTGAGCCTACGGTGGAGGGGTTCACTGTATCAACACCCCATAAGGGTCTTGTTTCTCTCATAGTCGCAGCCTTGGATTCAAACAAACATCAAACATCGTGCTTTGTCTCTCTGGCTTTCCAACTGGCTGCTTTTGCTTCCAGCTTCTAGCTCACAAGCAGCCAAATTTCAGCTCTAAACTCTTGCTTTATTTCTCTTCACTGAGAGTTGAGGCTGGGGCCCCACCCATTTGCTGTGCTGTCTTGCACAGAGCCTCTTCCTTTGGTCTCTTTATACCTCACCAGGAGGCTAGTCTGTCTATTTCCTGGAATTTGAAGGTTTGATTAGCTTTTAACACTTGCTGGATCCAGGGATAGAAGAGTCTGGTGCTTAGTTTAACGCACACACACCAAACTCACAACAGTATAAATGTGATGGGAATGACAATTAAATTTCTGAAACGACCTTTCCAATTTTCTCAATTTTTGGGCTTCGGTCTCTGCTTCCGAACATGCTTCCCTCAGCTTGTCATGTTAGGATTAGTACACATGCCACTGGCATGCAAAGGTATTGGAGCTGTTTCAATGTCATTGGTGGTAACATATGCACAAAGGTGACCACACAGGCAGGGCCAGTGATGTCTCCCACCTGCAGCCTCAAGCGGTGCAGATCCTGCTGATAAACTGAGCCTTGGTCTTCAGATGTTGCCACATCAGTTACTTGGAAGGGCTCCAGAATTAGGCTTTATACATGAACTAATGCTTAACTGTTTGAAATTTGGATTTGGATTATAGAAGTCTGCTTGCTTTGAACTTTCAGGCAATGCCTGGTAATTCAGCTTCAATTAATACTCTAGCCTGGTGCCATGTGGTCACTGTCCTTCCTGGTAACTTTCAATGTCCTTTGCATTTTAGTATGCAGGTAAATGGTATGCGCTGGCCAAGAAAGACCCAGAAGGCCTGTTTCTACAAGATAACATCTCAGCTGAATATACCATTGAGGAGGACGGCACTATGATTGCATCTTCCAAAGGCAGAGTGAAGCTTTTCGGGTAAGTCACGGGATGACCTCAAGTAGGCTTCCTTGTATTCCTGGTCACCTGCTCCTATGACATCGTATTCTGTTCCTGTGATCAAGATGTGTTGTGGCAACTACTAGGTTGTAGGGCTGAGTCGAAGTGGGGGGAAGGTGCATTTGCAAAAGAATCCCCACCCCCCACAAATTCCAGCAGTTGTTGAGTATGGGGACCTGCAAATTGGGGCAAAAATATTCATCCATTCATAGATAGTGCAAGAAACACCGTCCTTCCTCTGGTTAGACTGGTGATGTTATCACATACCCAAATCTGATTTGCTACATAATCAGAAAGCCTATAAGGTCAATGCTTCATAATCTCACTTTGATTTTGCCGTACGATGGACCAAATGTCATTATGTGGTCTACATGATTCTCGAATGGCCGCATTTCAGGATGTGGGCCTCTCAAGGGAAGGATTTAAGTCCTTACACGGCCAACGAAAGATCGGCTTCTGAAAAGTCACACAGTGAGAGGAGACAGGAAGACATACACTAGACCAGAGATACGGTCAAAAGCATTTTGTTGATGGGGTAAATTGGATTCAGATTATTAGAGAGAGGCAAAAGGTGGTTACGCAAGGCAGGGGTGGAGGAATCTGTGGTCTTCTAGATGTTGGACTCCCAACTCCGATCAGCCCTAGTCAACATGAAAGTTGAAGTTGAACAACATCTGCATATCCATAGATTTCCCCATCTCTGTTGTAAGAGTAGACCAAGCAAGTAGGATTGGAATGCACATGGAGGCAAGTAGGATACAGGAATGGTGGGCAGGAAGAGGCCTGTAGGGTTAGGATAGCAATGCAGAATCAGATGAGAGCTGAACAGGATACTGATCTGGGTGTCATGTTCAGAAGCAGATGAATCCTATTTCCATACTGGCAATGAGACAGCGTGCACCACCACTCTCCTTTTTAAAAATTAGTTTTTATTAAAGATTGTCTTGTGTAAAAAACAGACAGATGAACAAGAAAAGTACATATAGCGTCTCCACTTTCAATTCATAGAGCCTTTTTCACACCACCACTCTTGAGGGCAGCAAAGTAGCTTTGCAGGCACACAGAGCTCTGGCCTCCAAGAAAAGGGAGCAGTTGAGAGACCTGATTTGGCTCCCACAACCTCTCTAGGATCTGCTGCCTGAGGCAGCTGCCTCACTCTGCCTAAAATTAGAGCTGGCTCCAATTAACGAGAATTCCTCTTCCTGTTTCAGGTTCTGGGTGATCTGCGCTGACATGGCCGCCCAATACTCGGTGCCTGACCCCACCACTCCAGCAAAAATGTTCATGAATTATCAGGGCCTGGCAAGCTATTTGTCAAGCGGAGGTGAGCAAGATATCCCTTGTTGCTCGTGGGTGAGAATGTGGAGAAAAGGGGAATGTCAAAGAGTTGTGCCTCATTCTGTATCCCAAATGAGGCGGCTGTATGTCTGTGGCCCCTTTTGACGTTATCTTAGCAGTGTGGAAGCCCTTCCTTCACTGCTTAGATTTCTTTCTTTATTGAAATATGTCTCACCTTAATATAAAATATTCAGAGTGGCTTGTAATAAGAACAAAATGAACAGTTATGGGGGGAATTCAAGAACACAATTAAAACACACATTAAGAATAAGGTAAAGGGACCCCTGACCATTAGGTCCAGTCGTGACCGACTCTGGGGTTGCGGCGCTCATCTCACTTTATTGGCCGAGGGAGCCGGCATACAGCGTCCGGGTCATGTGGCCAGCATGACTAAGCTGCTTCTGGCTAACCAGAGCAGCGCACGGAAATGCCGTTTACCTTCCTGCCGGAGCGGTACCTATTTATCTACTTGCACTTTGACGTGCTTTCGAACTGCTAGGTTGGCAGGAGCTGGGACTGAGCAACGGGAGCTCACCCCATCGCGGGTTTTCGAACCGCCGACCTTCTGATCGGCAAGCCCTAGGCTCTGTGGTTTAACCCGCAGCGCCACCCGCGTCCCTACATTAAGAATAGAACTCAGCAATGGGGCTATGTGGACCTCCCTTCCAGATCTTGGGTACTCCAGCTAGAAAAGCCCTGATTTTCAGGTCACCTGGGAGGAGCCCACAATATACCTTTCATACTCACCAGAGCAAAGAGGAGCTGTTGCCTCAGCTCTCTCTTTCTTATACTGTATTGTATCCCACTTCTTTTCTTTATACTGGGATGAATTCAACATTGCGCCAAGTTGACTGTTCCATCAACACAAGCATTTTGGCTTCCCAGACAGAATACCTGCCCCCCCCTTCTCCTACCACAATGCTGTTTGTTCCAGGGGTTATTTCTACCAAATCCAATTTGCTGACAGGACTTATTAATTGAATCCCACCTCTCAGATTTATATCCCACCCTTTGACTATAGTCAGTGCTATTTTTCTAGAAAAAGAGGTGCCAGAACTCACCATGAACACCTCCCTCGTTCTCTTGCAATGGCAATGGGGCCTACCTGAGAGGTGCCGGAACTGAGTTCTGGTGAGTTCCAGCTGAAAGAAAGCCCTGACTATAGTCCTCAAAAAAGCTTTTGCTTTGTAAATTCCCAATGAGCAGACACACTAAAAATGAGCAGACACACTCTTAAAATCCAAAGAAATTCAACCAGCTCTGCTCAAGTGTCTGCTTTGCATCTTATTTTCTCTTCTGGGAACTAACGTTCCCTTCTTCTCCACTTCCCAAGTGTTAGAGAAGACTTGTAGAGCGATTGTAGCCAGAGATAACACCAAAGGAGAACTCTGATCCACTGATTCTCCTTTCCTACAGAGTTTAACCTCAAACCTTTGTAGCTTTCTCCATCTGCCAGGAGGAAGCCGTAACAGTTCTGAACTGGCAGAGCTGCTACTTATGCAGTAACAACATGCAGCCAAGCTTGGATAGTCAACATCAGCACTGCACACAGATGCCTGCTTTCATTCTTCCATCACTCAGGGTTGGGGTGGGAGGGAATTATGCCCTGGCTGCAGAACACTTTGGTATGGCTTCAGGTAACAACATACCATTGGTATGGTTTCAGGTGACAACTACTGGGTGATTGACACAGACTACGACAACTATGCCATCACCTATGCCTGCCGCAGTCTGAAAGAGGATGGCTCCTGCGATGACGGCTACTCCCTTATTTTCTCTCGCAACCCTCGTGGTCTCCCCCCAGCCATTCAGCGCATTGTGCGCCAGAAGCAGGAAGAAATCTGCATGTCTGGCCAGTTCCAGCCTGTCCTACAGTCAGGTATGTAAAAACACACACACACTATTTTGCTCCTTTCTTGAATGAGGGAAGGTTCAAGGTTGCTTGGGTTGTGCTGTACCATCTGTGAAACAGTCGTGTGGACAGCCAACCTACAAGAATATCTGGTCATGCAACCAGACGACCTCTTGGCTGATCTACAAAAAGCTCATGGGTGTTGTCTATGGCAGGACAATTCTCCAGCCACTCTGGGCTGCCTTCAGATGTCCTCTAAAACTTGTGTAGTTCTCTATCTCCTTGACATCTGAGTAAGGTAGGACTGGGCTAAACTGTGGTGCTTTGGACACCACTGGACTGCAACTCCCATCATCCTTGACCACTGACCATGTAGGCAGGGGCTGATAGGTGTTGGAGCCCAGTAAAAGTGGAGGACCACAGGTTAGCCACGTCTCCTGTAAGGCATATAAAAAAGAGGGCATTCTTTTGTGAAGACTGCCTTGGACACCAGTATGTTCTGGCACCAGTATGTGCCAGCAGTATGTTTCTGTGGCAAGGCCTGCTCGGGGTTTTGCATCGCCAACAAAGAGGAAATGAATCACAAAGGCACAAATCTGCACTGAATTGGCGTCAGCTTCTTTATATATTGAAATAATTACTATAATTGAAATAAAAATGCATCTCATCATAACATGGTAGGCAGGGAATAGTACACCTGCTGATTGTGCTGTCCAGATGCTCAGTTGATGGGTCACTTCCAGTCCCCTCCTCCCTTCTCAGAGTTTTTCAAACCTTTAACTTGGACTAGGACTGCCCCTCTGTCAAACAGGACACACGGCTACTTCAGGACTTTTGGGGGCAGCATCTAGGCTGCAACACTAGGCTGCCTGAGTGGTCAGTCAAGTGACCCCAAAGGCCAGCCCTTCTGCACAAAGGCCTTCTAAAGCTCCTGCCACTTGCTCCTCATCTGGGGCAGTTTTTCTCCAGTACATGGTCTGCATAGCTTGGTCCTGGAACTTGTCCACTTTGAGTTTGATCCAGAATTTCAATTCAGTCTTTGCTACGTAGTGATGAGGAGAGGCTTCAAAGCAAAATCTCAGAGACAAGCTCTACACTTTAAAAATACTATTTTTACACATGTACAAGTTGAGAAGCCGGACCAGCTCTAGGCAAGCTCTAGGCAAGTGTTCACCCACTCGCTTCCACTTTCCGCTTGGAGCAGGAAGAGTTATTAGGGAAAAGTTACGCACTCCCTCCCTTCACTTGCAATTGTTCTCTCTCAAAGCAGCTTTGCTTGGATGTTTTGTGTGTGTTGAAAGCATTTGTTCCACCATTGCACTTGTGTGTATATGTGTGAGTGGTTTCTGCATGGAGGTTTCTGAGGCAGCTAATAAATAAAACTGGAGCTCAACCATGCCTTGAAATATGTAACAATGCAAAATGTTCTAGTTTGCATCGTGGTTATGGCAATGCAACATCTAATGTGCGCTGTTCTTGCTTGTCTCCACAGGGGCCTGTTAAATCAAGACTCCTTCAGAGTTGGAGCAGAGGCCTGATCTCTGCATCTTGAAGTCGTCCATGTAGTGTTTGGATTAGAGCTTTCCCTCAAACACATCTAAGTGTTGGCTTGTTGTTTTTATTTTACGGCACTTGGGTGCTACACACCTCGCTTGTCTGAACTCAAAAGAACTGTGTTGATGTTTGTCAATAAATGTTTTTAAGTAATCTTTTAAACTGCTTCCTCACTCTGTGTTCACATGGGAAAATGTGTGGGGTTGGAGACATCTGTGGGCAATTCAGGAACGTTGTGGCTTTCGTCTTCGTCACACACAACCCCACACAAAGAAACAAAAGTCCTATGTCATGGCACCATGTAGCACCAGGTTTCAAGTTTCAGCTGCCAGTTTTGTGTGCAAAGTGGTCCAGGTCAATGGGATCCACTTACCACATAAATAGTAAGTGCCAAAGCTGTTCTCATGTTGGGGGAGCAGGAGGAGCAAAGTAACAAATGAAGTGGGAGCTAAACTAATGTTTGAGGCCTAAAGGAGCCAGTCTGTCAGACAGAGAGAGCCAGAGACCATTGATCAAGAGAGGGCAGGGGAATAAAGTATAGTGCAGTCCTGTGCAGACTTACTCAGATGTAAGCCTTTCCGAACATAAGACAGCCACATCCATTCATGTGCACACATTTACACAAATAATGACTTGGTCGTGGTCCTCATCTTCCCCTCCAGTAATAAAATACATTCTGTATGCAGAAATATTGCAGCTCTCCTGCCTCAGTCACGTACTAGGCCTAGTATTTGTAAGGATCCTGAGCACTAACTAGTAGTATGAGAGACTGTGTAAAGACTGGAGGCAGTGTGTGTGTGTGTCCTTCATTTTTTTCAACTGATCCTGAGAATGAGAGCAGACAGTCCTGGAAGGCAACCTATCTCTAAATTACTGGCCCTGGCTCTTACGTTTTAGAGGTGGCTCCAAGAGCTGGACCAAACTGTTTCAGTCTACCAAACACAATGAGACTGAAAGCCCTCCTTTTATTTAGTTTTTTAAGCTCAAAAACAAGTCATCTACTTTGGGAGAGCTGGGCAATGGGTACTTTGAATTTCGAAAAAGTGCTGTGGATACCAGTTACAAAATGGCTGCCGCATCTAAAAGACCACAAAATGGCACAGGTATGCTGCCCCATCAATGTGGGGGGAGCACCTATATCAGCAACCGCCGTGGACACTCTCCCTTGTCAAAGAGGTGAAATGTATTATTTACTTAAATCTAGTGGAAAGTGCCCAGCATTGCTCAAGAATGCTAAGAAACTAAAACAATTCAGTGCAGTTTTGAAAGTTTCATTCCATCATCTGGATTCAAAATGGTGTCCAAACTATGCAAGCGTAGAGAGAAAAACCTGCTCCCTGATCTTAGGAGCCGTCATGCAAAATTTGGTTATGCTATGTTAGGTATCCAATCGCACACAGAACAAACAAAGAGACAAAGAACCTTCCGAAATATATAGCAGGTCTTTATTCAAATGAGATTCCAAAAATTGCATGTAGCATCCAAGCTCAAGATGAGTACCTTTAATCAACTTTTTGTTTTGCGCAAGCATAGAAAATACAAACCTACTTCTAAAACCAAATTCTTCAAAAGATTGGCACTTGGCATCCTCCCATTCCTGAGCACTTTTCCCAGCATGCTATTCTTCCAGTGTGAGAGCCAGTGTGGTGGTGTGGTTAAGAGCGATAGACTCGTAATCTGGGGAACCGGGTTCGCGTCTCCGCTCCTCCACATGCAGCTGCTGGGTGACCTTGGGCCAGTCACACTTCTCTGAAGTCTCTCAACCCCACTCACCTCGCAGCGTGTTTGTTGTGGGGGAGGGAGGGAAAGGAGAATGTTAGCCACTTTGAGACTCCTGAAGGGGAGTGATAAAGTGGGATATCAAATCCAAACTCTTCTTCTTCTTCTTCTTCCAGCCCAGGGGTCAGCAAACTTTTTCTGCGGGGGGCCAGTTCACTGTCCCTCAGAATTTGTGGTGGGCCAGACCCTGCGCGCGCATGCATACACGCCTTCCCTTGGAGACAGAGCGGTTGAGATACCTCCACTTACCACATTCAGATGGAGCGGGCTGGGCTGGACTGGGGAGGGGGCGCCCCGCCCGTGCTGGGTCTTGGCTTGCATGGAGGGGCCACAGCCACCCCACCAGGAAGTGCCCCTACCCCGGGGTGTCCATGACCATGCTGCTAATGTGCCACCGCCAAGCAGCACAGAAGAGTCTTCCTCATCTTCCTCCTCCCTCCTCGCAGCAGGTCTTGGGAAGGGTCACCATTGGCTGCCGGCTTGTGTGAAACTGGCCAATAGAGGGGAGGCCTGAGGTTGCTAAGGCTTCGGATTGGCCAGCGTCATGGAGGTCTGAGCAACCTTGGAGCATGCTGGGAGATGTAGTTTGGGGGGGGGTTGCAAAAAAATGGCACCCGAAAAAAATTGGGGGGAAAAATGGAACCGTTCACGGGCTGGATCCAGAGGGCAATTGGGCCAGATCCAGCCTGCGGACCGTAGTTTGCCAACTCCTGTTCCAGCCGATTCACTTTTCTTTTTTTCTAATCCATTTGACTCTCGAAACTAGTTACTGCAGGGGCTTGAACAAGTGCTTACATCAGCAGCTGGCGTCCCTTGGATTGTGGGGAGAGGCAGTTCTGTTGCCTGCCTTAGGGTGCTACTTTATTTTTCAAAATTATCTCTTGAAAATGAAACTTTTGGTGCTCTGGAGTGGCTTCCAGTCGCTCTCCTCATTTCTCCTCTGACGCCCTGGAAGTCGAGTTGTTCTGAGCATCGTAAGGGGAAATTTCTTAAAGAGTATGAAGAACCACTGCTTTAAGGACTTGTAGCCTGACAAAGTGCAAGCCTAATTCTGTAAGTTCTGGCTTGCCTTTGAGGTGTTGGCCTTTCTTAAGATGCTTCATTGTAGTACACCGGGAGAGAAAATGGCCCCGCTCTGCCCCAGTAATCCACAGCTCGCACTTTGTAGAACCCTGTGACTGTTGTTTCTGTAGAGAAAGTCCGACACAAATAGTTAGTTGAACATCTTGGTTACACTGAGAAAGACTGGGGGGGAAACTACATTGACAAAACGCCTATATTTTGGTGTGTGTTTTTAAAGTAGATTGCTTATCTCTGCAGCCAAATGTTCAGATAAGCCAGGAACCAAGTATTTGTACTTTGTGGTAGTAATTGAAGACCTTTTTTGTTTTGACAAGAATGAAAAAGAATTTTTTTAAAAAAGCTGTCTGTCTTTAAAATAGCCAGGTCCCTAGACTGAATCTTTGATCCTTCTGTGTACTTTTAACCTTCCTACACAAAGCATCCCCTTATAAACCTGTGTGGAAATTCTCACTATGTACCTTTAATCTTCCCATAAAGTTTTACTCTTCTTGAGCAGAAGAACTTCTACAACCAAAAGCAACCATTTGATGATGATGATATTATATTAATAATAATAATAATAATTAATAATACCCTGCCCATCTGGCAGGGTTTCCCCAGCCACTCTGGGCAGCTTCCAGCAAAATATTAAAATACAATAATTCATCAAATATTAAAAGCTTCCTTCCTTCACACCAGTGGTGTTTGGGAACCTGAATCTATAAACAGTGGCATATAGACTCCATTATCAAGCAAGGACACATTACAGTTCCTCAAGGTTGCTTCAAAAAACGAAGCAGCCAATTTTTAAAAAAAGGTTGTGTGGAAGAATTGAAATGATCTTAATTTGCTTTTGTTCTAAAATTAAAAATAAAGAAAGACACTGGACATTTGTAGGACTGGACGTTACCTGGGCTGTAGACCAATGCTGTAAATATACTGTCTTTGACACTGATCTGGCGGAATGTTTTTCCATCCTGTGAGAAAAACACTTCAAATTTTTTCAGGCACCTATGAAGAAAAACAAACAAACACATCACAGAGACTTGCAAGCTTATTGGTGTAACCCTGCAAGGAAAAGTGATTTTTCAGAGGAAAATATGTAGAAATTAAAGACAACTGTTCCAAACCTATTTACCGTATTTTTCACTCGATAGGATGCACCCAACCATAGGACACACCTTGTTTTAGAGGGGGAGAACAAGAAAAAAAAATTCTCCTCCTCTCTGCTCAGCGCCCCTTCAGCGAAGCGGCAGGAGAAACGGAGCCCTTCCATTTCTCCTCCCGCTTCGCTGAAGGGGCACTGCGCAGCTCTCCCTCTCTGCTGAAGCCAGGAGTCTTGCTCTCCCAGCTTCAGCAAGAGGAACCCGAAGCCTCCGGAGTGCAGCACGAGTTCCCGCTGCACTCCAAAGGCTTCAGGCGGCTCTCCCTGAAGCCTGGAGAGCGATCGGTGTGCACCGACGCCTCTTGCTCTCCAGGCTTCAGCGAAAGCAACGCGAAGCCTCCGGAGCACGGAAGGAGCTCTCCCTCTGCACTTCGGAGGCTTCGCATTGCTATCGCTGAAGCCAAGGAGCCTGCATTCACTCCATAGGACGCACACACATTTCCCCTTAATTTTTGGAGGGGAAAAAGTGCGTCCTATAGAGCGAAAAATACGGTATTCTAAAGCACCTGCCTTGCGCTAGGCCATTAGACTCCAAGCGAGGTGAGCAAGAAGCAATTCATATGGCCCCAGAGCTCAGCAATATTCAGCCATTGCCCTCTGGATTTTCCAGTCTGATTCCTCACAGTTTGTGAAATGTACAGTTGCTATTTAGCTACTGCTTTACACAAAGAATTTGAAAAAGATGGATTTAAAACCGAGACAGTTCTGCATTCCTTTAGGCGCGAGTTACCTACTTTGAATTCACACAGCTGTCATCCCACACTATCAAAACTTGTTCCTTTGTGAGACGGATGAGGCGAACACCATTCACCTGACAAGACAGATTAGCTCAGGGTTAGCATGGCATGTATCAAAAGAGTGAGTTTATTTTTATTTATTTATTACATTATTTTATGCATTTTTTCTCCACTAAAGCAAGATGTAAGAGAGTGTACTGGGTTTAGGGGTTGCTCGTGCGCAAGTTGCCGCCACTCCTGGCTAGGTTACCTGGTTGAACCCTTTCCGACCGGACAGCTTCTAGCTTTGTGGCTGTCTCAGTCGCTGGCAGAATCCGTCAGTGGGCATTTCTTGAACTTCTTCCAGTACAAAAGTTCTTTGACGCCTAGTCTCCGCCTAGTCTCCCTGCGCGGAAGCCTTCTGCGCAGGGAGGGTGTGGGCAGCGGAGGACCCGTACTCTCTCCGCTGGTCTCTGGCGAGGAGTCTTGGAGCCTCCTCTCCGATTCCCCCATCTGCCCCCCTTCTCCACTGGTGTTACGCTGATTTCCTTCCCCAGCGGACGGGCTGCCTCTCTCCCTACTGGGACCCTCTCCGGCATCCCTCTGGAGCCTTCCCTCCGCCTCTAGCTCCGATGGCATTTCCCTGACAGAGAGCTTTAAAAAACGGATCGATTTGACCAAATGATGAGGCTACTAGGGATGGCTGATAAACTGGAAACAAAAGCAAAAAGAAAATTGGGCATGGTTTCTCATGAGAGAGTGTTTCATCACAGGAGTGTCCCCCGCCTCTCTCATTCCGTCCCAAAGCCCCCTGCACCACACCAGTCGTGCTACCCTAAAACCGCCTCTGCCACCTGCAGCCAGAAGCAGAAAAACTGAGATGCAAGCAAATGGTCTAAGGGAAGACTAGGCCTTAGGGGACCTGCTTTCAGAGTGGCTGAGCTGACAAGAGGGTGCTTCTCCTTGCAGTCTGGGCTGCCAACAGCGTCTCTAAAGGGGCCGTATTTGTAGTGGGATGTGGGAAGAGGGCAGCCATCTGTAGGGTTGACCACTTACACATAGCCAAAAATAAATTAAAAAGTACATTGATTTACACAAAATCAACAGACACTCGCTTATATGTTTTATTATGTTTTTATATACGTTGGAAGCTGCTCAGAATGGCTGGATTAACCCGTTCAGATGGGCGGGGTGTAAATAATAAAATTATTATTAATAATAATAAGAGTGATCTTATATGATTTGCTAATAAAGAGTGGCTTATAATTACAAAAGCACCGAGCCAATAGTATTTATCTGAAACAAAATGGGTCCCAAACTCCAACACCTTAAGCTGCACTCAGAAAAACAAAGGAACCAACGAATATTGTTTGTTTCAAATTGGATTAGAGGTTCCACACATCTACAGGATGTTGCGCCTACCTGATCGGGAGCAGCCAGAGGCTTTGCACAGATGTGGACGAGGAAGACGGATGGAACTGGGAGCTCTTGTTTCAGCACTAAGCTGCCTTTTGCTGGGAGTGAAAATGGCCCTTTCACCACAGGGTCCTATGAAATAAAATAAAAATGCTTAATGTTCCCTGAGGAGAAACCTCCCTACAGTAAAAAGGTAAAGGGACCCCTGACCATTAGGTCTAGTTGTGGCCGACTCTGGGGTTGTGGAGCTCATCTCACTTTATTGGCCGAAGGAGCTGGCGTACAGCTTCCGGGTCATGTGGCCAGCATGACTAAGCCGCTTCTGGCGAACCAGAGCAGCGCACGGAAACGCCGTTTACCTTCCCGCCCGAGTGGTACCTATTTATCTACTTGCACTTTGATGTGCTTTCGAACTGCTAGGTTGGCAGGAGCAGGGACTGAGGAATAGGAGCTCACCCCATCGCAGGGATTCGAACCGCCGACCTTCCGATCAGCAAGTCCTAGGCTCTGTGGTTTAACCCACAGCACTACCCGCGTCCCTAAGCCGCTTAGTAGCCTATCGGTATTAACCATGGTGATATGCTAAACATTGTCCAGGGGCCAGAGGGCACAAGTCTCAGCTTGAATGGGAGATCACTCAGCAGTGCCCAAGTTAGCCATTCAGAGCATTCTGAAAGATCAGAAAAAGTGCAACAGCGCTTTTGAACAAAAAGTGCCTCTTTGGAACTCTTTTCCCCTTCATGTGGGGAATGTGTGCATAGGATGGAGCACACCCACAGCTCATCATGTTAGAACGCAAAACCTGAAGTGGGTTGTTTTGAAGGAGAGATCTGGGGTTAGCATATTTTACTTGAATGTCAGTGCTGGGGAATAACAGCAGGGAGGGCTATTGCCTTCATTGCTTGCTCTTGGGATTATTGGAGGTACCCGTCTGGCCCATGTGGGAAGCAGGATGTTAAGACTGTTCATTCAGCCGCCTTTCAAAACACATTTTCCCTTTGTACTTTTCCCATGCTTTCAGATTTCCACCTGGAAATGCCAATTGCACAATACATATAAAGTACCGTATTTTTCGCTCCATAAGACACACTTTTTTCCTCTTAAAAACTAAGGGGAAATGTCTGTGCGCCTTATGGAACGAATGTGTGGTCCCTGGGGCTGGGGGGGGGGAGCCAGGCTTCCCCCGCCAGCCCCGCAAGCTCCGGGAGCGGAGGCAAGGCTGCACGCAACCTTGCCGCTGCTCCCGGACCTGTTCTGGGGGCTGGGGTCGGGGGAAGCCCGGGTTCCCCCCGCCCCAGCCCCGTGGCTAAAAACAAAGCCAAGGCAGAGAGCAGGATCCATCCCGCTCGCTGCCTTGGCTTCTGCCAAAGCCACGTGCAACCTCTCCAGTCGGGAGAGGTTGCACACGGCTAAAAATGAAGCCAGGACAGCGAGCGGGATCCATCCCGCTCGCTGTCTTGACTTCTTTGCTCTTTGGGGCTAGGGGGGGGGAAATAAGATTTTTTTTCTTCATTTCCGCCCCTAAAAACTAGGTGTGCCTTATGGTCCGCTGCGCCTTATGGAGCGAAAAATACGGTACATTTATAGCATCATGCCTTCCCGCCTCCAAAAAAGAATTCTGAGAACTGTAGAATGCCAAAGGTCTGCTAGCTGTAGCTCTGTGAGGGGAAACTATGTTTCCCAGGATTATTTGGGTGGAGGCGTGATGAGCCATGGCTATTAAGGTGGCATCAGCATGCTTTAAATGTATGGCGTAGTTTACTGACCATTTCAGATTATCCAAGACCAAAAGTAAGATGGAGAGGCGTGGCGGAAAATCCCCACTGTGGATTTCTGCTGTGATTTACAGTGGAAAATTGGCAGGCACAGAAGTGAAAAAAACACCTGTTTCTGCCTCACTGCAAATCTCCCTGACCCTACATTAGGGAGCATGTGTGCAATGAGGTAACTTGCAGTTCTTCTTTTAGTCAAAAGACAACCCAAAAACCCCCAACCACATCATTAAAAAAAATAAAAATATCCACAGGGCAGGGTTCAGATTTCCTTCAGGGGGATCAGTGGGGCAGGGATCCCCCAGTGTGCAGGTATGTGCTTACGAAGGAGAACCGGCTTAAAGATCAAAAGTAACGCAAAAGTGGTGGCCCTTCCACTGGCCTTGCTCATTCGGATAGCCTTACAACAAATATTTATGTAGCGCCGACAGCGTACTGTGGAGTCAGCTCGACAGAAAAGATGATCCAGCAGGAAGCGAACATCTGGACAGCATAAAAGGGACGGAATAAATTTTTACCAACTCCTCACTTCACTTGTGAGCTCAGAGAGGCATCTAGCTGGCTGCTGTGGGAAACAGAATGCTGAATCTGGTGGGCCTCAGTCTGATCTGGCAGGGCAGCCTTTGTGATCAGCAAGGATGGAGCGCAAACTGTCTGAGGTAAGGGAACCGGAAAAATACCACCCAGGAGAGCGTAGTTGAAGTTTGTGAGGGAGGAGATGGCCAGGAATTTCTTGCGGAAGGTTCAGCCTATGGAAAGGAGAATGACTGTGACTCCTGCGTTATTGTGAGTGTATCTTGCAGCCTGCTATTGACACAGAAATAGCGCACTGGTGGGGGGTTTATTCTGCTTCATTATTTCCTATGCAATGCTTCCCCAGTGTTACCACATGATTGCTGTCCAGAGTGCCACAAAAGGTGGGACAAAGCAACCCCAAAGCATTTGTGGTATGACAATTTATGGGATTACAGCAGGATGTTACAGGATAGGCACTGGTTGGAGATGAAGCAGTGTGGCTGGTCCAAATACCGTATTTTTTGCTCTATAAGGCTCACTTTTTCCCTCCTAAAAAGTAAGGGGAAATGTGTGTGCGTCTTATGGAGTGAATGCAGGCTGCGCAGCTATCCCAGAAGCCAGAACAGCAAGAGGGATCGCTGCTTTCGCTGTGCAGCGATCCCTCTTGTTCTGGCTTCTGAGATTCAGAATATTTTTTTTCTTGTTTTCCTCCTCCCAAAACTAGGTGCGTCTTGTGGTCTGGTGCGTCTTATAGAGCAAAAAATACGGTATTTTCCAGGCACAAACAGTATTGAAATCACGGTCATGTGGGCCCACCTCAATAGCACCATGAGCACAAATAGTCATAAAAGTGCAATAAAAAAAGAATTCTGGAGAGACCCTGAGTAGATATGACCTCTGCAGGAAGGAGAGGAAGCCTGCTTTACCTCTTGACCCCTCCCCAAAAAAAAAACCCCTTACGCTTATGATGAGCTATACCTCCTAAGGGAGGGATCCTATCCACTTACCTGAGAGAATACCTCACTGGAAACAGCAGGACTTACTTCCAAGTAAACACATAGAGGGATAGGGAGGAACGGCTGCAATTCTGCCCACACTTAACTCAGGACCAAGCCCTTTTGAACTCAGTGAGGACTGCATGTACAACAAACACATCGTACCTCAGCAGCTCTTATCTGCTCCAGTTGCTTCGGGGAAGGAAAATCTGGAGCTCCCAGTTTCCTCCACTGCAAATACGGGTTGGTCAGGTAGTTATCCAAGTAGTAAGTGAGGTACACAAGTCCTTTGGGAAGACAAAGGGAGAGTAACGTGAAAACTCTTGATTGTTAGTTGAACGTCAGGCCAGAGACCGAGGCTTTCAGATACGGTGTTCTTATTCACCAGAGCCTTGTAAGAAGTCCAAGAAAGGACCAGAAGAAGCTGGATCCAATTGCAAGCTTTTTAGAAGCTGCAAACCAAGAAAAAAAGCCTGATTTTCATGAGAGGAACCAAAGAAAGCTACTATCAAAATATACAGTGGTGCCTCGCAAGACGAAATTAATCCGTTCCGCGAGTCTCTTCGTCTTGCAGTTTTTTCATCTTGCAAAGCACGGCTATTAGCGGCTTAGCGGCTATTAGCGGCTTAGCGGCTATTAGCGGCTATTAACGGTTCAGCGGCTTAGCGGCTTTAAGAAAAAGGAAACAAACTCGCAAGACGTTTCGTCTTGCGAAGCAAGCCCATAGGGAAATTCGTCTTGCGGAACGACTCAAAAAACGGAAAACTCTTTCGTCTTGCGTGTTTTTCGTCTTGCGAGGCATTCGTCTTGCGAGGTACCACTGTATGATTGTGTCGTGCCACCATGGCACAATGGTTTAGGCTGCATGAAATGGCTATTCCAGGCCAGCTGTCCTTTTAGAATAAGGTGAGCCACTCAATAGCTGCAGTAAATACAGTGGTACCTTGGGTTAAGTACTTAATTCGTTCCAGAGGTCTGTTCTTAACCTGAAACTGTTCTTAACCTGAAGCACCACTTTAGCTAATGGGGCCTCCCGCTGCTGCCGCGTCGCCGGAGCACGATTTCTGTTCTCATCCTGAAGCAAAGCTCTTAACCTCAGGTACTATTTCTGGGTTAGCGGAGTCTGTAACCTGAAGCGTCTGTAACCTGAAACGTATGTAACCCAAGGTACCACTGTATAGAATCATAGAATCACTTGCCTTCGTGTAATGACGCATCAGGAAAACAAACACAGTGACAACTATACCTTTGTGTTTGGGGTAATTGGTTATGTTTAGAGTCACGGCACTGACGTTGGAAGATGTCTCATTGTCTTTGCTGGCATAGATCAACACGGAGGCCTGCCAGCTGTCGGGTCCCTGCTCTTGAGGTCTGTGCACACTGGCTAGTATTCCAAGAGTGTCACAGTCTTCCGATTCCTGGCTGGAGATGTTGGCAGAGACTTGCTCCTCTCCTACACAAGAGGAAGAGAAACTTGAATCTTACTTTGAACTTGGCCTTGTTTTATTGCACCCCACTGTGCTCCTCATAAGCAGACCCACCTTCGTAGCCACCCACCCGCTGTCTCGCCTCTCCCCAAGCTGCCGTTTTGCTGCTCTCCTGCTGGATCAGGCTCAAGTCCCACCTTGTACAGCATCCTTTTCTCACAGGGGCTAACCGGACGCCTCTGTGGAGCCGTGCAAATAGCAGGTCCAAATGAGAGGCGATAGTCCCTTGGGAAGCAGGCGGTGGAGTGTGGTCAGTGGGCTAGGGGGACTAGACTAGTCCCCTAAATGTTCCCGGAAAATTAGTGTATTAAAGTATTGAAGCCTGGCGCCTCCTTCATCATGATGGATTGCGCAGAAATGGCGAGGCTTACAGGAAGATTAAGAGATAAAGACAATTGAGGCTTTTAAAAAGACTGGGAATTATATTTGCTGTACCTACAGAAATATTGTAAAGAAATAGACTCACTAGCAGGGTTTGAGTAAACACTTACAACCACAAAAATGAAGGTAAAAGACAAGGAATAATGTTTTTGAAAATAATTAATTATGAGAAGAATTTATAGCGGGGAGATACAAAATGATAATAATGGGAATGTATTTAGACAGATGGTGATAAAATTAAGATAAAACAGTGTAAGTAGAAGTATTAAATGTATAAAGAACCAGAAAGGGGAGGTTGAGGGAAGTCCGGCGGTGGGGGGAGAAGGGGTTTCTCTTTCTGGCATTTGTTTCTCTATTACTTATGTAGATTATGAGAATTTTAAACTGTAAAACCTAATTTAAAAAATATTATTTTAAAAAAGAAGAAGGCTGGCGCCCCCTTCCCAAAGCCTGGGAAGCTTCTGGGAGAGCTGGGAGAGCCACTGTGCCAGTGTGGTGCAGTGGTTAAGAGTGGTAGACTCGTAATCTGGTGAACTGGGTTCGATTCCCCGCTCCTCCACCTGCAGCTGCTGGGTGACCTTGGGCCAGTCACACTTCTATGAAGTCTCTCAGCCTCACTCACCTCACAGAGTGTTTGTTGAGATTGTTAGCCGCTTTGAGACTCCTTAGGGTAGTGATAAAGCGGGCTATCAAATCCAAACTCCTCTTCCTCCTCCTTCTGCCAAATTTAGGGAAGGAGGCACGATGCTCACCCCCCCCAATTGCCCTTGCAAGGTGGCGCTTCTGGCCCTAACTGCTCCTCTATGGAAAAATTCACCAAATGTCATTGGGAAGTAGGGTAACAGGTTTGTGCCCCCGTTTGGTTAACATTGGGTGGCCAGTAACACGCACATATATCCTCTTTTGTAAAAATGACTTTTGAAGCAGCGGTGGCTCCTGTGGTGGGAGAGGGGCCTTCTCAACACCGGTGTGGGGCAGGGTGCGGCCATGGTCTGGACTCTGCAGTTGCACTAATATGCATCATATGCAATCCTGGCCTCGCCGCCACTCTGCCCCAGCTAAGCCCAGGTAAGCTGCGGTGACCCCAGCAATGGGAGAGTATATCGCAGCCGCTGCCACCACAAAGGCCTCTCCTGCTTTTCCTCTTGCAAACAGGAAACAGGACGAGTGGTTTGCTGTACCTAGGAGAGCCAGCAAGCCCATCACCGTGAGCACTGGCTTCCTCACCATCTGGACATGCGGCGGTTTGGTGTTGTTCATCTGAAAGCGCGCCGTCAGCGTCCTCTGCGTGAAGTGATAGGGGTGGTAGCTCAGAAACGCGTTGTCGTTGCTCAGCAAAGTGTAGTTGACGGTGTTGTTGGCTCGAGCAAGCAACAGGTTTTGGTGCTGGGCGATAACCTGCGAAGGAATAATAATAAAAAATAAATAATAATAATAATAATAAATTTATTATTTATACCCTGGCCATCTGGCTGAGTTTCCCCAGCCACTCTGGGCGGCTCCCAATCAAGTGTTAAAAACAATGCAGCGTTAAATATTAAAAACTTCCCTGAACAGGGCTGCCTTCAGATGTCTTTTAAAGATAGGATAGCTGCTTATTTCCTTCACATCTGATGGGAGGGCGTTCCATGGGGCAGGCGCCACTACCAAGAAGGCCCTCTGCCTGGTTCCCTGTAACTTGGCTTCTCGCAGCGAGGGAACCGCCAGAAGGCCCTCGAAGCTGGACCTCAGTGTCCAGGTAGAACGATGGGGGTGGAGACGCTCCTTCAGATATACTGGACCGAGGCCGTTTAGGGCTTTAAAGGTCAGCACCAACACTTTGAATTGTGCTTATTTCCTTCACATCTGAAGGGAGGGTGTTCCACAGGGTGGGCACCACTATTGAAAGGGGCAGCGGCAGGGGACTCACCAAACAAGCCCTGTCAGTCAGCGCAAACTCTACGCAAGGACTTCCGCTTGTACAGCGAGGCTGTGTCCCCTTTGTGTCCCCCCCCCCCGCCCAAATTGGCTTGAGGCGTGGTGGTTCAGGAGGACCCCAGAGCAGCACATGGGAAGAGAAGGAGAGGGGGGATCGTTCCGTCTGGCAAGCTTGTGCCATGTTCAACAGAGCACAATGTTCTGTTCCGTTCAGCATCTTTAAAGCTTAAATAAACCTGTGATTATGTTAGCCCCACCTATACAATAGGTGGGACTTGTACTTCCTGAGGAGTTGTCGAGATCCAACAATCTCCAGGCAGGCCAAAAATTCAATTTTGCTTTTTCCTTTCCAATGATTATATAGTGGACCCTCCGGATACGAACTTAATTCGTTCCGGGGGTCTATACATACCCTGAAAAGTCTTCAAGTCGAGGCGCCACTTCTGCGCACGCACGGCATGATAGAACACTTCTGCGCATGCACACATAGCAAAACCCGGAAGTATACACTTATGTATATGTAAAGTTACATTATCCGAAGGTAACATAACCTAAGGTACCACTGTATAGCACAAACAGGGGCGTGTGTCCTGCACTTAATCTGCATTTTGTACCAAGGTAGTCCGTACCTTGTGACCTGTGTGCATTCAACAGCCTTGCATTTCTCTCATTTTGAGTAATTGTTTCTTTGGTTGTGCTACCTGGCATAAATTCATTATGCTTTAGCTGGCGGTGGAGGGGGGAGAAACGATGCAGAGCACAGACAATCCACCCTTTTAAGCCAGGGACGAGGAACGCCGGCCTGGGGACTGAACAGAGTCCTCTTTACCCGGCACTTGGGATCTGCCCCAGGCCACACCTCCTCTACAGCCGCTTTTAACCTCTGGACCCACTCCTTTTTGCCTCTGGTACTGCCCACCACTGGAAAAGTTTTAAGCAATGAAAATAAAATAATAATAATAATAATAAATTATTATTATTATTTATCATTTATACCCCACCCATCTGGCTGGGTTTCCCCAGCCACTCTGGGCGGCTCCCAACAGAGTATTAAAAACACAATAAAACAGCAAACATTAAAAACTTCCCTAAACAGGGCTGCCTTCAGATGTCTTCTAAAAGTCAGATAGTTGTTTATTTCCTTGACATCTGATGGGAGGGCATTCCACAGGGCAGGCACCACCACCAAGAAGGTCCTCTGCCTGGTTCCCTGTAACCTCACTTCTCGCAATGAGGGAACCGCCAGAAGGCCCTCGGAGCTGGACCTCAGTGTTCGGGCTGAACGATGGGGGTGGAGAACCCATTTGATTTCTGGGATTCCAGCAGGCATTGTCCACTATGTATATTCAAGTACATCTCTGTAACCATAAGGACTGGGGAGCTCTTCTTGTTTTAAAAAATAAAAGCTGAAATTCTCGGTTATATTCTGGACCCAGGATCACATTCTATGGCTTCTCTGTGTTCCTGCAAAAGATGCTGGAATAGACACTGCCCCAACCTTTAGGTACATGAATCCTCAAACACATTTTTTCTTTAAACTGCCTCATTTCTCCCCGATATTTTACCCCAGTACAGAGGACAAGACGCTGGTGTTTATGTCTGGTTATGGAAGAAATTAAATCCATGTGCGAAGCTGTCCTGTGCGCATCTTGAAAACAAGAAACGCAGCATAATAATTTGCAGTCAGGATCCTTTCCAAAGCCTTTCCAGTAGCTTTGGCTGACCTAATTCCCAAGCCTTGCTAAAATTAGGAACTTAAGAGGAGGATTGCAGTGGTGTAACTAATCAGATATAAAAGGATTACCGCTCAGTAACAAAATACACAAAGCAGCAAGTTGGGTTGAAAGGAGCAGAAAGGAGTTCCAGAAAGATGCTTTCAAAAATCGGAAACTGAGGAGTTCAAGTAGTAGTCAGTGAGGATCAGGGGGCTGTACAACCAAAATTGTTACAAACCATTTTTGGTAATTTCTAGCGCTCTTAGTTTACTATGTGTAAATAAAATTAACCTATACTCTTCACCGATTAAGCCCCCTCTCCACTGCCCTCCTCTTTTGCTGAGACGACAAAAGATATGAATTATAGGCGATAAGCTCAGCCAAAGCAGGACAGCGAACTATCCTCTTATAGTCTGACAAGTTCCTTAACAAATATTTATTATTTATTATTATTAACAAATAAAGAATGCTAGGAAACTGGCTGCCGTGACAGGTGGGGCCTGAATATTACAATAATCCAAGGCCTACACTGTGTAGACAGAAATAGAACCATAAGAGTTGGAAGGGACCCCCAGGGTCATCTAGTCCAACCCCCTGCAATGCAGGAATCTTTAGCTCAATCCCATGCCCCAAGAGTCTCCTCCACTGATTCTCTTGTGGGATCCCTGGCAGATGGGGTTCAGGCCCTTGAATCAGGCATGGAGGACAGGTGGCTGCCAAGCGAAGCATTTGATTTTTCACCATAGGAATTACAGTGGTACCTCAGGTTACATACACTTCAGGTTACAGACTCCACTAACCCAGAAATAGTGCTTCAGGTTAAGAACTTTGCTTCAGGATGAGAACAGAAATCGGGCTCCGGCAGCACGGCAGCAGCAGGAGGCCCCATTAGCTAAAGTGGTGCTTCAGGTTAAGAACAGTTTCAGGTTAGAACGGACCTCCGGAGCAGATTAAGTACTTAACCCGAGGTACCACTGTACTTTGACATTGTTTTTTCTTTTTCTTTTTGCGTTTTTGTTTTTCGCTGCTTGTTTATTATTATTATTTTGTTTAGTCTTATGAGTGTGTGTGTTTGTGTTGTAAAAAAACTTAATAAAAAAATAGAACAGAAATCGTGCTCCAGCGGCGCGGCGGCAGCGGGAGGCCCCATGAGCTAAAGTCGTGCTTCAGGTTAAGAACAGTTTCAGGTTAAGTACGGACCTCCAGAACGAATTAAGTACTTAACCTGAGGTACCACTGTAATGACAATCCTTTGCTTATGCAGTCGTACCTTGGATCCTGGACGCCCTGGAACTCGGATGTTTTGGCTCCCAAACATCGCAAACCCGGAAGATAATGTTCTGGTTTGCAAACATTCTTTTGGAACCCGAACGTCCGACGGGGCTTCCGCGGCTACTGATTGGCTGTAGGACCTTCCTTCAGCCAATCAGAAGCCATGATTTGGTTTTTGAACATTTTGGAAGTTGAAAGGACTTCCAGAACAGATTCTGTTCGACTTCCAAGGTACGACTGTATGGGCAAAAGGCAAGGGGCACATTCGGAGAATCAAATGCTCCCTCCGCAGCCAGGCAGCCAGACTGTCTCCTCACCTGCTTCTTGCACCTCGGTGCGTTAGCAAACGTAACCTGGGCACAGGGCGGCAGCAACAGGGTGTGCAGACAGGGCAGTTCTGGTGGCTTTAGACTTCCATTTATTTATTTAAGGTATCAGTATACAGTGGTACCTCGGGTTAAGTACTTAATTCGTTCCGAAGGTCTGTTCTTAACCTGAAACTGTTCTTAACCTGAAGCACCACTTTAGCTAATGGGGCCTCCTGATGCCGCTGCGCCGCCAAGAGCCCGATTTCTGTTCTCATCCTGAAGCAAAGTTCTTAACCTGAAGCACTATTTCTGGGTTAGCAGAGTCTGTAACCTGAAGCGTATGTAACCTGAAGCATATGTAACCCGAGTTACCACTGTAATGCTTTTCAGGGGAGCCTCATGCACAAAGCAGTTTACATTAAAGGGAAAAAGAGAGATGAAACAATATTTCCTTTTTTTAAAGAGCTTGATATTTCCTCCCATTAGGCCAAGATGGCCCTCTGGTGGCAGGTGTGCAATGGAGCCATCTCAGCTGGAAAACCAGGAGCTAGAGATACTGAACATCTCCCCAGGCTCTTCTGTCTTTTTGCTCTCTTCCCTTCCTCTCAGGGCCAAAAATGGTCCTTCAGTGGCCCCCTGGTGGCGGTTGGAGGAGATATAAGCCACCTCAGCTGTATCTTGTTTTGTGGTTTTATTGCGTTAAAACATTTTGGTAGATCTTCACAAACTTGAAAAGCAGTATATGCTCGTTCAGATAAATAAAACGTCTCATTGCCGACTCAGAAACTATCCACTGGTCTCACACATCCAGAAACGAATGCCTCTTTTCGGAGTGATGCTTCTGAAGACGCCTCAGCCGGGAGCCAAAGAAGCTCCAAGTTAATTAACGTCAGTTTGCTGTTGCTCAATATTTGTTGTCGGCACGTGCGCTGACTGCCTATCACCTCAAAGTCAACAAAAATATTCAAAAAGAAGTAAGAAAAATAAGTAAATTCCATTGACCCATAAACCTCACAAAGCTGGAGAACAGGAGTGTGCTATGGAGATACTCTGTCTAGGCCTGAATATTCCCAGCGGCTCAAGGACTCAGGACAAAAAGGCCTGCGCATGATGTTAACTATGGATGGCAGCTAACAGATTGAGGTTGAATCCTGACAAGACTGAAGTACTGTTCTTGGGGGACAGGGGGCGGGTGGGTGTGGGGGACTCCCTGGTCCTGAATGGGGTAACTGTGCCCCTGAAGGACCAGGTGCGCACCCTGGGAATCATTTTGGACTCACAGCTGTCCATGGAGGCGCAGGTTAATTCTGTGTCCAGGGCGGCTGTCTACCAGCTCCATCTGGTACGCAGGCTGAGACCCTACCTGTCCACGGACTGTCTCGCCAGAGTGGTGCATGATCTAGTTATCTCCCGCTTGGACTACTGCCATGCGCTCTACGTGGGGCTACCTTTGAAGGTGACCGGGAAACCACAATTAATCCAGAATGCAGCAGCTAGACTGGTGACTGGGAGTGGCTGCTGGGACCACATAACACCAGTCCTGAGAGATCTGCATTGGCTCCCAGTACGTTTCCAAGCACAATTCAAAGTGTTGGTGCTGACCTTTAAAGCCCTAAACGGCCTCAGTCTGTATACCTGAAGGAGTGTCTCCACCCCCATCATTCAGCCCGGACACTGAGGTCCAGCTCCGAGGGCCTTCTGGCGGTTCCCTCATTGCGAGAAGTGAGGTTACAGGGAACCAGGCAGAGGGCCTTCTCGGTAGTGGCGCCCACCCTGTGGAACGCCCTCACTTCAGAAGTGAAGGAAATAAGCAGCTATCTTCTTTTTAAAAGACATCTGAAGGCAGCCCTGTTTAGGGAAGTTTTTAATATTTAATGCTGTATTGTTTTTAACACTTGATTGGAAGCCGCCCAGAATGGCTGGGGAAACTCAGCCAGATGGGCGGGGTATAAATATATTATTATTATTATTATTATTACTACTACTACTACTACTAGGGGAGTCAGGCAAGCATGGTTTGATGGTGAAATTTAGGGGTGAAGAGGCTTAAAAGAGGTGAAGTAAGGGCTGGTTCACACATGCACGTAGACGATTTGATTTCTCCTCACTTGCCCACTCAACCCTTGATGACTTTCAGGGGAATGTGTGAACCAAACTCACCCAAGGCTGGATTGAGCCATTGGTCTGTGAGGCCAGAAACCAGCAGTCCATGTGCTGGATATTGTGGCAGAGGAATATCCTAACCCACAAGGCCAGGCCAGGCGATCCTCCTCAAGTGGCAGGATCCATAAGGGCAGCAGATCCTGATGTAAATCTTTCTTCCCCATGTCTTCCCAATGTAGACCTTCACTTACCCCCTTCTTCTCTAGTAGGGAGGGGAGCACCATTTTACAGTTTGCCTCAGGCGCCAAAATGCCTTGGGCTGGCCCTGAACCTAACAGAATCCTTAAGTCAAATGATCCCGTCAAGGAGATCCTTGCCCCCCTCCAGTGCTTGTCAGAAAGTCTGGATATGACAAATCTCCAATGCGCAAGTATAAGATTCAACAAATTGGCCTCTCTTTTTGATGATGATGAATTGAATTTATATAGTGCCCTATATAAGCAGGTCTGAGGGTGGTTCACAGAAAGCAACATTCTCCCATAATTCAGTGGTGATGTGGCACCTAGGACTGAGCCAGAGGTCACATACCACAGTTAAAGCCTTATAATGAGGTGCTTATCAGTGGAATTTTTTGTCATTAGATCACAGGATGAAGAGAAGCAACTCTCAGAGGCCTAAATATCAATGTGATTGCAAAATCACTAGCTGCAAGTGTCCATTCTCTCCATTAGATGGTGCACCAGTCATATGCTATACGTATTGATATTTCTGAGGTATATCAGACATAATATTCATCAGGCCCATTGACTGCCTGTTCAACTCCAGTACAGTGGATGCTCAGGTTGCGAACGTGATCCGTGCGGGATGAACGTTCGCAACCCGCATCTACGCACGCACGGGTTGCGATTCGGCGCTTTTGCGCATGCGCAAAGCGTGATTTAGCACTTCTGCGCATGCTCGACCACCGAAACCCGGAAGTAACCCGTTCCGGTACTTCCAGGTTTCAGCGGTCCGTAACCCAAACAAATGCAACCTGAAGCGGCTGTAACTCGAGGTATGACTGTAGAGCCCTTCGTGTAGACAAGGGAGTTGTCCAATAAGAATTCTCAGCCTATTCGTGTGGTATTTTCTGAGACCTTCGCAAGAACATTTCCTCCCTGCACCAAAAAAAACCAAAGTTCTTGTTTACAGTGGAACCTCAGTTGTTGAACGCTCCAGCAGCCAACAATTTGGAACCTGAACGCCAACCACCCAGAAATGAATGCTTCCATTTTTTAACGTGCCTTGGAAGTCAAACGGCTTCTGTGGCGCGTTTCTCCATTTTTTCAATGGCTTTTGCACCTCGGTTGTCAAACGTTTTAGAAGGCAAATGGTCTTCCGGAAGGGATTACGTTCGACAACCGAGGTTCCACTGTATAAGATACCTCATTGAACCAAGAAATTCATGGGCTTCACAGGGATTTTTTCTCCACCCGCCAAAAAAAGTTACTTGTTTATAAGCTACACCATTGGGCCGAGAAATTCAAAGGCTTCTGCAGAAGAAGGAATTACCGTATTTTTCGCTCTATAGGACACACTTTTTCCCTCCTAAAAAGTAAGGGGAAATGTGTGTGCGTCTTATGGAACAAATGCAGGCTGCGCAGCTATCACAGAAGCCAGAACAGCAAGAGGGATTGCTGCTTTCACTGCACAGCGATCCCTCTTGCTGTTCTGGCTTCTGAGATTCAGAATATTTTTTTTCTTGTTTTCCTCCTCCAAAAACTAGGTGTGTCTTGTGGTCTGGTGCGTCTTATAGAGCGAAAAATACGGTAACTGTGGGCCTTGACAGGAGAGCTGATACGTTAAAGAAATCGCACCTATGTTTAAACAGAGGCCTATAGAGATAAAACAAATGAGGATGGGCACCGGGGCAACAGAAAAGAAGGTAGAGGTGCAGAAAGCAATGCAGCTCAAGTCTACCTTAGCCACCATGGCCGCATAGGTGACATCCGCTCTCCACAGCTGCGGAACTGACCATCCCACCAGCGGATCTGCCTCGTCGTTGTATACAGGCACAGAGGTGAACGTGGGAAAGAGCTTCTGGATCTGTCCCAGTGCTTCAGTTTCTTGTTCTAAGATGTACAGCGACCGCCCAGCTCCCTGTGGGAAGAGCTGTTGTTATTTATTTGATAGATAGCCTATTTCACAAGGCAGTTATAAAAAAGTAAAGGACTCCTGGGTGGTTAAGTCCAGTCAAAGGTGACTATGGGGTGTGGCGCTCATCTGGCTTTCAGGCTGAGAACGCCAGCGTTTGTCCACAGACAGCTTTCCGAGTCATGTGGCCAGCGGGATTAAACCGCTTCTGGCGCAATGGGACACCGTGACAGAAACTAGAGCACATGGAAATGCTGTTTACCTTCCCTCCGCAGCAGTACCTATTTATCTACTTGCACTGGTGTGCTTTCCAATTCCTAGGTTGGCAGGAACGGGGACAGAGCAACAGGAGCTCACCCTGTTGCGGGGATTCGAACCACCAACCTTCTGATTGGCAAGCCCAAGAGGCTCAGTGGTTTAGACCACAGCACCACCAAGGGTAACAACTAGATCATGTAATTGAAGCACCTGGGATTTTCTAAAGTGGTGTACAGATGCTATGTGGAATTAAGAAATGAATTGTTGCAAGAAGCAGTTGTCAATGTTTGAATTCAATTCAGGACCTTTGCACCACGTAGCAAGTTTTTTGTTTTTAGTGCACAAGAGGCAATTTATTGTGAACACTTAACTTGGGACAGGCACATCTCAACAGCAAATTGAGCAGGGAGCTGACCTTCTTATGCATGGCAATGTAGTCTAGCCGGACGCCTGTCTCTCCAGTGAAGAAATTAGTTCCATTGTGGCAGTGACAGAGGAGGCTCCAGCACATGGGGGACTTTGGGAATGGGTGGAAGGAGTCTCCAGGACCTCCAAATTTCAGCTGAGAACTGGCTTGTCTTAAACCTTCAGAGCAAGCGTCATAGTAGTTGAGAAATCCTAGGAGCAAAATTGAACAGTCAACAATAGGCCTAGTGTTTCAGTAGTAATATCTAGCTTCGAGGAGAGGAAAATGTCTTGTTTCTTCAGAACATACTGGAGTGAAACAGGGCAAAGAAGGCCATAATGTACCACATTTGCTCTGCAAAAATCAACAAATTATGGACTGTTTATATACGTAGGAGGTCTAGTTATCTGTGTGGCTGTGAGCAGGTCATGCTATGGGCTATAGACACCCATTGAAGACCCCCGTAGCTGCAATGTAATCCTGACACACAGAATTCTTAAAGCGTGTTTCTAGCCCTCATAACTGTAAAAGGTAAAGGACCCAAGGATGGTTACGTCCAATCAAAGGCAAGTATGGGGTTGCGGTGTTCATCTCGCTTTCAGGCTGAGAGAGCCAGCGTTTGTCCACAGACAGCTTTCCAGGTCATGTGGCCAGCAAGACTAAACCACTTCTGGTGCAACGGGACACCGTGACGGAAACCAGAGCACACAGAAACGCTGTTTACCTTCCTGCCGCAGTGGTATCTATTTATCTACTTGCACTGGCATGCTTTCGAACTGTTTGTCTGCTAGCACAAACACAAAGAAGGGTATTGTGGTACCTAAAAGACAAATATTTGGAGTGGAGTCCCTAAGATGATTGGATGGTGCCTTGTACGTCTCTTTCCGGCAACTCCTGCAGCCAAGCTGGTGCCAAACATATTGCTCTGCTTTCCTTTGGACCACATAGAATCATAGAATCATAGAGTTGGAAGAGACCACAAGGGCCATCGAGTCCAACCCCCTGCCAAGCAGGAAACACATCACAGGGGCCAAGCGGTGGGTCTTGTCAACTGGGCAGCTCAGGACCTCCACCTCCACTGCCCAGGCTTGCACGCCAGGCAGGACACATTGATGCTGCTAATGCAGCAGTTTGACTTCACCCCCAAAGGCACACTCCATTGTCTCTCGAGACAGATGCCAACAACAACCTGAGGTACCCATAGTTCCATTCTCAGTAATACGGTAGGTCAAAAGATCTATGGTTTTGAAAAACGGCTAAGCAAAGAATATTACCACAGTGTTGCTATGAAACACTTTATTTCTATAATTTACTTAGTTTCTCCTAGGCAACATTCCTGCTGTAACCCCTGCAGTAACTTGCATGTGTTGATTTAGCTTTTAAGAGCTCAAATGACGAAAAAAATATCTCTGTGAGATGGCAATTAGTGCTGAGCTTTTTACAGGGTTTAAAACGGAACATTTCTTTATCTTGCTTTCATTAGCCCTGATCTCTGAACTTTCACCACTCTGCTCACAGTTAAAAACCGGGAGGATTCAAAAGAGGCTTACCATTAACTGTCATGGATACGTTGTCAAAGTCATGGTGATCTGGCTCGTTCCAAGTCTCAAAATTCCATTTAGAAACATGCTTCAATCCATAACGTTCTGGAAATCAAATTTGCATTAATTACAGCTTTGTCATATTAAGCAGTAGGCTTTCATTTAGCCGCACACGGAAACCTCAGTTGAAAGGCTATTGTCCCAAACCACCTCTTATTCCTTTAAGAGGAATTTCTACCTTTAAGGGGCATGTTCACACCCACCCACAATCCAGGACAGATGCCACTTCCACAGATTAGTATTCTGTGACAGGGCCCAGTGTATGGGCTGGATGTTGATTTACAGGATAAGTTGCAAAGGGGGTGGCAGGAAGAAAAAACTCCCCCACTTTTTTCTGGTTCCATCTGTCAATTGATTTCCCCATGGGTCAATGTCTTTCCACAGAAATGAAAAGGGTCCCCCACGCAGGCTCTAGAGTAGCGTTTTCCAAACTTGGGTCTCCAGCTGTTTTGGGACTACAACTCCCACCATCCCTAGCTAGCAGGATCAATGGTCAGGAATAATGGAAATTGTAGTCCAAAAACATCCGGAAACCCAAGTTTGTAAAACCCTGCTCTAGAGCAATCCTCGTCTAATTGTTAATCTTGCCTTGAAGTTTGATGTCCTATACAGTCGTACCTTAGATCTCAAATGCCTTGGCTCCCGAACAAATTGGCTCTTGAACGATCGAAACTCGGTTTTCGAACGTTGTTTTGGAAGCCGAATGTCCAACACAGGTTCCGCAACTTCCGATTGGAAGCTTCCTGCAGCCAATCAGAAGTCACACTTTCGTTTCCGAACATTTTGGAAGTCGAACGGACTTCAGGAACGGATTCCGTTCAACTTCCAAGGTATGACTGTAGTTGCTTGTGGAATCCCCTGTTGATGTTCTCTTGGCCACCCAACTGCAATCATACACAGTTTAGTAAATTATAAGCCATGAGGCACACTAACTTAGGGTCATTTAAAGAAAGGTTCAAGGATTATTATTTTTTAAAAAGCATTTCCCCTGGACATTGCCCTTTAAGACGTGTTTGTGGACATGCTGAGGTGACAAATTAAAATTTTGTTAACTCACCTATATATCTTTCGGCCAACTGTGTAACCAGGTCCTTCCATTGTATCACCTGCCTTTTATCTTCAAAGTCAGTGAAGTATCCCGAGGGACTTCCCATCAATTCGAATCCTGAGTTTGAGGAGGGAGGAAAACCCACACAGACCTGTTCAGTGCTTTTGAACTGAGCAGTGCCAAGCATCCGTTGGTCTGCGCTTGGGCGCCATGGCCAAGAGCCAAAGAACTATGTGGCCGTGAACATGGGTAGGCGATGGGGGGAGTCTGGCAGCAGGGCCCAGCCACTCTCTGCATCATTTTGGCAGTTTGCAGAGAAGAGAGAGAAAGGAAAGAGCTGAACAAATGGCGATAAAGGCACAGGGTGCGGGTTCAGACAATCAGTTTTTTTTCAATGGCACACAAATCTATTGGGCGCATCTAAAACAGCTCTTTGGGTCCAAGCCATGCCACCTTTCCATTTGATCATACAAATACTCTGAGTGGATTAGGACTCTTTTGGGAGAAGGGGAAGGATATAAACATGTGTCAGGCTTCAGAGAATCAGATCCCTCCCCGGTGGCAGCCAAGAAGCAGATAAACGAGAAGTATTCTTACCACGTAATTTATTCAGTATTCACAGAGAGAGATGAAGGAATGCAGTCTCTATTAAATAATGCCATTGCTCTGACTGAAGTCCAACCTGCCCCGTCTCTCCTATTCTACGTCATCCCTGCGCCAGCCGATCTGAGCTTTCTGCCTCTGAGCTCTCTGTTCTACTACTCTCAATGCCCGCCTGGTCCTGGGAGAGGGGGTATCAGGAAAGCTTTCCAAAGGCATTGAGTTTGTCAGCTGTCTCTCCCCCGGTGCTTCTTCTTTCTGCTGTTCCTCTCCCAATTATTTCCCAACTTTGCCCCTCTGCAGCCTCTGTACTATGGCCTTCTGCAAACCACTATTCTAAATCTATACTGTCCTCCTATTCTTGGGAAGGTGCAGGAAGGGGCCTGGGGCGGTCCCCACCATTCCTCCTCAGTCCAGCCCCTGACAGCATAGAATTCTACAGTTGGAAGGGACCCCAACGGTCATCAAGTCCAACCCCTTGCAATGCAGGAATCTTAACTAAAGCATCCATGACAGATGGTCATCTGAACTCGGATTAAAAACTTCCAAGGAAGGAGAGTTCACCACCTTCTAGAGTCCATTCCACTGTTGAACGGCTCTTACTGTTAGAAAGTTCTTCCTGATGTTGACTTGGAATCTCCCTTCTTGCAACTTGAAGCTTTGGGTCCTACCCTCCAGAGCAGGAGAAAACAAACTTGCTCCAGCTCTTTAGATATTTGAAGACTGCTACTATCTCTCCTCTCAGTCTCTTTTCCAGGCTAAACATATCCAACTCCCTCAATTGTTCCTCCTAAGGCTTAGTTTCCAGATCCTTGACTATCTTGGTTGCCTTCCTCTGCACATGCTCCATCTTGTCAATATCCTTCTTCTATTTTTGCACCCAGTGTAGGACACAGGACTCCTGTGTCCAAGGCAGAATAAAGCAGAGCTATTCCTTCCCTTGATCAGAACACTATACTTCTGTTGATGCAGTCGTGAATAGCATTATCTGGTTTTGCTGCTGCATTACACTGCTGACTCATGTTAAACTTCTCAGCTAAAAAAAACCCTAGATCCTTTTCCCATGTACTGCTGGCAAGCCATGCGTTTCCCTTGAGTTCTGAAGTAAAAGGACACCATTCAGCTGAGTTGGGAGCCTACACTTCAGTGCTTATACTATTGCAGAGATTGCAGAAACTCACAATTTGCCCTTGCCCCTTGCTCAATAAAGTTGGTGGAAGTTTAACTTAACATTGGCGTGTTAAATTTCTGCTGTTCTCAAAGAAAGCAAAGCACTGTACAGAACTCCAAACAACTTAAGCTATACATTGTTTAACGGAGCTTAGAATTAGTATTTTTTTTTTATAAAAAACCAAGTGATTAGATTTACCTGGACGTAGTTTGTTTTCCCAAAGAAGATCCATGAAGTTATCTAGGTTGGTGAAATTGTAATGAAGTGTCCCATTGGCCTCCCTGCAGAAAACATTTGATTAGATCCATTGCAAACCAAGTCAATTCCCCATTAAATGCGAAGACTTTGGGCCAGAGAAATCATGCTTATTCATAAAATGACAACTTGCATAAGCAAATGACCCATGAGACTTCCAAGATCATAGGCATGACTTTCCTGTCAATAATAATAATAATAATAATAATAATAATTTATTATTTATACCCCACCCATCTGGCTGGGTTTCCCCAGCCACTCTGGGTGGCTTCCAACAGAATATTAAAATACAATAACCTATTAAACATTAAAAGCTTCCCTAAACAGGGCTGCCTTCAGATGTCTTCTAAAAGTCTGGTAGTTGTTTTTCTCTTTGACATCTGGTGGGTGCCACTACTGAGAAGGCCCTCTGCCTGGTTCCCTGTAACTTGGCTTCTCACAGCGGAGGAGGAGGAAGAGTGGAAGGAAGGCAGGTACAGACAGCATCAGGTTCTGCTCCAATCCGACTGATTTCCTTCACCCCAATTTTACATGTTATCATTTACCTTATTACTTTAAATTTTAAACTGCCTTGGGTGCCTTGGCAGAAAGGTGGTATACAAATGAAATAAGTATTGTCTTAAATGCAATATTTTTGTATGAGCAAACCACATGGCCTCAATTTTCTGAAAACGATCATAGATGATTTTATGCATGGAGCCACTTTTGGTAACTAAGCAAAACTTTCAAATTGTTCATTCAAGGAAGAGTACACCTTTGAGGGGAGAAAACAGTTCTGTACCCTGAGGTTAGTTAGCTGTGTCTCTACCAGATGATCCCCTATGTACTATTAAAATATTTACTTACACAGCGAACAAGCAAAAAAATAATTAACTTTAGTTTTGTGTCAGCCAAATACAGCACGTGCTGCCATCACAAAAGGAGGTGGAGGACATAAAAATATCTTACTGAGTTTGGCAATGCAAGAAATCTATCGTGAGAGGATTTTTATCATACCATGCGTATCTATAGAAGAATGAACTGGCACCGGTATTTGGACAAAGGGATGTCACGCGTCTGATCCCGCATGTGAGCTGGGAGTGCAGGCACATTATATTTTATGCATCACAGAAACAATATTATATCAGTGTCACTGAACTGTATATGCAACAAGCTCACATGCTGGCCCGATGATCCTTTCTCCAGCCAGATGAAAAGGCTACAGGGAGCTGAGGAAAGTCCAGTTCATGTAGGAAACAACGAGGGTAGGCTTTCCAGGACCTCGGAGAGCACCCCACAAAGAAGGATTTTGCTTCATTAAGCCAAACCAAGCAGCGGTGGTGTCATAACCCCAGAGTCCATCTGCAGTTAGGACTTGGACTTAGAGGCTGCAGAGTCTCCAGCTATGGAGCCAGACCAGGGGCAGGGCTCCGATCTTGCTTCTGGTGATCAGGGGACCACAGCCTCGTGAACATGAGCCCCCAGAAGAACTTTCCATATCTGTAAGGCCAGAGCTCAGACACCACAGGCACCTACCCCTGAGGAACCAAATGCCTCCAAATGGACCTAAATGGTCCTGCGGTTCAGGGAGCATGCCAGCAGGAGTGCCCATCCTCTGATCAGGGGGTTGGCCCTTTAAGAACCTAACGTTAGCCACCAGGGAGTGGCACCTGAGCAAGGTAGCCTAGAACCAGAATCTTGAAAAGGCTGAGTCAACTCTCAGCTTCTGTCAGAGCTATCCATGGTCCACCCACCCCTGACCTGCCTTGTTGCCTTCTCTGCGGGGTCCAGCATCCAGCCTAAGTAGGACAAGTGCTAGCCAACTCAAATAATAATAATAATAATAATAATAATAATAATAATTTATTATTTATACCCCGCCCATCTGGCTGCGCCTCCCCAGCCACTCTGGGCGGCTTCCAAAAAAATATTAAAACACCGTAATACATCAAACATTAAAAGCTTCCCTAAATAGGGCTGCCTTCAGATGTCTTCTAAAACTCTGGTAGTTGTTGTTCTCTTTGACATCTGGTGGGAGGGCGTTCCACAGGGAGGGCGCCACTACCGAGAAGGCCCTCTGCCTGGTTCCCTGTAACTTGGCCTCTCGCAGTGAGGGAACCGCCAGAAGGTCCTCGGTGCTGGACCTCAGTGTCCAGGTAGAACGATGGGGGTGGAGACGCTCCTTCAGATATACTGGACCGAGGCCGTTTAGGGCTTTAAAGGTCAGCACCAACACTTTGAATTGTGCACGGAAACGTACTGGGAGCCAATGTAGGTCTTTCAAGACCGGTGTTATATGGTCTCGGCGGCTGCTCCCAGTCACCAGTCTAGCTGCCGCATTCTGGATTAGTTGTAGTTTCCGGGTCACCTTCAAAGGTAGCCCCACGTAGAGCGCATTGCAGTAGTCCAAGTGGGAGATAACCAGAGCATGCACCACTCTGGCGAGACAGTCCACGGGCAGGTAGGGTCTCAGCCTACGTACCAGATGGAGCTGGTAAACAGCTGCCCTGGACACAGATTTGACCTGTGCCTCCATGGACAGCTGTGAGTCCAAAATGACTCCCAGGCTGCGCACCTGGTCCTTCAGGGGCACAGTTACCCCATTCAGGACCAGAGAATCCTCCACACCTGCCCGCCTCCTGTCCCCCAAAAACAGTACTTGTGTCTTGTCAGAATTCAGCCTCAATCTGTTAGCCGCCATCCATCCTCCAATGTTCAACTTCCCCTGCTCTTTAGGTGAGAGCTGGCAGGTTCTAAAAAGCTGGGAGCCATGAACTCCAGGGCTGCTATATAATAACTTCCAGAAACATTTCCCCTCGATTGTAGTATATTAAGCAATGTCAATGCCTTAGGGTTGCCAGCCAACTAGCATCCAAGTCAGTGTTTCTCAAACAGCTGTTGTTGGACTACAACTCCCATCATCCCTAGCTAGTAGGACCAGCGGTCAGGGATGGTGGGAGTTGTAGTCTAACAACAGCTGGGGACCCAAGTTTGAAAAACATTGATCTAAGTGGCCTCTAAAAAATGGTGTGATCTCAGGTAACCAGTACAAGGGTCTGAAAAGTCAGAAAACTCCAGATGCTACAATGCTCCACTCCCATCTTTGAAACTTATTCATCCGATTCAGCCCAGGCTCTCTCCATGGATCTGGCCTGGGAGCCAGTATTTTTGAAATCAGAAGATAATTGGATAAGCAGAACCAAGCCTCAGTGTTAGAATTACCTGGCCTCGGGAGCAAGATGGAACAGGAGAACGTCGGGATGAGCAAAGGGCACAATGTTACCAGCAGGATTTTCCTTAAGCTGTGCTGAAATCTAACTGACCTGACAGCTTGTCTAAACCACCCCCCATTTCAGGCGACGGAAACCAGTCTGATGTTTAATCTAAAAGCAAGTAGCACAGACACAAAAAGCTTGTTCCACCCGTAGTTTTAAAAGTAAATCACGGAGCAAAGGTCAAGCTACAAAGGGAAGATCTCACATTTAATCTCAAACTGCCAGGGGGGGAGGTTGTGGTTTTAATTTTCCACGCAGGATTTGCTAATATTCCCCGTTTCTCCCCACCGAACGCCCGACGATATTGTAAGATCGCCGTTGTGAAATGCCTATGAATAAGGAGGGCACATCCGAGGGACGGAACTGCGAGCACAACAATGAGAGCTTTCAAGCTGCTAAAATACGAGGCCTGTGATTTCCCACTAACAGAGCCAGCCTTGCTCTGTTAGCTGATCCTGGGAGCTTCCCTCAGCAATGTGTGCGCCGGAGGAATGAGGCAGTGCGAGAGGCAGGTTTCAAAAGGAGAGAGATGCAAACAAAAGAATCATTAGCTCCCTGCTCGATGGAGGTGAGTGAGCTTCTGAGCGAGCGTTAAATGTATTTCAAGTCCTAGACTGTCGTGATTTTTACGGAGAAAAACAGGCAACAGAAGCAAAAGCCAGCCGGCTTTAAAAAGCACAGTCCTAAATTAGAGAAATCATCCCTCCGTATCGGGGCAGCGGGTGGCGTGGGAATTTGTATCTGAGCTGAGCATCAGGATAATGCTGAACTGTGACACATCGCCCAGTTTTGATAGCAAGCTTATAAGGCAATTTCAGCGTGGATAGCCTTCTAATTGCATTCATTTATTTCACTCTAGACTTTCACAGGATGACATAAAATGGATTCTTTTTCCTTTAGTTTCATACACTGACATATTAATTTTCTAGCAGATACTGGTCTTAGGGTAGCATCTATACGCCTTCAGAACAGGTCTATAAGTGAACTCTGGATAGCATTTCTGTTTTACATGCTGCTTGCTGGCAAAGGAACTGCTGCTCTGAATAATATCTAGGCTGAATGTTTGCATCGTTTCACCTTAATGTAACAGGTGCTAGATAGCTTTACCAGCTTCCAGCAAAAAAACAACAACCCAGTATCTTCTTGGACTGAAAAAGAAAGCATTTGAGTAGGGTGGGGAAAGCGTGGATACTAAATTTTAAGAGCCTTTCCTATTTTTACCCACTTTCCTGATACCGCTCAAAGAAAGTATCCAGTATAAAACGACAAATAATGTCAAACCGATTTAAAAACGCTAAAGATAATGTTTCACCCTCCATGACAACACCAATAAGCAGGTTTGTGGTAGGATTTAAGAGTGCCACTGCTTTGAACGAACTTGAAGTAAAAACCAAAAATCCATTCATGGGAGGTGCACACACGTGCACACACACACACACACACACACTGAGCCAAAAGATTTGAAATGACGAAATTACATCTGTGATGTTTCTATGCAGAACTGTATGTAGGCATGTAGGTAGTATAATTTGTATACTGCTTTTCAAGAAAGTCTTCCCAAAGCAGTTTACAAGCCACATATCAAACTACAAGATACAATTTAAGGCCACATGTTAAACATCACAAAAGCCAACATCTCAGAACTGCATTTCAAAACATTGACCTTTAGCACTTATCATCATCATCATCATCATCCTTTCCTTCCCCTTCCTTTCTTTGTTTTTCTGCCTGTTTTGAGATACCTCCAGTTATTTATAGATGATCAGAAGGAGCTGTGCTATTAGTTTTGGCCCCGACTGCTGCAAGGCTAACAAACCGGAAGCCCTTATTCCTGTTCCTGCTTAAAACAAAACAAAACAGAACAAAACAAAACTGTGTCACAATTAAATAAAAAATGGTAAACTGAACTCTTGGCTTCACTGAATATTTGACAATATTAAACCACAGCCCAGGTCATAGATGATCAATTGACAATATCTGACCAGTAAGTTCACTTGTCTGCCAACCCATTTCTTGGTTAAAAAGCAATGGAAACTGTTGGATTATAAATATGGATTCACTAATTAAATATTAACAATTACTGGGTCAAATGTGATTTGGATACAATATTAAGAGGAACTGGGACTAGAACCAAGATTCCGAAGTCAATTCATTTAGAAGGCCTAAGGTACAATATAAGCAACATCTACTGTTTCCTCAGATGGGTTCAAGGGGCAAAGTAATAGAAGTTCTGGATATTATTGAAAAAAATATACAAATTGATAGTGAAAGGAAGATTCCCTACAAATCTGGCCTGTCTTGCCCATCTTGTGAATGCTGCCAGTTTGGGACAAGCTGTTTGAAAAAAGACTCAATTTCAGGGTAAACTTTTTCTAGCTTTCATGACGTATTTAAGAAGCAGAATTTGGGTTTAATGTCTCTAAAATATCTGATTTTTAAAAAGGCTTCCTTGCAAATGAATCTCTTTGCTCGCTTATCACATAATTTGCAAAACTCAAACAAAATTTGGCAAAAGAGAGGAGAAATGAAGACTAAATCATGCAAAACAACAAAGAAACCCCCAATTTATGATTTACAAAGTTTAGACCGGTTGAATTATTTGGTTTGCCTAGAGGTGAGATTTTAATTTGCTTTTCTGCAGAGCATACATAGCCACAGTTTAAGACTCGGTTTCTTCCTTCCTCATGATTTATCCAAACCAGATTCAATTTCCTCACCTTATAAACTGTCTCTTGTTTTTAAAGCGCAGCAGCAAGGCCAATAAATGCTTGCCAAGTCTACTGGGGACTCTGAAGCAGCAAGGAGAAAATGGCACCCATCAATGAAGGCATTGTCACGGTACCACGTATCAATCGGCGAGGCAAGTATAGCTAACAGTGACACAGAAACGGCACCCGGTGACTCACTCCTTCACTCTTCCTAGCAGAGATTTGGGAATCCCCACGTGTTGGCAGCATTTATAGCATTTAAGATAGATCGTTCCGGATTTTATACCCTGCCCAGATGACTGGGTTGCCCCAGCCACTCTAGCTTCCGACATATGTAAAAACATAACAAAACATTAAACTTTAGAAAATCTTCCCTATACACGGCTGCCTTCAGCTGTCTTCTAAAGGTTGCATAGTTACTTATCTCCTGGGCTCGGGGGCGCATAACTCCACACCCTCCAGCATTTCTCTGATGAAAACAGGGACGACCTAAGGAAAAGCAGGACATTCTGAGATCAAATCAGAAATCGGGATGGCTTGTGTAAATCTGGGATTGTCCCTGGAAAATAGGGACACGGAGGGTCTGAATATGTAGCTACGATGGTGCGATGGCACTTTCTCCCCTGGCGCCGTTGGGCCTGCCCTCCCTTAAATATAATGCACCCACCTCACAGAACACCAATTCTACAGATTCCCACAAACTACCCCAGATTACCTTGTGGGGGACTTGTGTGAGGGAAAACTTAATCATGTGGAGTCTCAGGCAGGATTTGATCATATAATCAAGAAAGATTTTATTAAACAAAGGAAGTTTCTGACACAAGTGGGTAAAACATAGGATACTTCAGATTATACATGAATGCTCGGGTTGCGAACGTGATCTGTGAGGGATGCACGTTCACAACCCACAGCATTTGCAACCCGCAGCAGTGCGTCTGCGCACGAGCAGGATTGCGATTCAGCGCTTCTGCGCATTTGCAACCCCCGAAACCCGGAAGTAACCCGTTCTGGTACTTCTGGGTTTCGGCGGGTCTGTAACCCGAAAAAACGCAACCCGAGGTATGACTGTAATGCTATTTCACTTCAGTTCTTTCTCAGTTGTTGCACAGCTGTTGCCGCTTAATACTTTGGTTCTTAAACAAGGTGGAATTTTCTGTCAGTTACACACCCCTTAGACAACCCTACTCCTGAGGTACTCCAAGTAACAGACCCAAGGGATCACCACACCCCTCTTAACTGGTTTGGGGGACTTCTCTTTTTGTAGCAGACTCTCTCCCCTTCTGACTGGAATGAGACCTAAGTAGACTCACAGCTTCTACTTCTCCTGGCTCAGCCTCAGCTTCCCAGTTAATTCCTGGCATATTACTCTTACAGGACACCACACACTGTCCTTCACACTTAAGCTCAGAGACTCCTTTCTTTAGCTTGTGATATATTCCTCAGAGTGGATGTTTCTACTCAGAACCAACTCTCTCTCTCCTCTCACTCCCTATCTCCCTGCCTATCTCCCAACCTCTATCCCATGGGTTGGCAAACTACGGCCCGGGGGCCGGATCCGGTCCAATCACCTTCTAAATCCAGTCCGCGGATGGTCCAGGAATCGGCTTGTTTTTACATGAGTAGAATTTTTTATTTAAAATGCATCTCTGGGTTATTTGTGGGGCATAGGAATTCGTTCAATTCCCCCCCAAAAATATAGTCTGGCCCCCCACAAGGTCTGAGGGACGGTAGACCACCCCCCTGCTGAAAAAGTTTGCTAACGAACTCTCCATCACAGTGGCCTCATCTGCTTAAACCTCTTTGGTGCTGCTCTCACCTCTTGTTATTTGTGGGCTAATCCAGCGTAAAGGTAAAGGTAAAGGGACTCCAGACCATTAGGTCCAGTCGTGGCCGACTCTGGGGTTGCGGCACTCATCTCGCTTTATTGGCCGAGGGAGCCAGCGTACAGCTTCCAGGTCATGTGGCCAGCATGACTAAGCCGCTTCTGGCGAACCAGAGCAGCACACAGAAACGCCGTTTACCTTCCCGCCGGAGCGGTACCTATTTATCTACTTGTACTTGGACGTGCTTTCGAACTGCTAGGTGGGCAGGAGCAGGGACCGAGCAACGGGAGCTCACCCTGTCGCAGGGATCTGAACTGCCAACCTTCTGATCGGCAAGTCCTAGGCTCTGTGGTTTAACCCACAGCACCACCCGCGTTCCTTTTAATCCAGCATAGCTAGCCGCAAATTGGCTCCAGCTGAACACACAAACTGTACAGCTAGCGAGCAGAACCCATGACCATCGTCTGCCAAGGGAAGCATCACATGGAGGAAAAGTGAGCCAGCGAGTGGGTTTAAAGTTCAATTATATATGTTTGGCCTTTATCTAAATAGCACTGCTCAAATTGCTTATTTGGGCGTCCACAAATCTATAAGAATAAAAATGACAAAGAATTTAACAAATGATATATGCCACAATTAATTACTACAACGATGGGGCAATCTTATACACACTTACCCTGGGAATAAATTCCATTTATGGCAGCTAGACTTACTGGATTTTTCCATTGAGATTCCTGCATTGCAGGGTGTTAAGACTAGTTGACGCTTGCAACGCTACAATTCTATGATTCCAGGTGGACACGTACAGGGTTGTACATCAGTGCACAGGGCAAAAACTAACATCCATTATTCTTATAGGCCTGGACATACACCAGGTAAGTTCTCTTGTTTTTATTACCATGCTTTTCACAGCAGAATACTTCATTGCATTGGCGCAGCACTCTCAATGACGGCTCACTTCAGTATCGCTTCCTGGGGAACCTGTGGCCCTCCAGATGTTGCTGGACTCCATCTCCCATCATCCCTGAGCATGGGAATATGCTGGCTGGGGCTGATGGGAGTTGGAGTCCAACAGCATCTAAGGAGGCCCTATAGATTCCCCACCCCCATGGCAGTGGCTTGTTGTCATAGCATAATAGAATTGTAAGGTTTGAAAGGACCACAAAAGTCATCCTGTCTAGTCCAAAAGCCCTGCAACACAGGAATCTTTTTGCCTAACATGGGGCTTCAACCAACAACCCTGAGATTAAGAGTCTCTTGCTCTACCTGTTATGTACCATATTTTTTGCTCCATAGGGCGCACCTAGTTTTCAGTGGGGGAAATCAAGGGAAAAAATATGATTCTCCCCCCCCCCCAGCTCTGGGAGCAGCGGACAGGCTGCAGACAGCCTGTGCGCTGCTCCCAGACCTTCTCCCTGCTTTTGCCGGAGGTGGGGGAATTCCCCCACCTCCCGCAGAAGCCGCGCGCTCTTTAAAGGGGCTGTGCGGCTTCTGCGGGCTTTTCTAGGAGGTGGGAGAAGGGACTGACGCGGCCAGTCATTCCCTTCTCCCTCCTGGGGAAAAGCCCGCAAGAGCCGCACAGAGCTCTTGGGGGCTTTTCCTGCCTGCCTCCCCCCCCCCTTGCATTCGCTCCATAGGACGCACACACATTTTCCCTTGCTTTTTAGAAGGGAAAAAGTGCTTCCTATAGAGCAAAAAATACAGTATATAAATATGAAGCTGCTGAATACTGAAGGAGGCAATTGGTCCATCTAGTTTGGTAATGTCTGCCCTGGCTGGCAGCGGGTTTTTCCAGCCTTGCTATGACTTGTCCTTTCATGGTACTAAACCGGTGGAAATATATAGCAGAACATCCTCCCAAGGACATCCTCTGTGGTTACTCCTGCATTGATTGAGACATCCAGATAAGATGCCTTATGAATGCATTCAGTGAAGGAATAACATCATAAGCAAGAGGCTCGCAAATCTACCGTACTTTTCCGTGTATAAGGCTAGGTTTTTCAACTCTAAATTAAGGTTTAAAAACTGGGGGCGTCTTATACACGGGTAGTGGGTAGGGGTGACGGGTGATTGGTTGCAGCTGTGAGCTGCTGATTGTCATTGGCGATTTGGTGTGCGATTGGTGGCTGCGGCAAGGGTTTATTTGCATTGGCTGCGGATAAATGTGTGTGTGATTGGTTGCTGCGTCAAGGGCTGCTGAGGATTGGCTGCCACTGTGGCAATTGTGCTTCTTATTTACTTTCGGCGATCAGGCAGACCCTTGTTGTAGACGCGAGCGATTGTGATTGAGCAGCGCAACCGATTGCAACTGTCCGTTTAGTGATTTATTGCATTCCCCCACAAAAGAAGCTCTACAACAACTCCAATCCTCCCCCCAAAAAAGCTCAACAACTTTGGGCCATTTTCTGAAATTGGGGTCCACAAAAATAGGGGGCGTCTTATACACGGGAATGTACAGTACGTTTGGCCAATTTGGCAGGAACACAAAGTCTAGATTGGAGGTAGCTAACGTGCTACCCTCTCGATGTTGTCAGACTCCAGCTCTCATCGGACTGACTCGGGATGGCCAGTGATCAACATCTAGAGATGAAATATGTGCAGACCAGAGATAAAAGGGCATGGCTAGACAATTATCTCATGGGTCAGTAGGAATCTTGTCTGATACAACCTGGCGAGTTAATGTTTTGCCGTTCATCTCGTTACGTTATTATATTCGTAATTATAAGGTTGAAGAGCAATTTGGCTCCCCGGCAGCAGGAGAAACCCGAGACAGAAAAACAGCAGATGCAAGCTTACGTGTTCACAGAAACGTACCGGTAATTGCGCAGGCCTATAATTCCAAACACTAGTAAATATACAGGAGACATCATAAAATTTGCTCCATGTGATTTACATTAGTGGTTCTTAACCTCTCTTAAATTGAAGACCGCCACCTCTAAATTAAATAGTTGGCAGCCCTCTTTTAAACTCAGCTATTGCACTTTTCTTCTAGGATTGCAATTCAGCACAGGCTAAGTGCACCAGGGAGGGCGAGGTGGGGCCTGCACACAAGAGGTTCTTTCTCGTTTGCTGCAGCCGCTTGCACTGGCAAATGGGCAAGCTGTTGGTTTTTTTAACGCAGATCCCTATTTAGAGCTATCCTTATTTAGAGCTAAGGGTTTTCTCTTCAACATGTGATGGAAACCTCGAAGAAAGCTCCCTCTCCCCTTTTCCTTTATTATTCCCATTAAAGAATACTTGAAAATTGATTCAGAAGCCATAACTTGAGAATCCACTAATTTATATTTTAAAGCAGGGAATTAGCAGTGCCAGTCCTACAGCAAGATAGCCATACAGTCGCGAACGGAATCTGTTCTGGAAGTCCATTCCACTTCCAAAACGTATACAGTTGTACCTCGGAAGTCGAACGGAATCCGTTCTGGAAGTCCGTTCCACTTCCAAAACATTCGCGGCTTCCAGTTAGCTGCAAGAAGCTCCTGCAGCCAATTGGAAGCCACGCTGGATGTTCGGGTTCCAAAGAAAGTTCACAAACCGGAACACTTACTTCTGGGTTTGCGGCGTTTGGGAGTAAAAACATTCGACTCCCAAGGTACAACTGTATTTGAGGAATACAGTGGTACCTCGCTGGCTTCAACTGCCTCTAGAGTTTGTTCTAGACCTCACTGTTCTTAACCTGAGAACACTGTCCAACCATTGAGTCCTCTGCTGTCACCACTGCTCGCTTGTGCCCTCCATCTTTCCCAACATCAGGGTCTTTTCCAGGGTGTCTCATTCTCATGAGGTTGGCCAAAGTGCTAGTCTCTAGCTTAGGATCTGTCCTGTCCACTGAGCACTCAAGGCTGATTTCCATCTGAATGGACACATCCAATCTTCCTGCAGGCCATGGACTTCAGACTGCTACCTCTTGCACTGGTATTTTAAAAGCATTAATTCTTTGACAAGCAGTGGGTTGGATCCAGTATTGGCTCAGCACTTTCACTCATGTAACACTTTTTTGGACGGAGGAGGAAGGCAATTTTCACTTATTCTTCCTTCCCCCTATAGCCCCCTTTAATGCTGCTCCAAAGGGTTGGGGGACCCACTGGAACAGCACCAGGGAGGGGGGAAGAGGCAGAGAGAACTGGTGACAATAGCCTCTCTCTTAATTCCTCCAGCAGGAGCCTCTGCTGGATCAGAGTCTCTTCCACAAACAGAAGGAGCCCTTCCATTCATGTAACAGCAAGTCAGGATCCAACTGGGTATTAGTAGTCCTGGACCCAAAGAATGTCACGTCAGTTCCTTATTGTATAAAAAGTATGCTCATTTAGCTATTAGTGTACTATTAGCTCATAATAAATGAAGCCTTATCTCAGGATTTAGCACACCCAGTTTTGCCCTGTAGTCCGCATTGCCAATATACAATAATCTGATCTTTGTAAATTAAATACATCAGAGATTCTGATAGTTCCAGTTATACATTAAGCCACCAATAAAAAAAGACGTATAGTTGGATTTTGCAAAAAGTCCCACTGCCAAACAAAACAAGTTGCACTGAGTCCTCCTTTAAGTCATTGCTACTGTCAGAGACAAGGATTCTCGGATCAATTATTACACAGGCTACACTTTAAAGGATTATAGCTTGTCTAATGTTTGCCACTGAAAAGTGAACAAGTAAACAGTTGAGGTCAAATGGTTTATAGTTGGGAACAGGGCGTGTGGAAACACAGGAGGTTTCGGATTGTACTTTGTGGTCCTTTGTTTACGCCACTCAATATTTACCTAGCACGGCTTATGGTACTGCCCACAAGTATTAAAGCATATTCACCTCCCTCCTCAGCATCCACCTGCCTGGGTGCAGAGATTGTGGAAGGCAGGTGTGATTCTCATTTGTTACTTGCTTCACATGCATTGCTGACCAAGATAGGTAAGAAAAGCATATTCTTCTTTCACATTGCAAGAGCTTAAATGTCTGTGTGATATCACAGGTGAAAAGGGGAACGGCATAAATCTAAATACAGTAGCAAAAACAATAGATCTGTTGTGTTTTATATATATATATATATATATATATATATATATATATATATATAGTACATAATATAATATAGTATATATATTAATTCATTCATTCAAGAAGGTACCATAGGTTTCAGCGCGCTTCGAGTGTCAAACACTGGTGGGTTTGATTTGTTTTTGCAGGATGTGTGGCTTAGCTCTTTTTGGAGAGGATGAAGACGGTAGCTTTGAAATAAGAGAATATTCCTCTGATCAGGTCATTAGCGATCAGAGCCAGTCTTGCCCCCGTTTGAGAGAACTGTTTATAGTGCCACTAATTTCAATTCCACAAGGTGCTTGCTCATGCCATTTCCTCTCTGCAAAATGCTTTCGGCACTCTCTTTGTGGCGCGTGAAAACCAGCTTTGGTTAGAACAGTAGGCATTCATGCAGCAACTTTTCTGGGTGTTCCAAGTATTTAACTTCTTTAGAAGAATTTGCAAGTGGCTTGATTTTTTTTTAAAAAAATCTCTTGGCGGTTTGCATCAGTGTCAAATAATAAACAGCTAAAATCGGTAAAACTTAAAAGCAAGTATGCGTAAACTAAATTGTATGTTTGCATAGGCTTGATGAGATAAATAAGTAAAAGGGTTTAGGAGAGGTCTAGAAGAAGACAAGGAAGGTGCCTGCTAAATCTTAACAGGCAGGGAATGGCAAAGCATAAGGCAGTGATCAATGCATTTGTTCCTTTGCAGTGTTTCCCAAACGTGGGTCTCCAGCTCTTTTTGGGACTACAACTCCCATCATCCCAAGCTAGCAAGACCAGTGGTCAGGGATGATGGGAACTGTAGTCCAAAAGCAGCTGGAGACCCAGGTTTGAGAAACACTGCTAGCGCAATGACTCATACTTGTGCAACAGAACTCCCCTCCCTCTCTCGCTGTGCACACCACACCCCCTTCCTAAATTTGCTCTGGAGGGTTGCGGGAACCCTAGAACAGATCTAGGGGGAACGCAGGGGGAGGAGGGAAAGGGGACGGTCCATTGAGCAAGCGGAAATCCGAGCGCTACTTTGGATACAACCCATTGAAAGATCGACTCCCCACAGATGTGGACCTCGGCAATCCTGGATGGCAATAACCTTGTAAAGGGATATGGAATTGAGGGGGCAACTCCCATCTCTTGCAGGGGTGCAATTAGTGCCAGCATCGTCCGTTAAGATACCTCCCTCTCTATGGAGGCGCAGATTACAGCTATAACAAAGGCGGCATTTTTCCATCTCCGCCAAGCTAAGCAGTTGGCCCCTTATCTCTCTCGCCCTGACCTAGCCACTGTGATCCACACGACGGTCACCTCCAGACTGGATTATTGTAACTCCCTCTACGTGGGGCTGCCCTTGAGACTGACCCAGAAACTCCAGCGGGTGCAGAATGCCGCGGCGAGACTCCTTATGGGGTCTTCGCTGCAAGATCATATTCATCCGGTACTATACCAGCTGCACTGGCTCCCGGTGGAGTACAGGATCAGGTTTAAGGTGCTGGTTTTAACCTTTAAAGCCCTATACGGCCTAGGACCCTCGTACCTAGGGGACCGCCTCTCCTGCTATGTCCCACAGAGAAATTTACGGTCTGCAAATAAAAACATCCTGAAGATCCCAGGCCACAGAGAGGTTAGGCTGGCCTCAACTAGAGCCAGGGCTTTCTCGGCCGCGGCTCCAATCTGGTGGAACGCTCTGTCACAAGAGACTAGGACCCTGCGGGACCTGACATCTTTCCGCAGGGCCTGCAAGACAGAGCTGTTCCACCAGGCCTTTGGTCAGGGCGCAGCCTGACACCCTCCTCTGGCAATCAGCACAGAATTTTGCTTAATGGTTGCCATCAATTTGATTTTAATTAATTTTATAATGAATGTTTTTAGAATGTTGGATTATTTTGATTGTTGTTAGCCGCCCTGAGCCCAGCTTCGGCTGGGGAGGGCGGGATATAAATAATTTATTATTATTATTATTATTATTATTATTATTAAAGTACCGTATTTTTCGCCCTATAGGACACACTTTTCCCCATCCAAAAATGAAGGGGAAATGTGTGTGCGTCCTATGGGGCGAATGCAGACTTTTGCTGAAGCCTGGAGAGCGAGCACCGACCCCTCTCCCTCTCCAGGCTTCAGGAAGCTCTCCGCAGCGGAGCGCACCCCGGGCTTCAGGCAGCTCTCCGCAAGCCGTGGGAGCCCGGCGCGACTTCCCGCCGGGCTCCCAAGGCTTGCGGACAGCAGCCTGCATCCCGAAGCCTGGGGCAAGCACCCCGGGCTTCGGGCAGATTCCGCAAGCCTGGGGAGACCGGCACGACTTCCCGCCAGGCTCCCTAGGCTTGTGGATAGCAGCCTGTTCTGGGGGCTGGGGGGAGCTCGGGCTTCCCCCGCCCCAGTCCCGCGCCTGGGGGGGAAATAAGTTTTTTCCCCTTTATTTCCCACCCCTAAAACTAGGTGCGCCCTATGGGCCGGTGCGCCCTATGGGGCGAAAAATACGGTATATGGTTCAATGAAAACATTTTTAAGGGTCCTTCTCTCTGTTCCCTCAGCCTGGAAGGTGCAGTCATCTGTGGCAAGGAGGGCGGCCTGTTCAGTCGTGGCCTCATGACCATGGGATTACCTTCTGCAAGAAGTATCTGCCCACAAGCCTTTAGGTGACTGTGTTAAGCTGACTGAGTGGAGATCTGCTGGCATTATTTATTTATTTGCCTGCCTGGAGGCCTAGGGATATTTGAAATGGCTTTATATTTATTAGCAGGATGCGTGTATGTTTTCATTCTGCTTTTAATGACTGTAAGCTGCCTTGAGCTTCTGAAAAGTCAGATTAAAAAATGTTCTAAATTAATATTATCCCCACATAGCAGATGTGGAAACTGAGGTGGGGAGAACAGGTTGCCTGAAGCACTAGTGCACTCATTGATGAGTTGAGACCCTGTCCCAGCTGCTTTCTAGCTCACCGCTCACACTCTAAACCTTTAGGCCTTATTTCCTTTCAATGGGTTCATTTTGTGCCTAGGACAACATCAGACTGAGTCAGCCCAAGGTGGCAACTGAAGGTTTGTTATGAGAAAATGGGTCAAACAAGACACTATAAAAGTGTGCTTTGTTCCATTTTTCATTATTTTACTTTATTATTTATTTCACAAGCTTTATATACAACTGGATTATAATAAAACCTCAAAGCGGTTTACAAAAAGAGTATTGCACTATTTGCTTCGGCTGGGGAGGGCGCGATATAAATAAATTTTATTATTATTACTATTATTAAAAAAATAAAATTATCAGTAAAAAAGTAAAAGCTTCAGTGGTACCTCGGGTTAAGAACTTAATTCATTCTGGAGGTCCGTTCTTAACCTGAAACTGTTCTTACCCTGAAGCACCACTTTAGCTAATGGGGCCTCCCGCTGCTGCCGCGCTGCTGGAGCACGATTTCTGTTCTCATCCTGAAGCAAAGTTCTTAACCCGAGGTACTATTTCTGGGTTAGCAGAGTCTGTAACCTGAAGCGTCTGTAACCCAAGGTACCACTATATTGAAATCATCTCCCCACCCCCCGAAAAAAATCAACGATAAGCTAAAAACCAGATTAAAACACAATATTTTACATGTTTGGATAAAAGGTAAAGGGACCCCTGACCATTAGGTCCAGTCGTTGCTGACTATGGGATTGCGGTGCTCATCTCGCTTTATTGGCCGAGGGAGCCGGCGTACAGCTTCCGGGTCATGTGGCCAGCATGACTAAGCTGCTTCTGGCGAACCAGAGCAGCGCACGGAAACACCATTTACCTTCCCGCCGGAGCGGTACCTATTTATCTACTTGCACTTTGATGTGCTTTCAAACTGCTAGGTTGGCAGGAGCAGGGACCGAACAACAGGAGCTCACCCCGTTGCGGGGATTCGAACCGCCGACCTTCCTATCGGCAAGCCCTAGGCTCTGTCTTTTAACCCACAGCGCCACCAGCGTCCCTTTCATTAAGATGATACTTTTTCTTTAAAGACTGATATGTTATCCTAACACTGTTAGTATTCTAAGCCTTACCTGAAAGTTGCAGCCTTCTAAGCGGCTTCCTTTTAAATAATTTTCTGCCAGCTGGAATGCTGTTACGTGTTACCAATTTCCTGACATTTGACTTAGTTGTTAACATTCAGCACACAAAAATAGGACGAAGACGGAGCAAGTCAGGTCAAGGGAACTTCTCAGTATGTTTTTTAATTGCCCTGATTCTTTAACTAGTTTACTTGGGTACATTTCTGCTTCCAAGAAAATCATTAAGCAGTGCTGTACCATCTCACAGAAAGCAATAAACATCATTTATGGCTAAACAAAGTAAAAGACGGGTTGTTTGAAGCGGAAATTTCAACAAAACGCTATAAAAGGAGTGTTCGTTAACCTTTAACAACTATAGTCTTGCTCAGAGTCTCAAAGTGAAACCTCTGATTTACTCCCCCTTAAGCTTTGATGCATTATGGGATAGTTGCTAATAGCTAAAAATGTGTGTGTGTGTAATATTCCCTGTTAACTACCCTGTTCTGTGACCTACAAAGTTATATGTGACTTACCTCCTAGTAAGCTTATTTACATAATTACAGTGGTACCTCGGGTTAAGTACTTAATTCGTTCCGGAGGTCCGTTCTTAAGCTGAAACTGTTCTTAACCTGAAGCACCGCTTTAGCTAATGGGGCCTCCTGCTGCTGCCGTGCCGCCGCTGCACAATTTCTATTCTCATCCTGAAGCAAAGTTCTTAACCCGAGGTACTATTTCTGGGTTAGTGGAGTCTGTAACCTGAAGTGTATGTAACCTGAGGTACCACTGTACTGAGATATTGCTCTCTGACAGCACAATGTTCATTCAGAAAAGACACCTAATGACACCTCTCAAAATATTATGTGAACAGTCCTTACAATCCTTAAGAAGAGACCTCTCTTACATCTAACCACCACAGCTACAGAGGAATAACTAAATATATCCATTAAGACACGATACTTAATATAGACATATATATCTTGACACCCACAGTGTACAGTGCACCCATCTCACTCTTTCTTTTCCTCAAGCGACAATGGAGGGCATCTTTGTGGGTCTAGTCAAACTTGGCACCAGCCTGGTTGCAGGAGTTGCGGGAAGGAGGCGTACAAGGCGCCATCCAACAGTCTCAGAGACTCCACTCCAGATTTGTGTAGGGTTTACTTCTTAAACTTTTCTTCTCCCAAAGATATCCCACAAGGCAACAGAGGTTTGAGATCGGTTTTCCTTCTCCTAGATGGGCTACCTTCCCAGGTTGATGAGCCCCATCTGCCCCTCCCCGACAGCAGGTACAGAAACTGCCTTCTTGACCATTGGAGCCACCATCGGTCTCAACTGCTCAATTTGCTGGAGCCAGTGTACTGTATACATCAGGCATGTCCAACTCCCAAGAGACTGTGATCTACTCCCACTATAAAAAAAAACCTGGCAGTGATTGACCAAAGTTGGATTGACCAAAGTTGTTGCGATTTTTGGGGGGAGGAAGACGCAAAGTTGTTGAGCTTTCTTTTTCTTTTTTTGGGTGATCGCTCAGGATGACGCGATCGAACAGGGATGCCCCGCGATCGACTAGTAGATCACGATCGACCAGTTGGACATGCCTGGTATACATAAAATAACAGTAATTCCCAGTCGGAGTAGCAATAGACAGGTGACTGTGTTAGATCTTTCACCAGTTTGGCAATCATGCAGTAGCAATCCATGCTAATCCTACTCAGAGTAGACCCACTGAAATTAAGGGACTAAGTCATGGCCATTCATTTCAACGGGTCTACTCTGAGTAGGACTAACATTGGAGACAACCTAATGTTCTCAGTCCCAGATATAACAACATTTCAGACTTGACTGTATAAAAATGATGGGATGAGATGGGGCTGGGGTCTCGTTGCAGTTGGGGGGGTAATATTTCCTAATTCCAGGTGCCTCCCTATATCCCATGGCAAGCCCACAGAGCAATGAAATTGTAAGACTGGGTCGCAAGCAGTTTCTGGGCTGGCAACTGAATCTGAAGAACTAAAATTGGTTCCTGAATGGTGGAGCTTCATTGAGAGGGAGACTTCCTATAAAAAAAGACCAGCTGATAGAAATAGATTTAGATCTCTAGTAACAAAAAGCAAGGCACAGATGATTTGATTTATCTTTTTTAAAATGAGCATGATTCCTTGTTTAAAGGTGCTGTGAGGTGAACCCATAAAGCCCTAAAGCTGGTTTCATTTTCCTCTAGCAGCCTCTGCTGGTAGACTTTCTATTTCAACTGGACATGTAATATAGAAAAAGATGAACAGTGCTGCTTTAAGCACTAACCATAATCTTCTATCTGTTTTGGAACCTTCTGTCTATGCTGCAGCAAAAAATCTATTTGCTGTTTTAACTGGGCTGTTTGTTTAAATGAGAAATCCTATAGAGAAATTATAGTGAGGAAAGAGATGCCAGCACTTTACTGGTAAAAGGTAAAGGACTCTTGGACGGTTAAGTCCAGTCAAAAGCAACTACGGGGTTGCGGCACTCATCTCGCTTTCAGGCTGAGGGAGCCGGCGTTTGTCCACAGACAGCTTTCTGGGTCGTGTGGCCAACATAACTAAACCGCTTCTGGCGCAACGGAACACTGTGACACAAACCAGAGTGCATGGAAACGCCATTTACCTTCCTGCCGCAGTGGTGCCTATTTATCTACTCGCACTGGCGTGCTTTCGAGCTGCTAGGTTGGCAGGAGCTAGGACGGAGCAACGGGAGCTCACCCCCTTGCGGTGATTCTAACTGCCAACCTTCTGATCGGCAAGCCCAAGATGCTCAGTTGTTTAGGCACAGCGCCACAACAGCCCAGGAGGAGAGAATGAGGGAAAACACAAGCAGAAAATAGCATAATGCTTGCTGTGGCAGCAGTGCAGCTCACACTCCGCAGGAAAGAAGCAATGAACTCACAAGGACACTTCTCTGTCCCCAAGACACACAGCACCACCGTATCCTCATGCTATGAGAACACGTAGCAGAGGCAGCCCCAGCCCCACAGGTGAAGTCTCCAGCCGCCCCTAATGGCAGGTGTTTGAGCCCCCCACTTCATGCCACACACTGTTCACTAGTAATGATCTGAGCACAGCACACAAAAAGGAGGGAAGGAGTAGCCGTATGATATAGCACCTAAACCAGGGGTTGGCAAGGTTTACCTTGCCTGGGCCGGTTCACTCCAGCGGAGATCCCTCCATGGTCCGGATCGCGCCCGCAATTTCCGGCATCTGCGTAGACATGATTTCTGGCGTCTGCGCATGTGCGATTTCCGGTGCCACAGAAGCGAGTCCCTGCACCGTGCTGCGCCGGTTTAGCACAGCGTGGACGCGCCGAGCGGGCGGCTCAGTTCGGGAGCGGCTCGAGGGGCGGTTAAATGACCCCCATGGGCCGCGTGTGGCCCAAGGTTGCTGACCCCGACCTAAACAGCTCCCCCTTTGCACAATGCTCTTGGGCGAAGTTTTCGAGACTCACCAAAGCAGAGGAAGGCTCGTTTGCCAAGCAGGCGAAAGGACGGGGCAGGCGTGCAACAGGAAAAGCCACAGGGAGCAGCACATGCAGGGCCAGGCAAGCAAATAGCCAGTAGAGCATGAGACTCTTAAATCTTAAGGTTGTGGGTTTGAGCCCCGCGTTGGGCAAAACATTCCTGCACTGCAAGAGGTTGGACTAGATGACTCTTATGGTCCCTTCTAACTCTATGCAGTGCTTTTTTTCTAAAACAATGTTTAGGGGTACTCTCATTTTCCTACTCATATTGAAATACTGCCCCTCAATGAGGCCAAACTTAGATTCACAAAATGTTTAGGGGTATGCGTACCCCCAGGAAAAAAGCACTGATTCTATGACTCTATGATTAATTTAAATAGCCCAGAATCTTTGTGATGGAATAGTATATACACAGTAATAGTAATAATAATATTTTCTTTTTCCAAAAACACCAACTCCATGCTAAACTATACATTAGCTTGATTGCAGCATGATAAAAGAAACAGAAAATGTGCTTCACAACCAGACCATTCAAATGTTAATCTGTTTACATCCTAGGAACTGATTAACACAGACCTAGAATGGAGAAGGAAATGGAGACAGCCAGACTGGAAAATGGATCTCCTTTCCAGATTTACATGGAAAGAAAGACTCCGGTCAAGATGAGGAAGACAGACATGCTGAAAAGCCAACTGAGAAAAAACTGTTCCTGCAGCACAAAACGGGTGAAAAAGGCAGCCACTGACTTCTTCCCTGTGCTGCAATGGCTTCCCAAATACAACTGCAAAGAGTATGTTTGGGGGGACGTCATGTCTGGCCTGGTCATCGGGATTATTTTAGTCCCTCAAGCGATCGCCTACTCCCTGCTGGCAGGTCTGAAGCCCATTTATAGCCTTTACACCTCCTTCTTTGCCAACATCATCTACTTCCTCATGGGCACCTCGCGACACGTGTCCGTTGGCATCTTCAGCTTATTAAGCCTACTGGTCGGGCAGGTGGTGGACAGAGAACTGCTGCTGGCAGGATTTGACCTCGACGACGACTCTCAGGAAGGCCCCCTGAATGTTTCGCTTCACAATGTTACCCTTGACGTGATGAGCACCGAATGTGGGAAAGACTGCTATGCCATTGGGGTAGCGACAGCGGTGACCTTGATGGCTGGCATCTATCAGGTAACATCTTCACCTGCCCTTTAGGTCTCAGTTACAGTATGTACTTACCACCGCCTCTTCTTACGGTTGTTCCAAGTCGCGACCACGGCAAACCTGGAAGTAACTGGCAGGTTTGCTGCTGTTTGAGCATGCGCAGGAGCAGCAATCGCCGTTCGCGCATGCGCAGAAGCGGGCAATCCCTGCCTGCGCACAATGGCGCCTCTACCAGCGACCCATTTCAACCTCTGGACGGACCTCTGGAACGGATTATGGTCGCAAATAGAGGTTCCACTGTATGTGTGTTTATTCAATCCTCCATCACCCCAGTGGTGTAGCAGCAGTTATTGGTGCCCGGGGCAGATGGGCAAGCGGGATGCGGATGCGTGCCCAGTGAGGGGACACCAGTCCAGCCCTCTACGTGACCCAACCTTCACCAGAGCAAAGCGGGGCCATGTTGAGCCACCTGCCCACCCACACAGGGGGGAGCCCGACCGGCCAATGCACCCCTTGGTGGATGGAGAGGAGCTTCAGGCCGTGCTGTGGGTGTCTGGTTTGCACCCCCACAAAAACTGTGCACCCAGGGCCACGGCCCTCCTGGCACCTCCAAACTATGCCCCTGCATCACCCTGCCCAAAGAGGCTGACAAAATCAAAACAACTATCACAAGCTACAGTTCAAACTAGCCAAGTATCCAAAGCCAGTTAAAATCCAGAAGCACAACAAATTCAAGGAGACAGCATAAAACTGGAAAACGCGTTTGGGGAAGAGTAAAGTGGTAAAGCATGTCCTTTCTCTGCAGATGGCCCCATGTATTTCTTTGTCGTTGTTGGCATCTGTCTGTCTTGAAACACAATACGGTGTGCCTCTGGGGATGAAGTCAAAACGTTGTGTTAGTGTTGTGTTGGCATTCCTGGAATGCAAGCCCGGGTAGTGTGTATGGAGGCCCTGGGCTGCCCAGATAACAAGACCCCCCTCTCAGCCTCACTGATGGGGTCCAAAGAAAAGAAGAGCAATAAGTTGGGCACTAGCTTGCCTGCAGGAGGTGTACAATATGCCATTCAACCCTTAGAGACTCCACTCCATAGTTGTTTAGGGTATACTCCTTAGACCTTTCTTCTCCCAAAGATATCCCACAAGGCAACAGAGGTTTGGGATCGGTTTCCCTTCTCCTAGATGGGCTACCTTCCCAGGTTGATGAGCCCCATCTGCCCCTCACTTCCTTCTATAGCACGTGCAGAAACTGCCTTCTTGACCATTGGAGGCACCACTGGTCTCAACTGCTCAATTTGCTGAAGCCAGTGTACTGTATATATCCAACTCCCTAGAGACTGCGAACTGGCAGTGATCTACCCATTGACCAAAGTTGATGTCCTGCAAGGCAGCAGGTATGAATTTTTTCTTGCGATTTACTCCCAAAACCTGTCTCTCACATATGAGTACAGTGGTACCTCAGGTTACATACGCTTCAGGTTACATACGCTTCAGGTTACACACTCCACTAAGCCAGAAATAGTGCTTCAGGTTAAGAAATTTGCTTCAGGATAAGAACAGAAATCGGGCTCCGGCGGTGCGGCGGCAGCAGGAGGCCCCATTAGCTAAAGTGGTGCTTCAGATTAAGAACAGTTTCAGGTTAAGAACGGACCTCCAGAATGAATTAAGTTCTTAACCCAAGGTACCACTGTATAACCGCAAAATTGCGCTAAAAAATGAGATGGTCTAGGTTTGCCACCGCAGATATTGCTTGCAGAACTCCATTTTTTCTGTACAAGACAGACAAGGGGAGGTGAATAAAATGAAAGATGCCAGAGAGGCAGGAGCAGCCTCCTGCCATTAAGCAAAGCCACTGTTGCGCCTTACACTTATTCTCGTTCTTCTGTAGGGATGAAATGAGATGCTGTGTGGGTTGTCTCTGCCCATCTCTCCACTGGCAGGAAGTAAAATCTCTCAGAGAATACACCTTGGGGCTGAGACAACCCCCTCCAGTTCTATTTCCTGCCATCTCCACTGCAGGTTGTACTGCCAGCTGCTCAATGCATGGCAAAAGAGAAGAGGCAGGAACGCCACCTTGGAAGGGATTTTTCCTTCATTCTTCCTTGTCTTCCTTCTTTTTCCACTCCCTTCTGCTACTGCTGCTGGGTTTTTACTCTCGGCTCCATAGATCTCCCCTTCGCTCCTTCTTGGTCTTTAGTTTTGTGCTTAAATAGGGGGGCAGGGGCAGCCTCCTGTCCTTAACCAAAGCCACAGCTGTGTCTTACGCTTTCTCTCGTTTTTTTCCTCGCAGGTACTGATGGGGATTTTCCGCTTAGGCTTCGTCTCGATGTACCTTTCCGAGCCCGTGCTAGACGGGTTCGCAACCGGCGCTTCCGTAACCATTTTAACAGCTCAAGTGAAGTATCTCATCGGGGTAAAAATCCCCCGTGCCCAGGGATACGGGATCTTGATAACCACCTGGGTCAACATCTTCCGCAACATCGCCCAGGCCAACCTCTGCGATGTGGTCACGAGCGCCATCTGCATCACTGTTCTGGTGACCGCCAAGGAACTGGGAGACAGGTATAAGCACAGGCTCAAGGTCCCTCTTCCCACGGAGCTGGTGGTGATTGTGGTGGCAACCTTGGTTTCCCACTACGGGCGCCTGAACGAAGCCTACGCCTCCAGCGTGTCGGGCGAAATCCCCACCGGATTTATCCCTCCCCAGGTGCCCAGTTTACGCCTCATGCAGAGAGTCGCCCTCGACGCCTTCCCTCTCGCCATCGTCGGCTTCGCCTTCACCGTTTCGCTCTCGGAAATGTTTGCCAAGAAGTACGCCTACACCGTCAGGGCCAACCAGGAAATGTTTGCCATCGGCTTCTGCAACATCATCCCGGCTTTCTTCCACTGCTTTGCCACCAGCGCGGCGCTGGCGAAAACCCTGGTCAAGGCATCGACCGGGTGCCAGACCCAGGTGTCCAGTGTCGTGAGCGCCGTGGTTGTGTTGCTGGTGCTGCTTTTCTTTGCGCCCCTCTTCTTCAACTTGCAGAAGTGCGTTCTGGCGTGCATCATCATCGTCAGCCTGAGAGGAGCCCTTCGGAAATTCAGGGACGTCCCCCGGCGCTACCGCCTGGACCGAACGGACGCCCTGGTGTGGTGCGTCACCATGCTTTCCTCTGCCTTGATCAGCACTGAATTGGGGCTCTTGGTTGGGGCAGTTTTTTCCATCCTGTGCATCATCGGCCGCACCCAGCGCCCTCGCGCTGCCTTGCTGGGGCAGATTGGGAGCACAGTCTTCTATGAAGATGACGGGGAGTACAAAAACCTCCTTCCTGTGCCAAGGGTCAAGATATTCCGGTTCGAAGCCCCGCTTTATTATGCAAATAAGGATTTCTTCCTGAAGTGCCTCCACAACAGGACAGGGCTGGATCCTGCTGTGGAAATGGCCAAAAGGAATAAAGCCAAGAGGAAAGGGCAACAAAGTCTTGAAAAGGGATTTGGACAGGGAGATACGACTTCACGCTTGGTTAATAAACACAGCGACTTCCAGGCTGTCGTCATAGACTGCTCTTCCGTTCCGTTTTTGGACACAGCTGGTGTTAGCGCCTTAAAAGACACACTGAAAGACCACCAGGAACTGCAGATCAGCATCCTTCTAGCTTGCTGCAATCCCTCTGTGATAGCTTCTCTGGAAAGAGGGGGCTATTTGGGAAGTGCAAGCAAAGACAAGCACGAATTGCTGTTTCACAGCGTGCACAGTGCTGTCCAGTTTGCAAGAGAGCGGGAAGTTTTAATGGACGATTCAGTTGTATAGTCTGCGGCCCTCTACTGGCAACTGAGGATTTCTGCATTCACTGCAAATGGGTTGTGGTCTTCAACACATCGAGACCTGGAGCCCTCCTTGAAGCAGTGCGAAATATGGGACCACTTTCAAAGTGTTCAACTTTAATGGATACCCAGTACTACAAATGCAACACAATGTATTTTAATCTTAAAAGCTAGGTCAGTAAACCTACATAGCGCCAGTTCAGACATAACATTACACCATTGTTTAGTGTGCCTGGAATGTGCTGCAGGAAGTGCTTCTCTTCCTCCATCTACAAAACCAATTTTCTGTTCTGTACCAGCTCAGGAAACCGGTTCATTCCAAGTGCAAACAAACAGGATCAAGGTGTGGTTTCAGATCCTAGTTTGGCAACCAACCATGATTCAGAATTATAGTGACATTGCCATTGTTTATTGTTATATCCGACCCAAGACATAGTGGTCCCTCAAGATTACATTTATTTCACTGCAAGGCTGTTTTGTTCTGAGAGCTATCCTTGATTAAACTTCTTGCTGGGAGGGGGCAGGTTTTATCAAACAGATAACCCCATAGATCAGTGGTTGTCAACCAGTGTGCCGTGGCACCCTAGGGTGCCTTGAATGATGGTCAGGCGTGCAACACTGGCCTCTGCCCCTCTTTCCTTCCCTCCCTCCTCTGATGCCCTCTCACCTCCCCAAGGCTTGAACAGCTGTTTGTTGCAGCAGCCCCGGCTATGAGTCCCGCAGGTGAATGATGCCTCTGGTAGGCACCTCTCTATGGGGCAAGGGGTGGGGGCAGCTGAGAGACCAGGGGCAGCAGCAGCGGCTGCCCAGAGAACTCCCAAGGAGAGGGGAGAGGCGAGGAGGCTGAGGGAACACTCCACAAGGGTGTTCGAAAAAGGGTGAGAGGCTGCCGGCTCTGCAGGCAATGGATGACATAACTGGGCTCCTGAGCCCCACAGGGGTACCGGCAGAGGGAATGTAGTTGGCTAAGGGAGCCATGGACTCAAAAAGGTTGAAAACCTCTGCCACAGATCATAGCTTCCCTGGGCTCTCTTTGCTCACTGAGATGCAGAACGCTACCAAGATGGACATTTTAAACATGTGGCATTTTAGGAGATGGCCCAAGATACTCTGGAATCAGAGAGACACAAGTCCAAATAGTGCTCATCCCCCACTGGGCCATGTACACATAAGATAATGGAACCTGAACAAACTACACACTTGATTTTACCAGTGCAGCAGTACTGAACTAGCATGGACCAGCACTGATGAAGATAATGGTCTCGCCCTCCCATCTCACTCTTCTATGTATGCCTATGGATGAAGGGGAGGGTTAGGGTTAGGGTTAGAATGATATGGGGAGGTGGAAGGTAATCTAGCTCAGTAGATATAAATCAGATCTGTCAGTGCCTCAGACTATTTGGAGCTTCTAAGAAACCAGCATGGGTGGCGCTGTGGGTTAAAAGACAGAGCCTAGGGCTTGCGATCGGAAGGTCGGCAGTTCGAATCCCCGCGACGGGGTGAGCTCCCGTTGCTCGGTCCCTGCTCCTGCCCACCTAGCAGTTTGAAAGCACCTCAAAGTGCAAGTAGATAAATAGGTACCGCTCTGGCGGGAAGGTAAACGGCGTTTCTATGCGCTGCTCTGGTTCGCCAGAAGCGGCTTAGTCATGCTGGCCACATGACCCGGAAGCTGTACGCCGGCTCCCTCAGCCAATACAGCGAGATGAGCGCCGCAACCCCAGAGTCATCTGCAACTGGACCTAACGGACAGGGGTACCTTTACCTTTAAGAAACCATTATATGAAGAAAATGACTCCGTTTCTGTAGTGTTTTAGACCAAGGGTCAGCAAACTTTTTTAGGAGGGGGCCGGTTCACTGCCCCAATACCTTGTCGTGGGCCGTACTGTGCGCACATACGCATGTGGCGGAGGGGGACTTCTCTCTCCCCCCCAGCCCCTCCATTCCCCATGCTTTCCTACCTCCTCCATCGCTCCGCCTGTGGTTTGGAGCCGGTGGTGCCTCTCCTTTTTGAGCCAGCTTTCCCAGGTGCCAGGCGCAGGGTCAGCAGGCGCACCAAGCTCCAGCCCACAGCGTGGCCATGGAGGAAGACCAGTGGGCGGGCGGCAAGGCTTCCTATCAAAGCCCAGCCCTCTTCCTCCGCAGGGCGGGGAGAAGCCAAGAAGAGGGAGGGAGGAGATGCCACCGCAGTGAGGGAGGGAGGGGGGAAATTTGCCAAAAAACGATGCTGAAAAAAATTGTGATTGCGCTGATCCAAGCGGTGATTGCAGAACCATTCATGGGCCGGATCTGGCCCAGGGGCCTTAGTTTGCTGACCCATTTTAGACAATTGCAGAGACAACTCTCTCTCTCTCTCTCTCTTTCTCCCCCAAAGAGCAAACAGGAATAATCAGTTGGGTTGGGTAGTATAAAATTAAAATATATAAAACATTTCTTTAAAGAAAAAAAATGAGATAATTTGATTTTAGGGGGGAAGCAGCAAAGGATCTGATCAGGTTTTCACTTTTGTGAGGGCCTACTCTGGAATTTGTTTTGAATACCAGAACTGAGGTCTGAAATATGTGAAGTAATAATTAAAAAATGTGCCTCCAGGCATGTGCAAAGTGCCTTCTCCTCAATCCTGAGCTAGTGCAGCCTATTCCCACATATTTCAGATTAAGAAGCAGAGCTTTGCCTCCTATCCTCCTGGTGGTACAGCAGTACAACTGCTAGCAAATTTGCAAAGCTAAGCAGGGTCAGGTATGGTTTCAGATTGGAAGTGACCTCCCCCATCCCCCAAAAAAGCTAAACAACTTAATTTCTTTATTTTGGGTTTAAAAAAAATGGGGGTCATCTTATACACGAAAAAATACGGTATGTCCTGGTCTTGGAAGTTGGGAGAAGCAGGTGGGAGCTACCCAGGCCAGCCACACTTTGTGGACTCTGAACAATCTGTAAATTTGTGCTCTTCTCTCGGTTCTGCCAGCCTTAAACAAACCACTGAAAAGCCTTCTTGGGGATTTAGCAGTGCCTGTCAATGACTCCTTCTCCTATCCTCTTTCTACTTTGGAGGGTTGGGGAAACCCCCTAGAACAGATTTAGGGGGCGTATGAGGGGAGGAGAAGAGGGAAAGTTCTATTGTACAATGAGAAAGCCTTGCGCTGATGGAACTATTTACTTAGCAATTCCCCTTCCACCTGGCATCAAGGATTTCTGCCACATGACTGCTGCATTCTCTTTCTTCTATGACCGGTCCCCAGTGGCCATCCCTTCTCGTCCCCCTCGTACGGTGACAGTAGCGACCTGTGAAATACTGGGTGCAGTTTCATGTGGTTGGGTAACCGGAGCCTGAAAGCCACTGGGTTGACCTGTTGAATGACCTCAAAGGGACCCAACCTCCTGGGTCGTAATTTCTTACAACCTCCTTTGAGCGGCAACCCTCGGGTTGACAGCCACACCCTATCTCCAACCCTTATGGTTTCACCTTCCCTTCGGTTCTTGTCTGCCTGCCTCTTGTATTCTTCCTTCGCCCTTTCTAAGTTGAGTTGGAGCTGACGGTGGATTGCTTCCATTTCTTCTACAAAATGCTCGGCTGCCGGTGCGCTCCATCTCTCCCGTGCTCGCCCTGGGGAAGCCCTGGGATGACACCCATAATTAGCCAAGAAGGGCTCATCCCTGTGGACACATTCTCGGCATTGTTGTAGGCAAATTCCGCCAGCGCCAACTTTTCTACCCAGTCATTCTCTCTGTCATTGACATAACACCTCAGGTATTGCTGGAGGACACCGTTTGCTCTTTCCGCCTGCCCGTTGGTTTCAGGGTGCCGGGCAGTCGAAAGTTGACCTCCACCTGCAGTAAGCTCATGAGCTTCCTCCAGAACCTGGAAGTAAATTGTTTTCCTCGGTCTGAGACCACCCTCAATGGCACCCCGTGCAACCTAAAAATGTGTTCTACAAATAACTTCGCTGTCTCTTCCGCCGTGACTGCATGCGAGCAAGCTACAAAGTGGCACATCTTTGTTAGTAGGTCTACCACCACCATGATGGCTGTTTTCCCTTTGGACTTCGGCAGATCAGTCATAAAATCTATCGACACTGCCTCCCAAGGTCGTTCTGGTGTTGGTAAGGGTTCTAATAGCCCCGCCGGCGCCCGCCTTTCCCCTTTGGCTCGCTGGCACTGCTCGCACCCTCTTACATACTCACGTACATCCTCCCTCACCTTAGGCCACCAAAATTCCCTGGTGACCAACCACATGGTTTTGTGTTGCCCAAAATGCCCGCTCGTGGGGCTGTCATGCAACTGCTTGAGTACCCTCCCCCTTAAGTCTCCTTCAGGGATATACAGTGCCCCTTTGTAATACAAAGCTCCATTTCTTTCCTCGAAACCCCTTGATTCCTCTCCCTCATCCCTAAGACCTCTGAGCTTATTCTGGGCGTATTCATCATTCTCTGTTTCTTCTACCAGTTCTCTTTGTCCCACCAATGCCGCCCCACACACCCAGCGGTCCTCTGGAATGACATGTCTCTCTTCGGGTGCTCCCTCCCCCTCCCAATATTCAGGTTTGCGTGAGAGGCGTCCGCCCTAATGTTCTCTGGGCCTGGCACGTAACAAATCTCAAAGTTAAATTTGGAGAATTCCTGGGCCCATCTCACTTGCCGTTGGTTGAGCACTCGTGCCGTCCTCCAATACTCTAGGTTCTTGTGGTCAGTGCACACTTGCACCTTATGTTGTGCGCCAATTAGCAGGTGCCTCCATCTCCGGAACGCCTCATGAATGGCTAGTAGTTCTCGGTCATACACCGTGTAGTTCCTCTCGGATTTGTTCAGCTTTCGCGAAAGAAAAGCACCCGGTCTCCACCCGGACTCCGCCTTCCCTGGCTGGAGAAGCACCGCCCCCACCGCTCTGACGGAAGCGTCAGTTTCCACTATCCTCGGTTTGTGTAAAGCCACCTGCAGGAGCTGTTGTTCCGAGGCGAAGGCCCTTTTTAGGTCCTCAAATGCTTGCTCCGCCTCCTCCGTCCAAGCGAACTTCTTCTTACTGCTGAGACAGTCCGTAATGGGCGCCGTCAGGTGGGCAAAGTTTGGGATGAACTTACGATAGAAGTTCCCAAACCCTAAAAACCTCTGCACATCCTTCCTTGTTTTGGGTGTTTTCCATTCCAGTACCGCCTGGACCTTGTCGGGATCCATGGCCAACCCCTTGTCAGACAGGCGATACCCCAGGAATTCCACCTCCTTGGTATGAAACTGACACTTCTCCAGTTTCACCCACAGCTGGTTGGCTTGCAGCCTGCTCAACACTTCTCTGACGTCTCTCACATGCTGCTCCTCATTCTCAGAATACACCAACACGTCGTCTAAGAAGGCCACACAATTCTTGTAAAGCAACGGCCCCAGGACGTGGTTCATAAACGATTGAAATGTTGCGGAGCCTGCTTGTAGACCGAAGGGCATAACTAAGTATTCAAATGCCCCTAAAGGGGTGAACATGGTGGTTTTCCATTCATCCCCCTTCCTTATTCGTATCAGGTTGTACGCCCCCCTTAGATCCAGCTTGGTAAAAATCTTTCCCTTCCGCACCCTTGTCAAAATGTCGTCAATCCTGGGCATCGGGAAGGCCACTGGTTCTGACACTGCATTTAAGGCCCTGAAGTCACACACCAGTCTCGGCTTGTTCGTGTTTTTTGTGGACAAAAACACTGGGCTGCCCCACCGCCCTGGACTCTCTGATGAACCCTCTCTTCAGGTTCTTGTCAATGAACTCTCTTAGCTCCTGCATCTCTCTGTCTGACATGGCGTACAGCTTGCCCACAGGGAGCTGTGCCCCAGGGAGCAAATTGATTTGACAGTCAAAGGCTCTATGCGGTGGTAGTTGGTCAGCTTCCCTTTCGCTGAAGACGTCGCGGAGATCTGCGTATTGTCGTGGTACCTTCACGTTCTCCGTCACTTCAGTCCCTGCTAGAGTGGCTTGGGCCCCTGCCAAAACCCTTCCCTCTTTGCAATGTTCTAAGCAATGTGCTGACCCAAAAGAAACCACTCTTTGATGCCAGCCCACCAGCGGATCATGTAACGCTAGCCAGCTCATCCCCAATATAATGGGAGCTCCTCCCAAGGTGGCCACATTAAATGCTATTAGTTCGGTGTGCCTTGCCACCTTCATTATCATTGGGACGGTCTGCAAGCTGACTTCTCCTCCCAACAGCTCCCTGCCATCGATCGTGGTTACCTGCAGGGGTTGCTTAAAGGAGCGTCTGTATCTGGTGTTCAGCTGCAAACTCTTTGCTCATGAAATTGCAGGAGCTGCCTGAGTCCAACAGCGCCTTTATCTTTAGAGGGTGTCCGTTTGGCAGCTCTAGTGTCACTTCTATCACTAGGGCGGGTTTAGGAGGTTCTGGAGTGGGCACTTTCACTGCTCTTTGGCCTGGCTGCTGTGCCCCGACAATGGCAGCCAGGCGTTGGCTTTTAGTTGCTCCGGTATGTTTTTCCTCTCTTCCCTCCACAGCTCCCACCATCCCTTGCCATTCCTTCCTCTGGGGGCAGACTCTGGCAAAGTGCCCTGGCTGTTGGCAGAGATAGCATTTCCGGGCGCCGGTGCCATCCTTCTTTCCCCCCTCACTGGGCTGTGAAACTGCGCGCGCGCGCTGTTCCGATTTCCATCGGCTCTGCCGGCGGGACAGTTGGCTCTGGAATGTCTGGAATGCGGAACTCCTTCCAACGTTCCCCTTTCCCTTCCCGCCTCTCCAATGCTCTCGCCTCCTGGCGCGCTCCTATGGCCAGCGCTGATTTGGTCAGCTGGTCCATAGACTCCGCCCTGGGCGCCCGGGAAAGTTCATCTTTCACAGCCGAAGAAAGCCCTTCTTCAAAGAGCATTTGAATGGGTTCCGCCGATAAGTCCCACCCCAATCTGTGTATCAGCATGGTGAACTCAGTCCAGTACTCACGTACAGATCGGCTCCCCTGTTTGCAAGCCATTAACTGTCTGCGCACCACTCCCTTTTCAATATCGCTGGAAAACATCAGATCCATGGCGCGAAAGAACTTCATCGTGTCCTTTAGGACGTCACTATGCGCTGCCATCAGGGGTCTCACCCAGTCTCTCGCCCCCTTTTCAAGATGCCCAATCACAAAAGCCACTCGTGATTCCTCATCAGGAAATCATCAAACTGCAGATTGAGGGCATATTGCATTTCTGTCCGAAAGCTATGATAGTCTTTGGGCTCCCCCCCAAATTTCTGCACCAATCCTGGTACCTTTCTGGCGAGCTGGGTGGCTTTCTCCCTTTTGTCTGCATCTTGAGCCCTCCTCTCCTCCAGCCTCGCCGTCTGCAGCGCCAGCTGGACCTCCAACACCCGGTACCTTTCTTCCAGGCTTGGACCCGCTCCAGCCCCTGCTTCTCCGGTTCCTGCTGGGTTGCTCATTATGCCTTCTCCTGCACAAGCTGCGTTCAAAGACTGTCGGAATGCTGTGATGGGATTATGAGCTGCTTGTGCGTAAAATCGTATTCCCTCAGAGTTTGTTCAAGTCCACAAACCTCTGTCTGTGACTGAGCCCCTCTGACATGGCTCCTCTAGTCACTAGAAGATTCCGACAGTGGTTGCTTTCGTAATCGCTTCCAACATAAAAGCTCCTTAACGGAAACACGTCTTCTGGACTCTCTGCGTGACAGTTTCCGGCGAGGAGTGGGTGTCGCTACAGGAGGTCCGGAAACCTCACCACTGTTTTCGCTGGAAGTATCTCTGAGCCATCCCCCCAGCTCCCTTTCCCTCAGTTCAGCTTCTCTCCCCCTGCTGGTTCCCTCTTCAGCTGCTGAATCTCTTCCAACCTGTCTGAGTCCTTTCACCTCCCTTCCTTCCGATGGCAGTTCCCTGACAATATGCAAGTTCATTTCTTGATGTGGAGTTATTTTCTAAGTGAGCTGCTGCTATGTGCTTTGTGCTTTTAATATTTTTAAAAAATATATATATAATGTATTGTATTCTTGGCAGCAACTGACCTTCAGATGGACTTATCAACAATAACAAAATAGTACACTTTGGCAGAAAACATAAAACATTTAAGAGTATTGTTGTCGTGTTATGTTCTTGAATGCTATGAAGAGATCACATTCTTCCAGAATGTAGGGTGGAACTGAGCAAGAAGTTGCAAAGCTGGATTCCTGTTTGCATCCCATATGAATGGGAGCCATGCTCAAGAAAGCGATAATCATTCTTTGTCATGCCATACAATGCATGAATATCATTGAAAGTATCTTTGATACCATTGAAAAACAAAATGATTCTGTATTTTTTCAATACCGTTAGAAGCATAGCTGTCAACTTACAGATTTGAAAATAAGGGACCAGCAGCCTCAAAAATAAGGGATCAGCAGCCAAAATAAGGGATTTTCCGGGCACAGGTATGTTCAACCTCTGAGCCCCTCCGAGCCAAAGGCAGAAAGCCCAGCCAGCAGCCAAACGAAGCCTCAAGCAGTGGTTCCCACAACGCAGCAACCCGGCAAAGGGGGATGCAGCAAGGAAGACCACCGTCACCTCTTGGCTGGGAAGCGCTGAGCAAAGGCGAGTCCCCAGGCAACCCGGCCGATTTGATCGGCACAAGGCATGCAAGCTCCACCCCCCAGTCATTCTTAGACTCCTTATTGGGTGAGCAACGCAGACAAGCAACACAGTTGGAGCCTCCCTCCTCCCTGGCCGGCAGGGAGGGAGGGAGAGGAGCTGCTTCCTTTGAAACCCGGGAAATTTAAGGGGCATCATCAATAAGGGACAGCAGCGGGACAAAGCGCTGGGATAAGGGACTTTCCCGCCAAATAAGGGACGGTTGACAGCTATAGTTAGAAGAGGTCTCTAACACACAGCACATGGTCAAGTTTCTATCAGAATAAACCTTACTGTCAAAAATGCTTATGGTTCTCTGCCACGGAGCCCTTGTGTGTCGCATACAATTCTAAGGCGCGCGAAAAGCCTTGTAGTTCATGCAGAGAACCAATGAAGCCTCGTGGAAACTACTTGTTTTTATATGGATAAGCTCCCAAGGCACACCATTTAGAACCCTTAAAAATTTGAAATCCCATCCCATTTGTGTCCAGCCAGGCAGACTGGTACCTTCTGTGGATTTATTTGAAGGATTAAAGTTAAATCCTTTTTAAAAAGTTTAAAAATACCCTTCCACCTAAGCGCTACCTCCAAAGATGGAAATAGTTCCACCATCTCCTCTTCACGCAATTTACCAGGTCAGTCCAGTTTAACTAAGACTATAGTAGGGTTGCCATACATATCCGGAATACTGCAGTCGGCAGCAGTGTCTGGACAGAAATTGGGGGGGAGGGGAGAGGGAATTCTGGGAAAATCCAGACGTACGGTAGCTCACGTTAAGAGTGCTGTCTTTCCATAAAAACAGCTCAGAAACGGCATTTCCCCCCCCCTGGTGATTTTGCCCAAAAAGCTCAACAACTTTGGCAAAAAAGAAAGAAAGAAAGACAGAATTTAACTTACCTGACTTGAATAAGTTCCAGGAGCCAGTGGATTCGAATTTGCTCAATGCCATTGTGTGGCACAGAAGAAATATAAGCCAGGTTAATTATTTGGTCCTTACTGAGATCAAATAAATCTGCTTTCCTGTGTGGCAGAGGAGGACTGAAAAGATGAGGAAAGTAATATTCATTAGAATAAAAGAGAAAGAAAAGAGTTTAAGATCAAAGCCAAAAAGCCAACAAATACAAAAAGAAATTAAAGCTTTGCAGACTCAATTTTCTCTAATTATAAATCAAGAAATAGAATGGAAAATAAAATTAATGAAAGGGAGAAATTTTGAATCTGCAAATAAGTGTGGAAAATTGTTGGCCTGGCAATTAAAAAAGAGGCAGAAACAAAATACTATTACAAATATTGTATCTGATGGAAAATCTGTGGAAAACCCTGCAGATATAAGGAAATGCTTTCAGAAATATTTCAAACAACTGTATAAAAGAGGTAAAGAAGATATGGACAAAATTGAGCAGTTTCTTAAGGTAAATGAAGTTCAGAAAATTCCCAGAGATAAAAGATCCTTACTCAATGACACGATTACAAGACAGGAAGTTGAGACAGCAATAAACCAAATGCAATTAGGCAAAGCCCCAGGACCAGATGGTTTGTCTGGCAAATATTATAAAACTTTGAAAGATTGGTTAATCCATCCGCTGGCAGATGTATGTAATAAGATATTAATAGGGGAGAAACCACCTGAAACCTGGAAAGATGCATATATAAACCTGATACCGAAACCAGAGCAGGATAGATCGGATGTTAAGAATTATAGACCAATCTCATTACTTAATGTTGTCTATAAAATATTCACAAATATTTTGGCTAATAGATTGAAAAAGGTCTTAATAGAATATATACATAAAGACCAGGCAGGATGTCTGCCTGGGAGACATATGAAAGATAATATTAGGAATACAATTGACACATTAGAAAGATTAGAGGCCAAAAGAAATTGTAAAGCTTTATTAATGTTTATTGATGCCTTCACATATATTATTTCAGCAATCCTTCCAACACCCTTGCTAGGTGGGTCAGTATTACAGGGGTGCCTCGCAAGATGAAATTAATCCGTTCCGCGAGTCTCTTCGTCTTGCGGTTTTTTCGTCTTGCGAAGCACGGCTATTAGCGGCTTAGCGGCTATTAGCGGCTTAGCTGCTATTAATGGCTTAGCGGCTTAGCGGCTATTAACGGCTTAGCGGCTTTAAGAAAAAGGAAACAAACTTGCAAGAACTCGCAAGACGTTTTGTCTTGCGAAGCAAGCCCATAGGGAAATTTGTCTTGCGGAACGACTCAAAAAACGGAAAACTCTTTCGTCTAGCAAGTTTTTCGTCTTGCGAGGCATTCGTCTTGCGGGGCACCACTGTATCTCTATGTTGCAAGTGAGGGTTGCAATGGGGGGAGGGGATGGCTGTGTTTGGAGCCTTCCCCCCACCCCATGCAGCCAGCAAATGAACCAGGAAGTCTTTCCATTAATGATATCTTCCCATTTTGTACAACCAAATATTGGTTTAATATTCTGGCTTGTTCTTATGGAACAGGAAACTATGATTAATTTAAGACTCTTGGTTTAATTACAACTAGCAAGAAGGAGCTGCGTATGTGGTTAGAAAGTTTGTGTATAATTGCTTCAAGATCCAAGTTACAGTTTTTTGAATTGGCTCAGTGAAGAGCTTGGGTTTGCCAATTGAATTCATGGGGTAAGGTTTCTACCCAGGCCTGCTTATTTGTTTTGTAACACAACAAAATCCTCAATAAAAACTAATTTAAAAAATAAAATAGAAGATGCACAAATGGCTTTTGATGGCTGGTGAGTACTAGCTAAGCTAAACACAACATTCGCAGGGGCAGGGAATACTGCAAAGAAATTGCTTGCTAGCATAGTCAGTATGCGGGACGCGGGTGGCACTGTGGTCTAAACTACTGAGCCTCTTGGGCTTGCCGATCAGATCATCTGCGACTGGACTTAACTGTCAGGGGTCCTTTACCTTTTTATAGCCAATATATCAGAGCTTTCCAAACTTTTCATGTTGTTGACACTTTTTAGACGTGTATCATTTTGCGACACAGTAATTCAGTTTTATAGGGACGCAGGTGGCGCTGTGGGTTAAACCACAGAGCCTAGGACTTGCTGATCAGATGGTCGGTGGTTCGAATCCCCATGATGGGGTGAGCTCCCGTTGTTCAGTCCCTGCTCCTGCCAACCTAGCAGTTCAAAAGCACGTCAAAGTGCAAGTAGATAAATAGGTACCACTCCGGCGGGAAGGTAAACGGCGTTTCCGTGCGCTGCTCTGGTTTGCCAGAAGTGGCTTAGTCATGCTGGCCACATGACTCGGAAGCTGTACGCCGGCTCCCTTGGCCAATAAAGCGAGATGAGCGCCACAACCCCAGAGTTGGTCACGACTGGACCTAATGGTCAGGGGTCCCTTTACCTTTACTTTTAATTCAGTTTTACTAGTAAACTGGAGTTTAAACTAAGCCCTTTCCAGCCCCAGGAGGAGCGCGGAGAGCGTTCACATGACATACCTACACCCTGCAGCCGACACACTAATGTGTCGCAACACACGGTTTGGAAAGCTCTGCAATATACTATTGTCACCTAGAATCTGAGTTTTGCAAGGGGTGTATGCAAGCACAAAAAGCACAATGTTTGCTTTTTGGTGAGCCGAGACTGGTGCTGCTGCTCCCTAATGCCCTGTGGATGTTTAAAAACACGCAGAGATATATAGTGCTAATCTCCAATGCTCTCTGACTCCTAAGAAGATGATCCCCTGAAACGCTGTATCACTTGGGGAAATGATGAGCGTGAAAAACGAGTGATGCAGTGGTTACGACTGTTGGGCTAGGACAGCAGGTAGGAATCAGGGTTCAAATCCCACTTGGTCAGGAACCTCCCTGGGACAGTCACCATCTCTCAACCTAACCTACCTCACAGGGATGTTGGGAGGATAAAACAAAGGGGGAAGGAACCGTGTTGCGTTGCCTTGAGCTGCTAAGGGAGGAAAAACGGGGCAGAGTTGCAGCAAATAAATTTGCAAGAGCAAAACAAAACCACGTGCTGCATACTGCTTGTGCCCTGCATAAAGTGGACTTCTTTTGATCGTTAGTAAATATAGCTCCTAGCCAGCATCTTAAAAAGCAGAGACATCACCTTGCCAACAAAGGTCTGTATAGTTAAAGCTGTGGTTATCCCAGTAGTGATGTATGGGAGTGAGAGCTGGACCATAAAGAAGACTGATCACCAAAGAATTGATGCTTTTGAATTCTGGTCCTGGAGGAGAGTCCCATGGACTGCAAGAAGATCAAACCTATCCATTCCTAAGGAAATCAGCCCTGAGTGCTCACTGGAAGGACAGATCCTGAAGCTGAGGCTCCAATACTTTGGCCACCTCATGAGAAGAGAAGACTCCCTGGAAAAGACCCTGATGTTGGGAAAGATGGAGGGCACAAGGAGAAGGGGACGACGGAGGACGAGATGGTGGGACAGTGTTCTCGAAGCTACCAGCATGAGTTTGACCAAACTGCAGGAGGCAGTGGAAGACAGGAGTGCCTGGCGTGCTCTGGTCCAGGGGGTCACGAAGAGTCGGACACGACTAAACAACTAAACAACAAATATAGCTCCTGTCTTACCAATATCCTGTGCTTTTCCAAAAGTGCTTCAATTCCCTTTCGGTCTGTGAGACGTCCACATTTATCAGGAAAGCCCCAAAGGCTACTTGCACTGTGAGACCCAGTAGTATGGCGAGGCTCCACGCCCTGCAGGATCTTATCCGACCCGGAGAAATTAGCACCCAAACGAAACAAAGACTTTTGCGCCCTTCCATCGTATGTTTCCAAAGAACTCAGCGGCGCAATCTATGCCTCGCGCAGGGGATGGGGAGGCGCTGCATCTCCTCTCTCCCGGCTGTCACTTTTACGCTGCCTAAATTCAAAGTTCCGACTTTGGATCTGGGATCCTAGGTCCCAGCGACGGGGTGGACGATCCCTAGAGACGCAGCCTGCTGCAGTTTTCTTCCCAAGTTGCAACGAAGTCCCTCCCATCCACCCCTTTTTCCTACGGCACATGGTCGCTCCTGTTTGCTTTACTTCCTGCTTTTCTCTTCCGCGAAAGAGAGGCGCGGGAAGTTGCCTTTTCCCCAAAGCAAAGGCGAGTCCGATCATGGGGCTTACTCGAGGGTAAAGCTGCAGGCTATGGCTCACAACAGGGGGGGGGATGCAATATGAGAACACAAAATGCATAATAAAACGCGTACCTGGCAAACCGCCCTAAGGGTGGGACTGGTTTGCGCCATAGCTGTCACAGATTTGAAAATAAGGGATCAGCAGCCAAAATAAGCTAATAAATAATTAACTTATACAGAAATTAGCTTATACAGAAATCCGGCACTGATGGAGCCCTGCTGCTTTGGCTGCCCCTGACTGTGTTTTGCAGGGCGTTGGACTAGATGATCCTAAGGGTCTACAACTCCAACCAAAGAAGAGGGGCAGACAAAACGGATGAACGACGTCGAGATGGCAAAGTTTACAGGCAGAATTAGAAACCAGGAAGAGGACCTCTTTAATAAAGAATGGGGAAAGCTTATAATTTTTTGGAAAAGCTATTGCAAACAGTCACATAAAATTGGTAGGATTGACAGAAAACTTGTAGTTAAAATTTGAACTATGGATGGACAAATAATTTATAAAAATAGAGTTATGAAAGGGATGCAGAGGGGGAAATCACTACATTAAGATGCTGCACTGGCTGGAGGGGATGCTAAGCAGCACGTCGGGGCTGCCATCCTCCTGGCGCAAGGAGTTCCATTGGCCCTTTCCCGCCCGAGAGAGAGGAAGAGGGACTCTCGCCCACGAGCCCGGCATGAGGCGGTTGCAGTGCCGCCGCGGCCGCTGGAGCGCTGCCCTTCTGCGTCCCTCCCCATCCCCTCCTCTTCCTTCTCCCTCAGGCCACCTCCTCAGCAGCCGCCGCTGCCGCTTCCGGCTTCCCCTGGCAGCGCGGCAGAAGTCTCGCAAGAGAGGGGCTGCCTAGCCGCCCGCCTGCCGCCACCCGTCTCCCCACAACGCGCCTCTGAGGGGGAAAAGGGAGAGACAAAGATGCGGCAGCTCATGCGCGCGCTCTCTCGTGGCGGAGGACCCCGAGGGCATGAAACCCGGGAAATTTAAGGGACATCATCAGTCCGGGACAGCAGCGGGAAACGGCGCTGGGATAAGGGAGTTTCCCACCAAATAAGGGACAGTTGACAGCTATGGTTTGCACAGAAAATTACGGTGTGCCGGTCGGTGTGGGGAAGTCCCCAGGCTACAATTCGAAGGGAGTTCCATTCAAACTAATAAGAATCGTAGGTTTTGGAAGGCACCCCAGAGGGTCATCTAGTCCAACCCCCGCTCCCGCAAGGCAGGAATCTCAACACGCGCGGTTCCCACCTCAAACCATACCGGACTCTGCTTAGCTTTGCAAATGTACAAACTGTAGAGTTGGAAGGGACCCCGAGGGTCATCTAGTCCAACCCCCTGGGTAAGCATCTGGGTAGGAAGGAAGCCCATTTTAATTATGGGATTTTACTTACGGGTAAAAACCCTGCGATCTTAAAAATGGCATAGGAAAATAAGGAACACGGGAGGCTGCATAGCTGTCAACCGTCCCTTATTTGGTGGGAAACTCCCTTATCCCAGCGCCGTTTCCCGCTGCTGTCCCGGATTGATGATGTCCCTTAAATTTCCCGGGTTCCATGCTCACCCAGCTTGGGAGGGAAGCAGCAGCTTGGGGTCCTCTGCCTCAAGAGAGCGCGCACACACACACGGGCTACCGCGTCTCTGCCTTTTCCCCCTCGGGCGCGTCATGAGGAGACGGGTGGCAGCGGACGGGTGGACGGGCAGCCCCTCTCTTGCGAGACTTCCGCCGCACTGACAGGGGAAGCCGGAGGCTGCAGCGGCGGAGGAGGCGGCCTGAGGAAGGAGGAAGAGGAGGGGAGGGACGCAGAAGGGCGGCGCTTCAGCGGCCGCCGCAACCGCCTCATGCCGGGCTCTGGGTGGCCTGGGCGAGAGTCTCTCTCCCTCCCTCCCTTTCAGGCGGGGAAGGGCCGATGGAACTCCTTGCTCCAAGACAACGGCAGCCCCGACGTGCTGCTTAGCATCCCCTCCAGCCAGTGCAGCATCTTAATGTAGCGATTTCCGCCTATGCACCCCTTTCATAACTCATATTTTTATAAATCATTTGTCCATCCATAGTTCAAATTTTAACTACAAGTTTTCTGTCAATCCTACCAATTTTATGTAACGCTTTGCAATAGCTTTTCCAATAAATTATAAACTTTCCCCATTCTTTATTAAAGAGGTCCTCTTCCTGGTTTCTAATTCTGCCTGGAAGCTTTGCCATCTCGACGTGGTTCATCAGTTTTGTCTGCCCCTCTTCTTTGGTGGGAGTTGTAGACCCTTAGGATCATCTGGTTCAACGCCCTGCAAAACAGTCAGTCCCAGCCAAAGCAGCGTGGCTCCATCAGTGCCAGATTTCTGTATAAACTAAGGCAAAATCCTTTATTTTGGCTGCTGATCCCTTATTTTCGAGGCTGCTGGTCCCTTATTTTCAAATCTGTAAGTTGACAGCTATGGGAGGCTGCCTTATCCCCAGTCAAACCCTTGTGGGTCCGCACTGGCTCCCTAAGACGTTACACAGGGATGCTCGCTCAGCCCTACGGGGGATCGAACCTTTAACCCGCTTTCAGCTCGGATCTATACAGCCTTTCCCTGACCAACCACCCGTTGAACTCAGCGGGATTTACATGAGTGACGTCGCCTTCTGCCAATCAGGTTTCTGCGCCCCTTTACGTCTCCGCCTTCCACCTCGGCACCGACATCCCCTTTCCCTCCCTCGCTGCTTAGCTTCGAGGGCGGCCAATCAGCGCTTTGCCCACACCCCTTTACGTCACCGCCTTCCACCGTGCGGAGCGGACATCCCCTTTCCCTCTGTTGCTGATTTACGACCAATCAGCGCTTTGCCAAGCTTCCGTGAGCTCCAATAGAGGGTGGGAAGGAAACGCGCTTCGCCGTGGCCAATGGGAACCGGAGGTGGCTTGTTGATTGCTCAGTCCGACGTCCAATCAAGAGGCGCGGTGGCGAGAGCCTGTTGCTAGGCGGTTCCTTCGCCGTTTGTTTTGAATTTTGGCGGCGGTTCCTTATTCGGAATTCTTCGTTATTTCAATTACCGGTGATGGCGAAGCCGGCGAGGGAAAGGTGAGAGGGGAAACTGAGGGAAGGAGGGAAGCCGAGGGCCTCAAGGGGACCCGAAGCTGAAGGCTGGGAGATTCAGGGCGAAAGGAAGAAAGCTAAAAAGATTTTTTAATTCTCCTTTCCAAAAAAATCCTGAAGCCTTTCTGTTAGGCATCATGTTGATTGAAATACCAAAAAGCCTAAGAACACTTTTTATGTATGCAACCGCAGCAGCTAGGATTTTAATAGCTAAAAACTGGAAAGACGATTTAATCCCCACAAAAACTGACTGGCAAGCGAAGATGATAGAATATTTAGAACTTGGGAAAATGACTGGGAGAATAAAAGGAAAATCAAATCAGAAAGTAAAGATTGGGCACTATTCAAAGAATATCTTTTAAAAGCACTGTGATAATGCAGTGCTCCTGACAGGTTTAGATTGCATCTTGAAGGGTAAGGAAACGTTAATAAAAATAATTTATTTTGGTAAGTAACGGAAGAGAGTAATAATAAAGAAGTGCATATAGAATAATATGGTTTAAAAAGCACAATGAGGTGAGTCGGAAGTTAAAGTGTGTCTAATGTCAAAGGATATGTTGCTAGTTAGTGGTTTGTGTATGTTTATTGTGATTGTCTATGTTTGATGTAAATTGTTTTGTAATGAAGAACTTGTTAAAATTATAATAAAAAAGAAAGCTTTGAATTGTGCAGTGAGGCTGTGGAACTCCCTGCCACAGGAGGGCGGTGGTGGCTACTGACTTTGGCGACTTCAAATCAGGACTAGACAAATTCAGGGAAGGTAATGATGAAGTGTTGGGGAAGGGTGGAAACATGTCGTGCGCCTTTGGGGGTAGTTTGTCCGCCTTTGGTGCCCACCCTGCACTCAGCTCTCGCCTGTGGCTCCTAGAAGCTGTCAGCATGCGATGGGGGGCCATGTCCCAGGAACGACTTTGACTGGCTGCCTAAACCAGACGAGGGCAGCCGATGAGTCTCAAACCCTCATTGAGTTAGGAGCTGCCCTGCATTCAAAGACAGGATCCAGCGGATTGCGTTGACAAGACCAAGAGTGAGGCCAATGGGCAAGAAGGCAGTTTCTGCACCTGCTGTCGGGGGAAGTGAGGGGCAGGTGGGGCTCGTCAACCTGGGAAGGTAGCCCATCTAGGAGAAGGGAAAACTCTGAGCCTAAACCTTTCAGGAGCTATGTTTGAAACTAACCAGGCGCATTCCGGGCAGATCAGAAACTTACAAAGGGAATGTTTGTGAAGCACAAGTCATGTAATATGGTCGAACAGATGCCGATGTAGGAAACGGAACAAAATCGTGATAGAATGAAAGCAAGGCTTGGAGTTTCTCATGTGCCATTTTCTATTTTATTATTGTACAGTGAGGTTTTGGCCTCCTCCCTAGTGAACAGCGTGACCCAAGCTTTTGGAAAGCTTGTAGACTTATGGAACGAAATGGGTATCAGCAGAGAACTGCAGCTGGAGCGCATGCAGACAGCTAAGGCGCACATTGAGGTATGGAGCAGTGTGTGTGTGATTTGTACTCCAAATGCTCTTAAACAGTTGACTTATTTCAGTTTGTCAATTTATATATTAATGGGTTTTAGGTCCTTCTTTGTGTTTTGTTCCAAATAATATTTTGTTGCTTTAAAGCAGCAGTGTGAGTTTTTGGGAGAAAATTCCAATTTCTAAGTCCGGTGCTCAGACTGCTGCTGGGAGATTTATCTGTTTTGTTTTGTGCTATTTACCATTTGAGTCTTTACATTGACACCCTCCTTCCTGACACTATGACCCAGCTCCCCAAGGAATGAAGGGAGCTGTATTTCAGCAACATCTGGAGGGACGCAGGTTCTTGAGCTAGCAGATCCTGAATCTTTCAATTAAGTTGCAGGCCTTCATATCTTTGCTGACAAAATTAATAATGCTCACTAACTTGCATTGCAAAACTTACATGAACTGCAGCAGTTGGCTTTTATTTTGGCAGAAGTGACAGTATATTTTGTTCTCTTCCATTTTTACAACAATTGATCCAATGCACAGTTTCTACTTGATTTTGGAGACCTCAGCAGCAAAAATGTAAAGGGCTTACTTAGACAGTCAATGACTGGTCTCTTCCTACATATAAAATGGGTAGGGCTAAATGCAGAGACTAAGAAAATATGGTGCAGGTCCCAAAGCACCTGGTTAAATATTTCCATTTTTCGACCAACCTTATAGTATTTACAAAAGCTATAAGCCAAGCTGTCTGCTGATAGCTATCTGAAACACATCAGTAGATGAAAAGGAATGTGAAGAAAGAACTCATTTTATAGAAACTTCCACCCCCCAGTTTTCTTGATGGCTGGGAGGGGGCTATTTGCTACTGACAAGTTGCTGTGTGTAAACATGGTTTTAAGCCAGCCAGCTAATAATGCAAAAAACAGGAAGCCTCAGGAAGCCTACCAGACCACACTCCAGTTACTGAGTTGGGAGATGGTAGTTTATATGTCAGAAACACTTCTTCTGTTACAAACTTGAGTGGTGTATATTTTAAAATGCAGAACATTAATGTGGCACAAATTCTTAATTTAGCTATGGGTGCAATGCTTTAATTTGACAGTTAATAAATCTGATAAGGAACTGTACTTACACTACTGTTGTATGGGTTTTTGGATAGACTCTGTTGAATGAAATGATTGAGGAAGAAAGTAATTTGAAAGAAAAAATTGAAAATGACATTGAAATACAGAAGTCTCAGTTGAATATCGTGAGATACGAACTCAAGCTGGACCCTTACCAGGCAAGTTGCTTCACTGCTGCTTATTCCGGATAACAAAGCACAAAGATGTCACTTAGGTTGCAGTCCTATACTTGATATACCAGGGAGCAACCCTCATTAAGTTCAGTGGTGCTTACATCTGATTAGACTTGTATACAATTACAACGTTAACGACAATGGGCTGATATCTGCCACCATGATGAGTTTTTATTCTCAGCACTGTTTTCTGTAATTACCATTGCATTTGAAAATCTGGAGCTCTTGCTTTGCACGTGTAAGGTTTCTATTGAACACTTGGAATCTCTAGAGCCCTCTGATGGGCATAATTGTAATTAATGTGATTCTTCAGAGCTGCTTTTTACTGTTGTAATGAATTAAGACTTAAAATATTTGGTCTGGCAGCTGACTGGAAGGTTACTGTTCAAATACAAATTCTGTTTCGGTACAGACCTGTCAAAATGTGATCTTTGCTCAGTACTGCCACTCACTGTAGTGTCAATACAGGCATCCTTCCACTTATGCATGGCACCAGGAAATAATTAAATGATTTGATTCAAACCTGGAAATGGCGAGAGAGAGCTGGAGAGTCCGTGTGGCTCACAAGGAGACCCTCCCTGGAAACCAAAGAGGATGTCAGTGAGAGCACAGGAAGCCCCAAAGAGACTGGAGGTGCAGCAGGGCTTTGTTTACGCTGCTCAGCCTCCCCGCCTACCCACAGCTGATGTGCGGGGTAGCGCAGCAGCAGCAATTTCCTGCATGTCCTCCAGCCTCCTGCCAGCCCCAAAGTTTCAATTATAGTTGTGGGTGTTTTTGGATACAGTATATTTTGTGTGGATTGAAGAGAGAGCGGCTGAGATGGCATTTGAAAAGGCTTAGAGGGGGCTCCCCACTTTACATGATTTCAGTTATGCATGCAGGGACCAAAATGTAACCCCCGCGTAAGAGAGGGGGACATCTGTACATTTCTGCACCTAACCCTTTGTGACTCTTTACAGGTTGGTGATGGCTTATCCATCATCCAGTTAGAAAAAGAGTTTCGTTTGGCTTTAGAAGGCGCTCTTAAAGAAAAACAAGAGAGGCTGACGAAGTTGAAACAGCTGCAGCTAGAGGAGCAGAGACTATGTTCAGAGCTTTACGCTACTCCATACTACATACCGACCGGCAGTGTTCCAAGTTGTTTGCAGCTGGAAGAATTAGACAAACATGTTCAGCAGCTCTTGAAAGTGAAGGTGTAGTACTGACCCCTCCCCCTTTGCATTATTTAAACAGAAACATTGTATTTATTTTTATTTATTGAATTTATATACCCAATATATAGTAAAAATCAGAGGTTCTGATAAGGCTTGCTGGGCTTGGACCCAGGTATGAGCCACAAATGGAGGCATTGTATGGCTTCTGAATATTTCTCTGGTTTGAATTAAAATGTAAGAAGAATTCTCAGCAACTTACACTTTCCCCCTCCCCTCTAGTCAGCCCCTAAATGGTTACTTTTGCAGCCAGGAGACCTGCTGTTGGGGCCTCTAGATGTGTAAAAGTTAGAAGTAAAGATAGGGTTGCCACATTTTACAAAGTGAAAATCCAGACAGAAGAGTTGTAGAGTTTTGTTTTGGTTTGGTTTTGCAAATAAATTGAAGCTATTTCTGAGGAAGATCTGCAAAATGACACTGCCGCCATGCGTGCGGATTTTCCCAGACATTTCTCCAATTTACGCCTGGACATTGCTTGCGGCTACAGTATTACAGATATGTCTGGGAAATTCCATATGGCAACCCTAAAACTTGAATTCACTCTGAAATAAATATTTTCCCTTGGGAGAGGGGGAGTGATTCAACTTACTTCTAAGCCAGTCTGGTGTGAATTATAGGGAGCTTCCTCATGCCTACTAAACATGCTGCTTTCTTATCTCCTGGCAAATTGCTTTTTAATGCTTGTTCTAGAAAAATTGCATTTAATTCATATCAGATATTCATTCTGGTTATCCAGAATTAGCAAATAGCCTTAATCAATAAACGAATCTGTTCATTTTTTGTTGAGCGGGTGAAACTAGTTTGATATTCCTGTGTTGCACTTAAAGTTGGACAGTGTCAGGAATATTGTCAATCTGTTTTGTTGGGTTAAACGTGATTTTTAGATGTTCTTTATATCTGAGACCTCATGACAGCATTACATTTGAAAGCTGTTTGATCTGACTATTTAAATCATTTTATTTGTTTAGGAGCAAAGATTGAAAGAGTTTTTTAAACTAAGGGGAAAGGTCAGGCAGTATAATAAAGAAATTGGACACACACCAGATGGGACACTGGAAAGTGATATGTTGAGCGATGAAGAAGAATGCATTTGCCTTACAAAGAAAAACCTTGAGGATCTCGAATTGCTTGTTCATCAGGTTGGTCTTTTGAATGTAAAAAAGAATTATTCACATGAATGAGGCTGCTGTTCAGATTGTTTAGCCCACATGAATACCAGAACCAATATGGTCCTTAAATGATGTTGGGCAAATGCAACAGGTGTGCCATTTATAACCATGGCTTGCAAAGTGCAATAAAGGCCTCCAATATGGAGGTATAAGTGCTTTCTTATAGTCAGGCCAATGGGTCTTCTGTAGCTAATAATGCTGCAAGGTGATATGTGTGGGCCATGCAGTGTAATAGTGAATGAGGGTTCCATCTCTATTCTAACTTCCCACTCCCTGCCTTCATCCATTTGAAATGAGACGGTGGAGCACAGGTTCCCTGTTGGAACTGTTGGGATGCAACTCGGTTTGAACTGGAGGCTGATTTGTTTCCATGGGAAAGAGTAGATAGAAGGAAGAACCTCCAAGTTGCCTAGACTGTCCTTTAACCTGTACTGACCTTCCATCATGTGTTAGACATGTTTTTAGGGTTCCTGACCTCATTTCCTTCTTTTTCTACATCATCGCTGGGAAAGGAAACATCCTTGCATCGTCCCTATACAGTTGTACAGTGGTACCTTGGGTTACGAACGTAATGCGTTCCAGAGGTCCGTTCTTAACCTGAGGCGCACTTTCGCTAATGGGGCCTCCCACCACTCCGCCGGCGTGCAATTTCCGTTCTCATCCTAGGGCAAAGTTCTCAACCCAAGGTACTACTTCTGGGTTAGCAGAGTTTGTAACCTGAAGTGTTTGTAACCCAAAGCGTTTGTAACCAAGGTACCACTGTACCTTGGAAGTCAAACGGAATCCGTTCCAGAAGTCCATACAACTTCCGAAACGTTTGAAAACCAAAACGTGGCTTCTCATTGGCTGCAGGAAACTCCTGCAGCCAATCGGAAGCCCCATTGGACGTTCGCCTTCCAAAAGAACATTCGAAAACCGGGACAGTCACTTTGGGTTTCGATTGTTCATGAGCCAAAACGTTCGAGAACTAGGCTGTTCGACTTTCAAGGTACGACTGTATGTGTATTTCCTTCAATAAACTTAGCTTCCATCTTTTTCCAAACTCAAGAGTCTTGGTGTAATTATATCCAGGCTAAAGTGTGTTCTACTCCAACAGTAATTCAGTGTTCAGTTAAGCTTCCAAGCTGCAAGTTAAATTGAAAACACCAACATTTTCTCCCCCCACCCCCGCCCAATCCGCCCCGGACCACCTCCCCACCTTATAGAACTGGTAATCACAATACTTCATTGCTTAATTTTGGTACCGTGATCAAGATGGAGTGTTGGCATGCACTTTTCCTGAGAAGCTGATGATGCAGTGTTACATCTGGCTTGACTTGCTCTTGAGACTATATGGTACAGTTCACATACCTTGTTGCTGCCTTTTCCATATGGCTGTTTTGTATGAACTGATGTAGATGTGCCTTTGTAGTTGCAGGTCAAGAAAGACTCTCTAATTGCCAGCAGAGATGCTCTGGTGAAAGAGGTGCAAGTTTTGTGGGACAGACTTCAACAGCCACAAGAGAAGCAGGAGCAACTCACAATGTTGGCAAGCAGATGCCCTATTTCTGAAGCAATAAAAATGGTAATAGAATCAGAATTCTGATGGCACTGTTCATTAATAATAGGCTGACTACAATGGTCTTTTATGTAATTTACAATACAGAAAGGTAAGAGTCGCTTAAAACTACAGAATCAGACTTCAGTTTAAATTTGTGCTGGATTTTTTAAAAGTCTTCTGTAGGCTCTGGAAGATCAGGGAGGGGGCCTGCCTGACCTCAACTGGAAGGGAATTCCACAAAATTGGGTCCACAATACTGAATTCACAGCTCCTGGTGGATACAAGCCACGAATCTGAGCCATGGGGTTACCACTAACATTGACTCTGCCCAAGTCCTTGATGATCAGGCAAGGATAGGCAAGGATAGGATTAGGCAGTACCTGTGGTATCCTGGACCCACATTGTTAAGGGCCTTGTAAATTAATACAAGAACCTTGAACTTGGTCGTGTAGTATTCAGGCAGTCCATGCAAACCTTGGAGCACTAAAGTTACATCCCGGTGATAGTCATTCCCCATCAACAGTCTAGACATAGTGTTTTGCAGCAGCTGGAGCCTCCAGGTCCAAGAGTAGCCCCACATAGGGCACATTGCAGTAATCAAGTCTTGAGGTCATCACTGCATGAATCACCATGGCCAGACTTTCCTTGTAAAAGAATGGCTGTAGTTGACATACCAGCTATAGCTGGTAAAAGGCACTCCTATTGAAATTTAATGGACCTAACTTAAGTCATGCTCATTAATTTCAGGGAGTCCAGTCTGAGTAAAACTTCGTTGATTACTACCCAGTGTTTTCCCCCCCAGATGTTGATATTTACTGACTTTATCATCTGTTTTGTTTCACTGGATCTGCTTTGATGCTGGACCCTCAACAGTTTTGTGTCTCTCACCTGCAGTGAGTGGTATTTTAATTCTGAAGCTTCTGAAATAGCAGCTGCATGTGTTTTTATAAAATATTTCTTCTTCAGATACATTAATATGAGATGTATGTAGTTGCTTAAAGCTATAGAATCAAGCTTCAGTTAAAATACCTGCTGAGTTAAAAGAAAAGTTGCCCAGAGAAGACATAGGCAGGAAAAGGCACACTTTCAGGCATTTGAACCCAAAGCTATTTAGGGCTTTAAAGTTAAGTAGTAGTACCTTAAATTGGATAATGCAGGAGCCTTCTCATTTTACTGTCTGGAGCTAACATCTTGCTCTAATGTATTTTGAGCGTGTGGGCTTCTTCTAAGCTCAGCTGACATGGAAGCATTAAATTTAAAGTGTGGGGGAAATGGCCATTTTAAAAAAAAGTTCTAAAGAGTTAATTGTATTCTACGTGAATGCCTCTTGGTGTCAAACTGACAGTCAGATCAGATTACTCCAGTTTCAGGAATATCCCCAGTCTACGTACGTCACTGCTACAGCCTTTGCTGTAACAAATTTGTAGTCATGGAGAAGTCTGAGTAATTGTCTGGAAATAGTGAAAGCAAGATCGCCATTGCCAAATGCAATAACCATGAGACACTTGTTTTGTTTTCATTAGTGGGAAGAGGAGTTGGAGAACCTGGAAGTGCTGAAGAAGGAAAGTTTAAAACAAATTACTTTCAGAGTCAGGCAAGAACTTCATGATTTCTGGGGCAAATGCTTTTATTCTGAGGAACAAAGAGCTGCGTTTCAGCCCTTTTTAAGTGGTAATTCCTTACATCTTATATCTTTCAAATACAAACCTTTATTTTGTGTCTACTTGTGACTAAAGACAGGTAAAACTATTTTTGTCATAATTTTAAAAACGGAATGTCTGGTTGATGAGGCAAAATTCTGTTAAATCGTCTAGGGCTGGGTCACAGTGAAAGTGCTTAGTCGCTATTTGATCCTCATCTTGTAGTTGCAGAGTCATGCCATGTGCCTAATGAAACCTTAACTCTTGTTTTCTTGCTTTAGATAATTTCTCTGAAGAGTTGTTGAGTCAACACGATGAAGAACTTTTGAGAATAAAAGAGGTTTATGAGAAAAACAAACACCTGTATGATAATGTTCACAAATGGAATGCCATCGGGGAGCGTTTGGGTGAACTGGAGGTCAGAAGTACTGAATGCTTATGTTATCTCACTGCAGAGAGGGAAACTTGAAGCTGTTTTTAGATATGGGTGAAATCTAGGTGAGCATCAGACACAAGATTCGATTCGTATCTGAAGCTTTGGGTAGAGGCCCAATCTGTTTTGGAGCTGCTCTTTGGGTCTTTCCAATTCATCTCATTATTTGGGACCAAGATACAGTGGTACCTTGGTTTATGAACTTAATCCGTTCCAGAAGTCCGTTCTTAAACCAAAGCGTTCTCATACCAAGGTGTGCTTTCCCATAGCAGCGGGGGACTCAACTTACAAATGGAACACACTCAACAGGAAGCAGAACATGTTCTTATTCCAAGGCAAAGTTCACAAACCAAAACACCTACTTCCGGGTTTGCAGCATTCTTAATACAAGTTGTTCATAAACTAAGCTTTTCTTAAACCAAGGTACCACTGATCTGTTAAAAACGAAACTGACTCCCACCCCACCTCTATCTGTTGGAGGTTTTAAAGCAGATATTGGGTGGCCAATTTTGATTATAATGGGAATCTAAAACTGGATTGCTCCCCTTCCACAGAAGTGGATGAAATGAGCAGGCATGGTGCCCCTGCAGGATGGATTAACACTCCCAAATTGTAGGCAAATACAGCAAAAGGAGCAAATGAGTGAAAGCTAGCCAATGGAACAGTGCACTTGTTCAGAAGTGACCATTTGACACAACTGTCAGAAACGTACAGCTTCTATACTGTATAGACACAAGGATACTAGGATCATACCAGCCCACCCATCATTCGCTGATAAATGCATAAAGCAGCTGTGCAATGTTATTGCTTGTCTTCAAAGGAACTGACATATGCCACTGAGCCGCAAATACCCTCATACTTGGTGCTTTGAAAGGATAATCTTTTATCTGCCTGGGCTTGTACTAGAATAAGAGCCACAATCTTACTCGGAATGGCAAGATTCTTCTGAATGTCTGCTTCAGGTTTTTGCTCTAGGAGGCTTAGTTTGGTCAGAATCGAGTGTATACGCTTCCAGAGTTAATGCTAAATACATTACTTCTGGTGAATGAGCCACCATAGCCACTAGAGGGCTGTGGAAAATTTGTGTCCTGGGCTTTTAGACTCGTACACCCATGTACTATAGGAAAACAATCAGTTACTTAATGTGTAACCTGTTTTCCTTCTGTATTCAGAAAAAATCAACAGATCCAAGCAGACTTCTAAACAGAGGTGGTACCTTACTCAAAGAGGAAAGGGAAAGATCAAAGCTTCAAAAACAATTGTTAAAGGTAAGTCCCAGGGCCATTTTTGTGTAGTTTCCATCCATTTTGGGTGAAATTTGGTGCCTGATCCACATGAACACTTAGGTGTTCATGTGGATCAGGCACCAAATTTCACGTAACCCCTTGTTGACTAACACTCCTTGGCAAAGCAGTTCTAACATGTAGATACAGTGGTGCCTCGCAAGACGAAATTAATCCATTCCGCGAGTGTCTTCGTCTAGCGGTTTTTTCGTCTTGCGAAGCAACCCTATTAGCGGCTTAACGGATTAGCGCTATTAGGGGTTTAGCGGCTATTAAAGGCTTATCGGCTTAGTGGATTAGCTGCTAAAAGGCTATTAAAGGCTTAGCGGCTTAGATAAAGGGGGGGGGAAGCGGAAAAAAAATCTCAAGACTCGCAAGACATTTTCTTCTTGCGAAGCAAGCCCATAGGGAAATTCGTCCTGCGAAGCAACTCAAAAACGGAAAACCCTTTCGTCTAGCGGGTTTTTCGTCTTGCGGGGCACCACTGTAATGCTTTCATCTCATAAACTTTGGAAGTATTTTCTGTGCATATAAAGTTGCCTCTGGAAAGAACATTGATGACACCTCAAATTTGAGGTCCAAATGACTCCAGGTTCTTAGCATGCTTGATCGTTTCTTGGCTGATCTAGCTAACGTCTCTAATATTGTAGAGGAAAGTGAATTGTTCAGCTGCAAACGGAGTTGGAAGAGTGCCTTGAATAGTGGCAGTGTGAAGTTTAAAGTCTTTCTGAAATTGACTAAACTGGTTGTCAGTTCAAGGTTGAAATTTTAAGTCCAAACCACCTTCCTGGTATAGACTGAGCATGTTGGCTATTTGCAGATTAGTTGCACTGCAGAAAGCGTGCTGGGGAGACCACACATTACAAGGAACGCAAAATAACTTTAGCTAGGTTTTAATAACAAAAACTCCTTTTACACTAAATATATCAACAAGCATGACCCAACCACCAACCCATCCCCCAGGGTACTGAGAGAGCTAGGTGCTGCTCTTTATATACTACAGTGGTACCTCGGGTTACATACGCTTCAGGTTACATACGCTTCAGGTTACACACTCCGCTAACCTAAATAGTGCTTCAGGATAAGAACAGAAATTGGGCTCCGGCGGCGCAGAGGCAGCAGGAGGCCCCATTAGCTAAAGTGGTGCTTCAGGTTAAGAACAGTTTCAGGTTAAGAACGGACTTCCAGAACGAATTAAGTACTTAACCCGAGGTACCACTGTATACCCAATTGCTGACACAGCTTAATTAACACAATTTAACAGCACCTGCTATACTGCTTCACAGCTGTAAAACTGGGTCACGTTGTTTGCTCTGGCCCTTAAAGAAATATACATCTTGTGGAACAATAATGAACCTTCAAATTTAAAGAGACCATTCAACAGAGCATATCGTTTAGCTCTTCAGAGGAGATGCTGCTGATCATTCCCTGACCTGTGAATTGTGACAAGTTGGCCTTCTCTGTGATAGCACACACTCTGGAGTGCCCTCCCTTGGGTAATTTGTGAGATGGAAACAGTAATGACCTCCGAATGCCTTGTGAAAACGGGCTTGCTCAAGGTTTATTCAAGCTTCACTCAAGCTTTCCTGATTCTTTTAAGTTTTATTTTATTTTTGTTTTGTATACTGCTTAGTTTTTATTATGGTATAAAGTTGTGCTTTATTTTTATTTCCCTTTTAATTTAGTTTTTAGGAAATGTTACATTTATATTTTTAGGTGAACTGCATTGAGATTTTTATTAAATAGTATTATTTTTTATTTTTAAAAAACTTATTTGCCAAAACTAGTTGGGGGAAGAACTGAAGAAAGATACTGAAGACTGGGAAAAGGAAAACAACTCACACTTCCTTGTTAATAATCAGAGGTTTCTGGACTCCATGGCCCTGCAATTGCAGCATCACAAAATTAAGAAAGATCAGCCCAAAATGGTAAGTTTTGCATGCGAGTCACTTAATTCAGCACATTATTTATTTGATAAAAATGTGACTGCCATGTTTGGGATGTGTTGTCAATTCTTTACTAAATAATGACTGTGCCTTATTGACTCTGTCTGCCATGTTCTCTTTGGTGTGCTCTCACTTTCGTCTGGTTGCTGTTGAAAAGTTAGTCACTTAAGCTAGGATCTAGCCAGCATTTGAAGCTAGTTACAAATTCAAAGCTAATTCTGGCTAGCACAAAATGTGGTTCATCACCAATGTTTACAACTGAGGGAGAAGGAACACATGATCCAGCAGTCTAGTCCCCCATCTAATTGACAGCCGATGTTCTATATACATCACAGACCATGTCATAATCGTGTGTCTTGTCTGTATAACGATCTGGCAAACAGGTTGGGTCTAGATTTGCAAGCTTTCGTTTTCCTTGCAGCACAGAACCATTACATTTCCCCCACAAAATAATCAACGGAGGGCTTGAATGCTAGCCTACGATGGCGTTCTTTCTCAGTCTTGCAGGAGTGTTTCTTTTTCTCTGTGCCTGGTGGGAAGAGGGAAGTTTGACAGCAGGGATGTGGTGATGCTGCCACCGCCATGTGTGGAAAGCAGACAGGGCCTCTGGGGCACTGTTGATCCTTGCCACCCAAGGACAGAGATTGTACAAAACAATAAGGTTGTCAGGAGAGAGCATAGCAGTGCCAGCAAGACATGCTTAACTGTTCAGAATATGTGGAATGCAAAAGTTGACTATGTCACTGAAACATCACCGGGTGTGCATTGGCTCCTTAGAAACCTGTGAAAAGCAGCTACTGGTCCTATTTTACAAGTGCTGGAGCACTAAATATAAGTGCCACACTTTCTACAAATTCTCAAGGGTGGACTGAACATACTCTTGGTTATGGATCACTCATTTATCAACTGTGGGCTGCAAATGTATGTGGACCAGCAGCCTTCATGCTTGTAGCATTTCTTTTTACTGCCCCTGGGGTCTTTCAGATAATAATAATAATAATAATAATAATAATAATAATAATTAAATAATAATAATTAATAATAGTAAATTACTTACACCCCGCCCATCTGGCTGGGTTTCCATAGCCACTCTGGGCAGCTTCCAACAAGAGATTAAAAATACATTAAAACATCAGTCATTAAAAACTTCCCTAAACTTCCCTAAACAGGGCTGCTAAAGTTAGATAGATAAGATAAGATAAACTTTATTTGCATTAGCCAACGGCCTTAGCAACATAAAACAAGCAATATATACAAATAAAATAAAGTTAGATAGTTGTTTATTTCCTTGACATCTGATGGGAGGGCGTTCCGCAGGGCGGGTGCCACTACCGAGAAGGCTCTCTGCCTGGTTCCCTGTAACCTCACTTTTCTCAGTGAGGGAACCGCCAGAAGGCCCCCGGCGCTGGACCTCAGTGTCCGGGCTGAACGATGGGGGTGGAGATGCTCCTTCAGGTATACTGGGCCGAGGTCAGCACCAACACTTTGAATTGTGCTTGGAAACGTACTGGGAGCCAATGTAGGTCTTTCAAGACCTGTGTTATGTGGCTGCTGCGGCCGCTCCCATTCACCGGTCTAGCTGCCACATTCTGGATTAATTGCAGTTTCTGGGTCACCTTCAAAGGTAGCCCCACCTTTGGGGCTACCTTTGAAATACTGAACATCTCTTGGAAGTATCAGGGTGGAGCTTTTGCTTGGTAGGGCTGCAGGGCTCTTTCTGTTAGCTGCTGCTCCAATGTAGAAAGAGGCAACAGAGAACTTACTGAAGAATTGCATTATTGTTTAACAGAGTTAAAGCAACATTTATTTCTCTTTTTTTGCAGTCATTGAAGAGGGATGAATGTGGAACTCCCAAATCAGCCACTAAAAGACCTGCAGGAGGTGTGAACATGCCACCTCCTAGCAAGATGCGGAAAGTAAATAATCTTTTGATCCAACAGGCAATTATCTGATAGAAATCATGTGCATGCTTCGAAGCCAAAGTACAAGGAGCCCTATTCAACTAGCTTGCATCAACCAGAAGCAAAGTACAGTAATGACAACTTGCCTTATTTTATTTGACAGAACCCCTGTATGTGTGTATGGGAAATTCATCCGGAAGACAAAAATGTATCAAGGAGTTAGTGATCTGCCATGGTTACCCTTCCTGCCTCTGTTCCTTCCCCTTTCCTTGCTCTTGTTAAGTTTTTAGATGGTGTCAGAACAGTCTTTAATGTCTTGAAGATTGGGAGGAGGTGAAGCCAGGGGTGTAGGAAGGCTTCCAACAAGAGATTAAAAATACATTAAAATGTCACACGTTAAAAACTTCCCTAAACAGGGCTGCCTTCAGATGCCTTCTAAATGTCAGGTAGTTGCTTATCTCTTTGACATCTGATGGGAGGGGGTTCCACAGGTGGGCGCTACTACCGAGAAGGCCCTCTGCCTGGTTCCCTGTAGCTTTTGCTTCTCTCAGTGAGTTATAATTTTTTCAAGTATACATCAAATAAAAATTATGAATCTCCAGACTTCTCACCATCCCCTCCATGGGTCCTATTATCAGTTTCAACTGCATATTATTTCATCATCCATATTTTAGGTCTATCCATATTATCCCACATTACAAGTTTTGTTAAAATCCTGCTGATGTTTCCATTTGCTTACAGTGGTCTCTTAAATAAGTTATAAATCTTTCCCATTCTTTCTTGAAACTTGTCTGCTTGGTCTGCAAGGGCCATCGAGTCTGCTTTGTCTGCAAGGGCCATCGAGTCCAACCCCCTGCCAAGCAGGAAACACCATCAGAGTACTCCTGACATATGGTTGTCAAGCCTCTGCTTAAAGACCTCCAAAGAAGGAGACTCCACCACACTCCTTGGCAGCAAATTCCACTGTCGAACAGCTCTTACTGTCAGGAAGTTCTTCCTAATGTTTAGGTGGAATCTTCTTTCTTGTAGTTTGGATCCATTGCTCTGTGTCCGCTTCTCTGGAGCAGCAGAAAACAACCTTTCTCCCTCCTCTATGTGACATCCTTTTATATATTTGAACATGGCTATCATATCACCCCTTAACCTCCTCTTCTCCAGGCTAAACATGCCCAGCTCCCTTAGCCGTTCCTCATAAGGCATCGTTTCCAGGCCTTTGACCATTTTGGTTGCCCTCCTCTGGACACGTTCCAGTTTGTCAGTGTCCTTCTTGAACTGTGGTGCCCTAGGATCGTGTGACCTAGATTGGGACATTGAGTCAGGGGCTCCCCACTTCTTTCCCTGGTTTCACCTCAAACAGAGCCTTTTATTTTAGCCCTGGCTGCTGCATATAATTGGGTATCTGTATTACAGCTATGTTGCAGCTTCCTCTAGGGAGGGTGATGTCCAGTTTCATATCATGAACACCAGATGGCAGTGCATCATAAAGAAAGCCTTTCCCACAAACATATCCCTCAAATAAATCTGTATGGCAGCCATGCGTTTGACCATGAAGCACTATAAACTAGAGATGTTTCCCTCCGTGGAGACACCCTTTGGGGAAAGTGCTACAGCACATGCGTCTTCCTAGCCTCAGCCACTTTTCCTTTTCCCCGCTTCCCCAGATATTGTGTGCTTGTGTGCATTCCACAGTTGGATGTGTCTTTCACTCCAAATGGAGAACGAAACACTGAACACCTAGCAATGAATATGCTGTCTGCTTTGATGAAACGAAAGTATTGTTATGGGAATTCTAAGGACTTACGTATGTGTTTGCCTTGTACATTTATGAATGTTTATATTATTACACACACTACACTTGATCTTAGCCAAAAGGCCGAGTATATAAGTATATAAACCACGTGTCTGAAACAGTACAGGAGAACAACCCTGAAGCCATTTTGACTCTTCCAGTAACCTCAAATAATATCTTCAGTAAGGAAGGAAATGGGGAAGCCTCCCCCATTGTCTCTTTGCTCACAAATCCTGCCTTCAGGGCATATTTGTGTATGAACAGGGTGAGCCTGTGAACTGGATTCAGGAACTAAGTATTTAGCATCTCAAAAGGAATGGCCAGGCTGCCCAAGTAAAGCAATCAGTGACCATTATCAGTATCCTGCCAAACGGGATTTGTGTTGCAGACTGCCCCCTTCAGTGATGTGTGTATGATGTTTTGGAGGGTGGTCTCAAGGTAAAGGGACGCGGGTGGCGCTGTGGGTTAAACCACAGAGCCTAGGACTTGCTGATCAGAAGGTCGGCGGTTCAAATCCCCACGACGGGGTGAGCTCCCGTTGCTCGGTCCCTGCTCCTATCAACCTAGCAGTTCAAAAGCACCTCAAAGTGCAAGTCGATAAATAGGTACCACTCCGGCAGGAAGGTAAACGGCGTTTCCGTGCGCTGCTCTGGTTCGCCAGAAGCGGCTTAGTCATGCTGGCCACATGACCCGGAAGCTGTACGCAGGCTCCCTCAGCCAATAATGCGAGATGAGCGCCGCAACCCCAGAGTCGGTCACGACCGCACCTAATGGTCAGGGGTCCCTTTACCTTTCCTCGAGGTACAGGGTGGGCAATTTCAAAAGTCTGTATCAGGGCTTGCATACCATTGTTCGGGGTTCCCCTCCTGACTTCAGCATGTGGTTGTGAGCACCCTGTGGCAACAGTATAATAAAGATCATGCTTACTAGCTGCTTTGCTTCTCAATATTCTCTGGTGGGCCTCTGTTATTTTCTCCTTTCGATAGGAACCTACTTTAGGACTCTATATGGGCTCTTGGATACCCGATAAGGGGAAAGGAGCGGTTTTTTCTTATGAGAGTATCCATGGCACATCTATCTCACAAGCAGCTGACATACAGTTGGTTCTGTTTGAGGTCCTACATGCAGGCACTTAAACTGCTGTGCTTGATTTGCGCTAGTGTTGAAATCTAACCCACGTGATCCCTGTCTCCCTGGGGGGTGGGGGTGGTTGTTGTTCTTGTTGTTTAGTCGTGTCACACTCTTCGTGACCCCATGGACCAGAGCACGCCAGGCACTCCTGTCTTCCACTGCCTCCCGTAGTTTGGTCAAACTCATGCTGGTAGCTTTGAGAACATTGTCCAACCATCTCGTCCTCTGTCGTCCCCTTCTCCTTGTGCCCTCCATCTTTCCCAACATCAGGGTCTTTTCCAGGGAGTCTTCCCTTCTCATGAGGTGGCCAAAGTATTGGAGCCTCAGCTTCACGATCTGTCCTTCCAGTGAGCACTCAGGGCTGATTTCCTTCAGAATGGATAGGTCTGATCTTCTTGCAGTCCATGGGACTCTCAAGAGTCTCCAGCACCATAATTCAAAAGCATCAGTTCTTCGGCGATCAGCCTTCTTTATGGTTCAGCTCTCACTTCCATACATCACTATTGGGAAAACCATAGCTTTTACTATACGGACTTTTGTTGGCAAGGTGATGTCTCTGCTTTTTAAGATGCTGTCTAGGTTTGTCATTGCTTTTCTCCCAGGAAGCAGGCGTCTTTTAATTTCGTGGCTGCTGTCACCATCTGCAGTGATCATGGGTGGTAGGAAGAGACAATCCCACACTGGGTGCCTCAGTCATATCAAACCAGAAAGAATCTTCATGGAAACTGCCAGATGTTCTGATCCAAAGATACCAGATAACTCTTGCTGGTTCATATGTGTACAGTACTACTGTGGTTTGGGAAATAAGCAGCAAACTCTTGGATGCACAGACTTAAGCTGGCCTTGATACCTAGGTTGGGAGGTTAGGGCATGACCCCGCCCCTGAATTTTTAAGTATTTTAAAAATAGGAATGTGAGTCTGAAGCTATTAGAAGCCTGTAATTGTCAGATTCAAGGTGTCTTGACAAATCAGAAAATATTTTCATCTAAGTTCATACTAGAATTGAAAGCTCAGCGTGAAGTCTTCATAAGCTTCATTTTTCTGAGGTTAAATAGAAACTGTAATTTTACTCCGCATGCTTTGCACTGACTGTCTTTTGGGAACAACACTTGTTCCTATGTTAATGCAGCTGCTTGTCTTAGTTAGGTTAGAGGCTTCAACCAACAAAGACAGGATTCTTCATAGTATAGTCTCATATCTAGCAGGGAAAAACCTCTTTCTTTTGCATCTGTCAATATTTTATATTTTATTCTCGGGTTTTTCCCTTGCCAAATATATTTTGAGATATATTTTTGCCATACGTTGAAACAATCTGTCTTGTCAATCACCATCCAGAGAACCTTCTGTTGAAAAGACTGGATCCCTGACTACAATTCATGCAAGGGATCTAGAACGGCAATGCTACGCACACTTCCTAAGGCATAAGCCCCAGTTAATACAGTCAGACTTACCGTAACTTCCAAGCAAACACTCCTAGGATTGTGCTGCAAAATGAACTTCCGTTTAGAAACAAGACTTTTGTAAATCTTGATTATGTACCGTGATTATGGCAATGAGTTGACATGAGTAGAGCTACTCTGTGCGGGTAGCTTTTTGTGCTTGGTTGTTTTTAAGATTGAAATTATTTTTAAACAGCTGCCTTGTAGACTTCTTAAATGGGATTGGGATTGTAAATGGTTTTTTAAATTTAAATTAAGCACTATAAATGGAATAACATTTTGGAAAGCAAGATTTTATTAACTCTGCAGTTACTTAAATAAAAAGCTATGCTAGCAAAATTGTATCCCTGTGATCATTTCACTTAATACAATGACGAATATGAGAGAAGACAACCCCTTTGGCTGCTCTTCACAATGTGTGGGGATCATTATAGTTCAACAGCTGTACTACTGATTGCTCGACCAGAAGATTGGGCTAACAGGCTTAAATACTGCAAGCAGTGACACTTGGTAAGTCCATTTTATTGTACTTGATATTCTGTTTTGTTAATGGTTTGTGCTTGTCTTTGCCAGGGCAGATGAAATACATTTTTATCAAGCGTGTTGATAGAATAGAAAATAATGTGGCCAACAGTGCAATCCTACACTTATTAAATGGGCTTACTTCCAGATGACCAGGCATCAATTAAAGCCTAAACTAATAAATAGGGTCACAACACTAACAGTGCAATCCCTTGCGTGTTTTGTCAGAAATCAGTTCCAGTGTGTCTAGGGGGCTTTCTATGTACACCACAATCTGTTTGTAAGCTCCACTGGACCCAGTAAAAATCTAAGTAAATATGCATAGGCTTCTGCGGTCAATCAGTTTAATCAAATGGATAATTCAAATATATTTCACTACAAAGGGGCTAAATCAGGAAGCACTTTCAAACTTTTTTTTTAAGGTTTGGATTGCCAGAGAAACTGCAGGTGGCAGGAGTAGCCCATCTGCTCATCGCATTAAAATAATAATGTATTTTTACCCCACCCATCTGGCTGGGTTTCCCCAGCCACTCTGGGCGGCTCCCAACAGAATATTAAAAACACAATAAAACATCAAACATTAAAAACTTCCCTAAGCAGGGCTACCTTCAGATATCTTCTAAAAGTCAGATAGTTGTTTTATTTCCTTGACATCTGACGGGAGGGCGTTCCACAGGGAGGGCGCCACTACCGAGAAGGCCCTCTGCCTGGTTCCCTGTAACCTCACTTCGTGCAGAGAGGGAACTGCCAGAAGGCCCTTGGAGCTGGACCTCAGTGTCCGGGCTGAACGATGGGGGTGGAGACGTGTTTTTCAGTGATTTTGTTTTCCATCATATACAGATTGACTGAGATATTTGAGAAAGATTTCTTTAATTCTGCAAAAGCCCTCCTAATTTCCCTGCAAGCTCGAGGGCAAGGGAGAAGTTACTGCTCACCATCCCAATCGCAGCAGTCATCCAGATGGAGGCATTCATCGTCCTCACTTTGAACCCACTGCAATTGGAAGTATGGGCTCTTGCTTGGGCAGCAGGAAAAGAGAGGGTGCAAGTGTTAGATATGTGGGGCAGCAGGACTGTTCATGTACGCCATAACAGCTGCGAGAATGCTTCTAGCCCAGAGATGGAAAGAAGGAGAATTACCGACCAGAGAAGAATGGCAGACTTAGTTAATGGAGGATGCGGAGATGGCAAGACTGATCGGAAAGATCAGGAACCAGGAAGATCAAGTATTTTTTAAAGACTGGACTAACTTTTTAACATATTTAAAAGACCACTGTAAACAGTTAAAATCACTGGAAACTTGTAATGTGAAAAGATCTTTGGATAGTATGAAAATATAACAGATAACGGTAAAAGATGCAGAAAAAGATAAAATAATTTATTTTCATTGAAAATGGAACCCAGGGAGGGAGGGAAGGTCCGAAGGTTCGAAAGAACCTTTTTATTTTAATGTTTTGAAATGGTTAAAAGTTAAAATGTATAAAATTATGTAAAACCTCTCTCTATATATACATATACATATACATATTCCATTCCTTACTTGCAGAACACTTTTTTTTGGAGGGGGTGGGAATAGACTTTGCAGCAGCAAGGTGAGCACCTTGGCCAAGCAGAGACCAGCTACAGCAGTGGTTGGCTTTAGAGAAATCCTGAATTATTTTTTTTTTTAAGAAATGGATATGGAATAGTCTCCCTATCCCATCCCCAAATATTTCACCTAATAGTTACCTTTACCTTTAAAATTTAGGCAGATGGGTGAGAAGGTGAGGATCCATTACAGCAGCTTTTACATTGGCACACAGATATGGGTGAAATCTAATCTACATAATTAAAAGCTGCAAGTGGATTTTTAAAACTAGGATTCTATGGAAGCAAATGCAAGAGTAATCTGCCAATAGAGATCTGCAGGCTCCTTTGGTGTCAACTTTAAAGCACATGCCAAAATCTTTTCTATTCCTCCAGGCAATTAAAAATGCATCCTTTGACTATGGTTAATTGAATTGACATCTGTTTAAACTTTTTAATGGATTTTATGGTACAGTTTTATGTTTTATTGCTGTAAATAACTTTAATGCATTTTTAATGATACAGCGGTATATAAATATATTTATAAATAAATGAGCGTTTCCACAAACAGGGAGAGGGATCGTAGTCCTTGAAGCACGCATGGTAGAAAACACAGTAAGTACCCGTAGTTAGAATGCATGAGTTCACTTCAAGTTTAATAGTCCACAGACAAAGCATCCAAAAAAACAAGAATTTGGTTCCACTCAATGGGTGTGTACACTCTAAAAAATACAGAATGGCTCACTAACAATGCAGGTTTTCATTGTTAAAATGTTTAAACAGCATTTGAATAACCAGTACCCTGTAGTAATTCTGTAAAAAGTTACTTAATGGGGCTGTGAAGGTTGTGTAATAGAAGCTTTGCAAGACTCCATTACATAAGGTTTTGTATCCATGACTATGGAAGTCAGAAACCACTAAAGAATTTGCTGTGAAGGGACAATGATCAAAGGACAAACTGATCATTTAATCTCTATGATAAAGTTACAAGATTTGTATAGTATGTCTTCTAATTCTTCACTAGCATATGCAATTTGCATAAGCTGCTTTCTGAAATAGCGGAGGGCGGCACATTGAAGCAAATGAATGTAAATGCTTTCTTATAGTTTGGGTCAAATTATGTTCTCAAGTAATTAGCACAGCTTCCTGAATTCTGTAAGATGATCCTATATATGCAGTTGTCTTTATTTTTTCCCCTTTCACCAGAACAAGGAAGTGTTCAGAGAAATGCAGTCAATAAAATGACTGTTGATAAATGTGAATGGGCTATTAATAAACAGTATCTGATGAAATGTGTATTACGCATGAAAACTCATACCTTGAAAACTTGTATTTAGTTGATCTTTAAAGTGCCACTGGAATTATAAAAAAATATTTTTTCATATTGTAATTTATTATGATAATAAACATCTTGTTATTTATTATTTATTAATAGACATGGAGAGAGTATCTGTTATTCTCTTAATTTTCTTTTTTCCATAATCTTGCAGCAAGAAATTCAGTGTAAAAATATGATTAGAATAATTATATAAGTCACTAGGTACTTCGGGATCAAAAAGTGTTGGAAAATACGTTTTAAAACTGGGATTAAGACACGGATTTGAGTGTCCCAAATGTTAACCATGTAACAGGGGGAAATATACATTTGTGCCAAATACAGATCAAAAGAATGTTTCTCGGAAACAGAAATATCTACAGCTTGTCAAGTGAAAGGTTGGTGAGGATTTGCTGATGGACTGGACAACATTGGCAAAAGTCAAACATTGAGATAAATGAGAATTTATGCTGAGGCTTAGCATATCTGATCTTGTCTGTGCTGAATCACAGAATTGTAGAGTTGGAAGGGGCCATGAGGATTATCTATTATTATTTTATTATTTTATTTATTTTTAATTTATTCAATTTATACACCGCCCTATACCCGGAGGTCTCGAGGCAGTTCACAAACAAGACCACAGCATATAAAATCAAACCCAAAGCAATAATAATCTAGTCCAACCCCCTTGCAATGCAGGAATATTTCGTCCACCGTGGGGCTCAGACCCATATCCCTGGGATTAAAAGCCTCGTGCTCTACCGACTGAGAGATCCTAGCAGTGTTTCAAGTGATAAAAGGTTGATTCCTTTCTTGAAATGTCTCCATGTAATTATTACTCTTTATTAAATTTATATACCAAGGATCAGAGGAATCCAAGGATCAGAGGAAGGCTGACAACGTGAACTTGTAAGCTCTTGATAATTAGTGGCCTGCGAACTGGCATTTTGTTTTCTTCTGTTCCTTTCCCATCCCCACCACTTAGTGACACTTGTTGCAGCCACTGTGAAAAGCAGTCAGAATGAACTGCACTGAAAATGGTTTTGCATTGGTGCAAGAAATTGCTTGTAAGACCACGCTGAAAATTGTAGCTCTGTGAGGGCAGCAGGGGTCTCCTAGCAACTCTCAGCAACCTTAACAATCGATAGGATTCTTTGGGGCAAGCCCTGGCGGTTAAAGTAGTATGATACTGCTTTAAATGTATGGTGCTGATGTGGTTGTAGCTGATCCCGCCAAGCTGGAGAAAACCCAGGAAAGAGATGATGTCACAGTGTTAAGCAGCCAAGTCTATTAGGCCACACAATGATGTCGCTGAAAGCAAGCAAAGCCTTGTGGCCTGTTTGGGAAGTACTGCTAAGCCATAGTTTAGTGATAATAATAACAATAATTTATTATTTATACCCCGCCCATCTGACTGACTTTCCCCAGCCACTCTGGGCGGCTTCCAATCGAGTGTTAAAAAAATACAGCATTAAATATTAAAAACTTCCCTAAACAGGGCTGCCTTCAGATGTCTTTTAAAGAGAAGATAGCTACTTATTTCCTTGACATCTGGTGGGAGGGCGTGTCAGGGAACTGCCATCGGACGGAAGGGAGGTGAAAGGGCTCACACAGGTTGGGAGAGACGCAGCAGCTGAAGAGGAAACCAACAGGGAGGTGAAAGGGCTCACACAGGTTGGGAGAGACGCAGCAGCTGATGAGGGAACCAGCAGGGGGAGAGGAGCTGAGCTGGAGGGATGGCTCAGAGACACTTCCAGCGAAAACAGTGGAGAGGTTTCAGGACCTCCTGTAAGAACACCCACTCCTCGCCGGAAACTGTCACGCAGAGATTCCAGAAGACGTGTTTCCGTTAAGGAGCTTTTATGTTGGAAGCGATTACGAAAGCAACCACTGTCGGAATCTGCTAGTGACTAGAGTAGCCATGTCTGAGGGG